CAGATTTTCCGACGAGGTCTTGTCAGTTGTGCTGGACAGAGGGCCTGGCACGTAAAATATCCCTTGGTAGTTGGAATTCGATATAATTATAGGCCATCGTGCGCTGTCCTGGCAAAATTTCGCTCATAGTATGGCGTATGCCCGTCTTCAATATGACAGTAGTGGTTCGGTCATGTATTTACACCCGAGAGTATCATCCTTTCAGAGGATCGCGTGGCTACGTGGGCAAGACGCTGGCTAGCTAGCCTGGAGGTCGGGTGTTCGATCCCACACTGATCAGAAGTGAATATTCGCTAGGCCTCTGATAAGGATGACATCGATGCAACTTAATGAGTCCCCAATATTAACATTATTCCTCCGACAAATTTAATTCTAAAACATTTTTTTTTTTTATGTATTAGAAAAATAAATAAAGACACTTGAAGTATTTGTAGGTAAAAAATATTTCCTATGTAGCGTAAGTTGGTATTAAAATGAGTAAAAGGCATCATTCTACCCGAAGCAGTTACGTCTTATATAAACAATGCACGCGCCATTGGTCCAATGATTGACACCGCGTGACGTGATTGCATGTGTTGAAAACAGTCATCTTTTACAGAGATATTAGACGACTTTTTTCACAGATTGATTCGATCCCTGCATTGGCCGACAAAATTCATCAAGATTTACCGGCGTGGTTCCCCCTTGTCAGTGATGCAGGACGGAGGGCCTGACAATGACAGCTGTCTAGTCGTTCGGATGGGACGAAACACCGAGGTCCCGTGTACACATTGGCGTGCACGTAAAAGATCCCTTGGCAGTTGGATTTCGATATAAGAGCGGGCCGTAGCGCCGCTTCCCGGGCAAAATTCCCTCATAGCACACTGTATGGCGTATGCCCGTCGTCTTTAGCCCAGCTTAGGAGAGAACAGTAGGACGTTAAACCCCATTTCATTTCATTTCATGCCATCCTGTCTTTGAAAGTAATGATTATGCCAAATTTGAACATCTAGTTCCGCAGTCTGTAGTTATACCAGAGGGTTGACAGATAACACCTTAAAAAAAAACAGATCTATGAAAATATATTTTCTAAACCTTTTTTTATTTTGAAATTATATTGTTTTCACGTGTGATAAGTGTTTTAGCGAATAGTTGTAGAAAGGGTCTTGTAGATTAAGACTATGGCGCATGTGCAGTTTTAAACTTCCGAGACGACAAGTCGACAAGTCGATGATACGACAGTTTGGTTTTGTCGTATCATCGACTTGTCGACTTGTCGTCTCGGAAGTTTGAAACTGCACATGCGCTATAGTCTTAATCTACAAGACCCTTTCTGTGACTACATGTATTCGCTGAAACACTTCGCACACGCGAAAACAATATTATTTCAAAATTAAAAGAGTTTTAGAAATATATTTTTATAGGTCTGGTGTTTTCTTTGTTTTTTTTTACGTTTGATCTGTCAACACTCTACCTATAGGCCGCGAATGTAAACTGACTTTGTTCAAATTTGGCACAATCATTACTTTCAAAGAAAGCATGACACTCTCGAATGTAAATGCATGACCGAATCACTACTGTCATATTGAAATGTGTGTGTTTTTAAATCTTTTTCTTCGATCGCTGCTTTCCTTGTTTCATGTTAAATGATGATCCATTGGAAGGAACATATTGAGTAAATGTACGTTATCACTGATACGGATTCAATATGTAATAATATTTCTCATGTTTAATCAATTTTTGACATATTATTTTCCAGTTGTATCAAACATCATTGATACCATTTTATTGATTCTGGAATTATTTGTAAAACTAAGTAAGAGACGTGGGGGTGGGGGGGGGGTATGAGGCTTTTAGAGTGTGTTCGTAGTTGAAGATATTACTGGGCCTATTTTTACTCATCTAGGCCCCAATCCCATCAGTGATGTCAAACGGATGCAAGCCCATATGCGATAAGGTCAATAACGGCTGCGAATCGTTTTCTCCACCTCATAAAAAAACTCCTGCTATTTGGGTGACGTGGGGGGGGGGGGGTATGAGGCTTTTAGAGTGTGTTCATAGTTGAAGATATTACTGGGCCTATTTTTACTCATCTAGGCCTCAATCCCATTAGTGATGTCAAATGGGAGAGAGAGAGAGAGAGAGAGAGAGAGAGAGAGAGGGAGGGTTTAACGTCCACTCGACACAAATTAGGTCATTTCGGGGCTAACATATGGTTTAATTTTATTTCAATAAATCGTTTGCGCGTAGGGGTCTTTAGCAGTGGGAGGAAACCGGAGGACCTGGAGAAAACCCACGAGGTTTTACAGGCGACCCTACACCTTGTCACGTACAACCGGGGATTCAAAACTACGCCAGTTGACTCAATGACAGGCTGCGAATCGTTTTCTGAAATCATTTTTAACCTATCGCTCCAGTCATCTATAAATAGTGGTGGGTGTCGTACACATGGCAATGAATGCTTACTTGTTCGATACCTCCCGACACCACTTTTTCTTCAAGAAATTAACTTAGCTAACTCACTTTGGTCCTGCTATTGTAATTCTAGATTTTTTAAATATAATACCAAATATAATTCACTTGTGGACACAAAATGTTTCATTATTTTGAGAAAACAAATAATTAATCAACGTTTTCCTACTATCTCTTTTATATTTATCAAATCTACTACTTAGGCCTATATATGATGTAATGAGTACAGCTGTATTTTTGTGACTTGTAGAAAGAGACTAGGACAATAAGTCGACATCTCGACGTTACGATAAAAATAACACGATGATACGACAGAATAAAGTGTCGTATGATTGCGTCAATACTGTCGTGATGTCGTGTTGTCGCGTTATGAAAAGGGCGAGATTTAACATGGCCACTATCAGCCACCATAAAAACGGTATGTATTTAATATTATTTTGTAGATTTTTAAAACGGAAGCTGAGATTGTTTTAATATGTTATATGGTTAATAGACGTGTGTCTGGAGTGAGATTTTGTCACAGACAGCGACGTTTCCACCCACACATCATCGATTTCAAAAAGTCAATGGTACTTCTATCGGCATGTCAATATATGCACGGATGGACATCGGGTTTTTCATGCTACCCGAACGGCAGGGTTACACTCATACTAAACTTATGCCGTCTGTCTACAATTAGCCCCGCTTGAGAACAGACACTCAGATAGTTGACCGACATTTTAAGTCCAAAATCGATGATTTTAGTCGAAAACACTATATACCTATTCTTGGAGAAATTTACTAAGTATTTATTCTGCTTCCATTTAATAAAATTGAAAAAGTTAATTCAATCATTATATGACAGATGTGAAACGGAGTTGAACCGCATTACAAAACAGTATACTAATTTTTGGATATGGCTGCTATTTAGGGCAGAGATCTATTCTCGAAGTATGAAGTAGAGTAGATAGATCTGTGTGTGCAGAATGGGTTACACTTTATGATGTAATAATAACATACATTATGTTGTATACATCATGTTTTTAGTTTTACTAACTAGCAGCACGACAGTTAATGATTTAATATTAATTTATTAATATGAAAGGATTAAATCGAGACAGTTGTATATTATTATATCAATAACGTTGTTCAATATATAATCGTTATGGCGAAAAGGTTTAAATCGGTTATGTTTTAAATCGAGTATTGTTACTCTAACGATGTATGAGTCACGTGATCACTCCACTCGCTCAATAGTTGTGGTAATTACAATTCTCGCCTGTTCAACCTCGTAGGTTGTTTTTGGGTTCCCCGGTTTCTTCCCACTGCTAACGACCCATAGGAGCAAGCAAACTATTGAAAAGACTAGATCGCAGTTTACACTTCTGGTCTAGTCATGGTCATAACATAAACTCCAACTTACAAATTCGTTTAAAATGACCTATATGTTTTCAGTTTATTTCCGACAACAATCCATCGTAGTTGTTTCCTCCCACTGCCAGATGAGTTAAGAATACTGGGTATAAGGTTGGTAATTGTTATGACAAACGAGGAGATACATCATAATAACACCCTTTACATTTGCTCACCTGGGTCTTACGTAATAAGTGCACATTAAATCAACCAATCGGTAGACGGGAACTCATCAATCAAACCAGAGTCCACAAACGAAAATGAGCTAAGCTATATTTTAACATCGTCTCGATACAAACTTGGTCATTTCGGGACTAACATGGTCCATTTTGCGCGTAGGGGTCTTTAGCAGTGCCAGTGGGAGGAAACCGGAGGGGGGGGGGGTCAAAAGAAAACCCATATACAAGCGGGGAGTGGAAACCAAACAGACAGACCTTGTGATCTTGTAACTGGAATATCGAAGACGGCCATACGCAATACAGTATGCTATGGGGGTTCTTTTACGTGCAGCATACCAAAGTATACACGCGATCCCGGTTTTCGATTCCATCCGAACGAAACCCGGAGAGAAAAACCCACGAGGTTAGACGGGCGACCCTACTCCTAGTGTTACGTACATCCGGGGAATCGAAAGGACGCCAGTTGATTCAATGACAGACCTTATGATATAACGACCACCTCTCGCCCCACACCCCCGGGCAAAAGAAGACGGGAATGCGCCATGAGGAAACTTTTCCATGGACACCTGATCAACTTCAAGGGTTCTTTTACGTGCACACGATACCTCTGTTTTCCTTCCCATCCGAACGAACTAGACGCTATTCCTAGACCGGCCCTTTGCCCTTCATCACTGAGATGGGGACACTGCGCTGGAAAATCCCGCACCTCCTGTTTAGTGAGCCATGGACTTTAGCAATTGACTGAGCCATCGTGTTTCCCTTGGGTTGGTCTATTGTAAACATACGTCTAGGTGACATAGACTATGACCAGTTACTTTTCGCATATTTAAAAACACCCTACTGGTAGAAAACTTCGGTCAAGTGTGGTTGATGGCTTGTTTTTTTTTGTTTACCGACTCAGTTAATTTCTGAGTTACATGTTCTACCTATGCACCCCTGCGTTTCTATAATGGACCATGCAGCGTGCATCGCCAAGGCGACCGTAAGTCATTAGTGAAACTTGTGGTGGAGTGAGTGGAACGATGCAGTTTTAGGGAAGGAATATTTGAAAGATTTTTATTCGTTGCTGATCAAGCAGTCGCCGGATATTATTATTATCTATCTGAAGATATAACTGTCGGCCTATGTCCATATTTAAATATGGCCACAGATGGAACACTGAATAGTACTGGAGGGCTAGTCTCAATTTTGAGAGAAGTACGTAGCCGTGTGAAGCAATAGTACAGTTTTAAGCTAATCTAAATCATTATTTTAAAAAAGAAACATTTTGAATTAAATTTGTACATTTTATCCCTAATTTACATTTCTGGAATTCACTAGACTTATCATTGTTCTGAAATTTTTCTTTTTAGTTTTCAAGAAGTGTGGAAAAATTAACTAATACAGTGTTATTTCCCGTTCGTCTTCAAGATCTAGATGATTTGGAACAAACCGAAAAAACCGAAATTGCCGAAATAATTAAGCATTGTTTCAATGAGAAAAACCAAGGTAAAGGTGATTTTATATAAATGAACAAAACGTGGACTAACGCGTGTAATGTAGACCACGAGACATGTTATCTATGCAAATCATGCGTTCGATTCCGGGTTTGTACGTAACAATAGCTATGCCAAGCTCAAAAGATAATCCAAGACATTCCAAAAAAAGAAAGTATCTTGAAAAATGACTATAGATTCCTGTGAGTCACGGTGGTGAGATGTTGGCTCACTAACCTGGATGTTTGATCCCGTGTTCGATCCCTCCGTTGGCCTAGAAAGTTCATAGGGACCCCCCCCCCCTTGGTCAGTGATGCAGGACAAAGGGTCTGGCAAGGCACAACGTATGGTCGTTCGGATGGGACGATAAACCGAGGTCCCGTGTACACATTGGAGTGCACGTAAAAGGTCCTTTGGTTGTTGGAATTCGATATAAGAGTAGACCATAGGGGGCAACATTTTCCCTCATAGCACACTGTATAGCGTATGTCCGTCTTCATCATAGCCCAGTCGATGCAGAACAGTAGGACGTTAAACCTCATTTCATTTCATACCTATGGATTCCCTTGATCAGGCCTAGCCAAAAGTAGAAAAGATCAAACATCTTCAATATTTTGTAAGTGATTGTGACATATTGGGCTCTTTGTGGTTATAAAGGTTTAATAATCATTGGAATGTTTTTAAAAAAATGATTTAAAATTGAAGTCAATGTGGAAAGAAGTACCAGTGCAAATCCAAATAACGTTATGTGGAGTTGTCTCCCTTCTAGAACATTTTCCAGTCAATTATAAAAACTGTAGTCGGATGGAGGCAGACCACCATTAATTTCCCCATTGACTTCAATGTTAATTCCGGTCTCTTTGCCCGGCACCAACTTTTCCCCAAAACTTCGTTGGGCTGCATGCTTTTCACTACAGACGGAAAAACAAATGGGCATGTCTTTGCACCAAAATTTTTAGAGGTTGACCAACAAAATTGTGAGATACACCAACTTGAAGTAGCATACTAAAAACGTTTAACTATTCGCCGTATACATCACCGTAACCAACCAGTTAACTGTCGTCCTTCCCCACTAAATCGGGAGCCACGGTGGCTAGTTGGTTAAGACGCTGGCTCGCTAACCTGGAGGTCGGGTGTTCGATCCCTGCATTGGCCGAGAAAGTTCATCAGGATTTTCCGACGTGGTTTCCCCTTGTCAGTGGTGCAGAACGGAGGGCCTGACAAGGACAGCTGTCTAGTCCTTCGGATGACACGAAAAACCGAGGCCCCGTGTATATATTGGAATGCACGTAAAAGATCCCCTGGCAGTTGGAATTCGATATAAGAGTAGGCGATAGTGCCGCTGCCCGGGCAAAATTTCCCTCATAGCACACTGTATGGCGTATAGGAGCAGAACAGTAGGACGTTAAACCCCATTTCATTTTCCCCACTAAATCATGAATATTTACCAAAAAAATCAGCAAAAAAGGGAATGCAAAAGGGGAGAAAAGAGAGAGAGAATAGCTATAAATAGACAAACTACAATTGGGTACCAAAATGGTGAGATTTAATGGTGGTCTGCCTCCTGATGTCGCCAATAAATCGTAGAGTTATCATTACTTGACAACGCGCGTTGTGGTTAAAATTTATAAACCACCTACTTTTTTAACTAAATGACACAACCCTCCTATATAAATACGCTGAAGTTATAACTTTTGTTGCAGTATTTATCTATAATTGTTTGGATAACAACCTCGGTACCACTCCTGGAACCTGGACGGGGTCTTCCCATATCGCCGACTCACCGAGTTTTGGAAAGTCGACCGCGGCACCCTTTGATTGGATTAAAGCGGATTAAAAGCGTTAATGAGGCAGGGACCAGTCATTATTAATATAGTTCACTGAAATTGATTTTTACCACAGACCTTTATTGACTTTTTTGCCGAAACAATTATTAAGATTCGTGAAAAGTTTGTTGACCCCCCCCCCCCCCCCCTTATACTGACATTAATGTCCCACCCCAGTGTAATTTCTCTGCTTTTGAGCCATTGAATGTTGATGATGTAATATCAGTGGTGTGTCGAATGAAGTGCAAGTCATGTGCTCTGGACCCAATTCCTATAAAACTACTAAAAGAGTGTCTGGATGAAATAGCACCAGCTTTGACGATTATTATAAATGATGTGCTCTCCTCTGGTATTTTTCCGGATGATTGTAGGGAGGCCATTGTAAGACCTCTGATTAAAAAAACAAGTCTTGACCGTAATGCACTCAAAAGTTATAGACCAGTGTCAAATATTTCATTTTTAGCAAAATTGCTTGAGAAGATCATTTTATCTCAAATAATAGATTATCTCACTCGAAACTCACTGCTCGGTAAATTCCAGTCTGCTTATCGAGAGGGGCATAGCACTGAAACCGCACTCCTTAGAGTGCATAACGATGTTATAGATATGAACAAGGAAGACTGAATTTATTAAAAATTTTTGGACTATGTTGGACTGCGTGCAAAAATTTAAAATTGTGTTATGTTATGTATTATAAATTAAAAAAAAAATAAATGCTCCCAAAATTATCTGCTTAATGAGGTTTATCCTTCAGCTTGGGTCTATTGTTTTTGGCCACTCATTCCCATAACGTCGACCAAAATTTTTCCCCTAAAACTCGGTGAGTCGGCGATATGGGAATGAACCTCCTGGACGCCTCTTGATCTCAAAAAGTCTGTCAAAAATGAATAGAAACCCTGCTACATACACAATTCATAACGTTCTAAAAGAGTAGCCAAAAAGTATACCATATGTTGGACTCGAAGTGGCCTAGTTAGTATTAAATAGACGCTAACACATCTTTAAAAATGCAGTTATTTCTTTTTCAGAAGCCAACCTATACGAACTCTACCTGTTACTGCTGAACACCAGAAGTGAGCTTTTAACCGGAACTGACGTAAATGGATTACCGGCAAGTGGTAATACCACCTTTCACTCGGACTTGAAGAGAATGGCGCATATGTTAAAAATGCTAACCGGTTTGTCTGATAGTGTACGACTTTGTTACGAGGAATCTATTGCCCCCGCCAGACTTACTTAATCGAACATCGACAATGTGATATTTCTAATAAATTTCACTATCTCTATAACAACTGTAGCACAAATATTTAGTTTTTTTTCCTTGGTTATACGCTCCTGCTATAGCCCTTCATTTTGCTTACCAGTCCTGATGCTGGCAGTCAGAGCACATTTGGATTTTTCAGCGTTGTCAGTGACGCAGAGTAGTGTGCTTGGCAAAGACCAGCGTATGGTCGTTTGGATACGGCGAAACACCAGGATCCCATGCACATATAAGATCTTTTGACAGTTGGTTCTTGATTGAAAGGTCGGCAGATACCCGCTGTCCGGACAAAATGTCCATCCATAGCACACTACATTACCTATGTCAGCCCCCATTAGTCCGACTGATGCAGTAAAGCAGGCCGTAAAACCCAATTTCATTTCATTATACCCTTTAAGTGTCGTGTGTCTGGAACTAGCCGCATAAAGGTAAACACATCGTTTAGATTAAATGGTGGAAACAGTTATTCGTGTACAGATTGGCATGGACGATGTTTTTTTCAAAAGTAATCAAAGGCAATAGCCGCACTTATTATCGTTGATCAATAGGCATCAAGTTGATGAAAATACAAACTGTGTACACATTTCAAGTCTTATCGGATGAGAACTTCATCCTCTTGTGGGGATACTCGACTGAACGTTCCGGAATTGAATTCTCTCATTCCCCAAAATGGTGACAACCTAGTGGAAGGGAAATTGGGATTTCGGGATAAAACGGATGCACCGACTAGATAAGAAAATAATTTAACCAGCCATTACAGCTGCAAACACATCCGTTGTTTAATTACGTCATGATTCTACTCGTAGATCGCTGACCGGGATGAATTACTTGTCATTCGATTGCAATTCGGGACGGGACGTTCCGTTCCCGATTGACAATCGTGTATCCACGGGTTTCACAAGACTTAATTTAAAAGGTGACAAAGGACCATAACTCAGGCAATATTTATCTTAAATCATTGGCCCTATTCGTCTCCTGAACTGGTAAATGTAGCCCCCATAGCATCCACAAGATATGTCTAATTGATCAAGAACGGTAGCGCCGATAGTAATTATGGGGAAATTGGTGAAAATAAATAGGTTTCTTGGTCAGTGGCTAAATTTAAAGTCGGTCGGGTGATGGCTTTAGCCACGACGGACAAAAGTACAGCCACATGTCAGTGAGGGCACAAAACAAATAGCATGTGATATACCTTCTAAATCTATCCTGGCCTTCTAAATTCTACACTGGCATTCAAAGGAACCTATCCTCCTAACATGGTAAATTCAAAACCCCAAGTCATTGTATATAATATATTAATGGTTATATTTAGGCTCATATTTAATCATCGTTTTAGTTCAGTTAAATAGTGTTTAGTGGTATATATATGTTTGTCGGTAACGATAATGGAGTAATATTAAGTAATCCCTCACGCACAAATGTTATTTGATAGTCATAACAATTTGACCTTTCTTTGATCTTATATTTCAAGTATATAGGACATCTAGTGCAAAATTTATTTACAGCCTTTCCCTTTGTCTCCCCTTTTGCACGACAGTTTTGTTGACTTTGTGGTGTAGAATCGAAGAAAAGAGTTTGAATATTTATTTTCTTCCACGATTTGGTCAATTTTAATGATTTCGAGGCGGAAGAATAAGAGTTAAGACGGTTGGTTACGTTGAAATGTAGGATCGTTCAGTTGCATGTTTATTAATCTGCTACTTTCAGTTTGTATATCTTAAGAATTCCATACATTCTTTTGAGGAAGAGGTTGCTACATGTTGCTCCATCGGTGGTAGAAAGCATTCAACTCCACGAAAATTTGGGGAAAAGTTAGAGCTGTTCAAACGAGACGAGAATTAACATGGTGAAATTAAAAGTGTACTGTGTCCATATACAAATTGTGATCGGCTGTCAGCTATTTTTTTGACTAGATGTAGAATATTAGTGAAGCCGCATTTACACGGCCACATTTGTCAGCAGATCTATGTGGAAATGAACGTTATAGCATATTTTCATCCTCACAGCATATTTTTTTCCTCTTAGATTCTTGTTCCTAAACCATAGTTTTCTTTAATTCAGTCGATGGACCGACATACTAGACGAAAAACCAAAATCAGAGAGAGAAATTGTGTTTAACGTCCACTCAATACAAACTGGTTATATCGGGGCTAACATATGGTACAATTTCAATGATTCATTTCCGGTTGTGGGGGGGGGGGGGTCTTTGACAGTTGGGGGACCTGGAGAAACTCTACTCCCTGTTACGGATAAGCTTGGCTTGGGGCCGAAACCTCTGAATGAACTACCTTATATATTATAGCGGTTGTCACTTGCGATAACCAACCATTAGTGAAATCTCATATGCTCTAGGCCCGACTCTTGCCCCCCCCCCCCCCCAAAAAAAAACCCCAAGCGAATTATTAAAATACATTGTATTATGTGCTAGTCACGAAATGACATAGGTTGCGTCGGGTGGACGTTAAGCCCCCCCCCCCCCCAACGTGCGTCAGTCTCAAATTTTATTTTCTTCAATTTGTTTTGTCGTAACCTGTTCCCACAGTGTGGCCTCGGCTTGATAAGTTATACAGAGTGCCTTAGATCTACTCAATCGCAGTTATACAAAGCTAAGTGTGAGGTGCAGTTTGATGTTGACACGGACCGAGAAAGGTATGTAACTAGATTTTTGCTATGAACTAGTTTGTATACCAACCAGTGGTTTACTATATAGACTATCGACAAATCTGTGCTATAGTGTACACTGTGTACAGTGTATATTTAAGCAACCTAGATCAATTCTTATTCACAACATATCCAGTGGATCAAAACCGCCATTCAGTAATCAAGGGAAAGGTCTCGTTTCTCTTTATACAGTGTCCTAGTTTATGACCCAGTCACGTGATATTTGTATGTTTTATTTTCTTTCTGGACTCGGGAAAACAATCTGTTTCACAGAGGATTACGAAAGTCTTCTAATATCTCTGTAAAGATGACTGCATTCAACATGTTACTGGTTCGGGCAATATGGTGCGTTTTAATCATTTTAATACCCAATTACACTAAATAGGAAATATTTTTTACTATAAAATACTTCAAACGTCTTTATTTATTTTTCTAATGTTATATAACAAAAAAAAAAAGATGTTTTAGAATTTAACTTGTCGCATCGATGTCATCCTTATCAGTGAGGGGGGAGGGAGGATGGCCGAATGGTTAGAACGTGCGCGCTGTATCATACGGACTGTCATTGAGTCAACTGGCGTGGTTTCGATTCCCCAGTTGTACGTGGCAAGGAGACGGCCGCCTGTCCAACCTCGTGGGTTTCCTCCCACTGCTAAAGACCCCTACGCGCAAGCGAATTATTGAAATAAAATTGAACTGTGTGTTAGTCCCGAAATGACCTAGTTTGTGTCGAGTGGACGTTAAACCCCATCTCTCTCTCTCTCTCTCTCTCCCTCTCTCTCCTTATCAGTGATGGGAGCGGCCTAGCGAATATTCACTGCTGATCAGTGTGTCAGGCGGAAAGAGAGATAGAGAGTTTAATGTCCAGAAGGTTTGCACCTGAGTTGATGTAGGGGTGAGGGGGTGGCATCTGGCGGAGTAACCAACCACTTTAAATGTCTGGTACACATAATTTATGATACCCCGAGTGGTGCTGAGCATTTTAAATGAGTTTGTCTGAGCTGATCTAGCTTACTTCTGGTGGTCCGTATTTTGCGAGCTACCCAACTCTGGAAGAGCCTGGTAGTGTCCATGCATGTTGACTATGGTGATACTGAACATTTTGCAATGAGTTACATTGGTTTCATGTCTGAACTGGTCTAGCTTACTCTGAAGTAAGGGGGGGGGGTCATTTTGCGGTGGTATCCCACCACTGGTAATGGCTAGCATTGCCCATTCATGATATCTGTGCTGGTGGAGAATATTTTGTAATGGTTTCATTGGGTGATTCGCTTCCCAGTCCATCTTGCTTACTTTCTGGGCATCTATTACAACAACAATCCAGAGCCACTAAAAAAATGTATGGCGATCTCCATTCATACCCTCTTGTTTAACGTCCTTAAATAAATTCTGATGAAATTAGATGACACACAATAAGGTTGGCAATCATACCACATGATAAAATGATGGAGGTCCGACAGAGATGTTTGCACTTCCTCTTCATCGAATTCAAACTCCCAATCATCCCTTTACGTGCTTGCACTCTCGTGTGTACTAGAATAAAACTTTTTGATGTACTCCTAGTGGTTAGGTAACATAATCATTGCCAGTCCCACTTGCGCTACTATGCCTATAAACTCAAGGCTCAGGAATTCAAAACTGGGACATTCTATTCGAGTACCTCCTGTCCTTATCTTAATAAATACAATTTTTGATTTAAAGTGCGTTTATACGTAGAGTTAAATCAAACGAAAATCCACCAGATGAGCTAAAATGTCAGGACTTATTTTATTTAGTTCGACTGTTTAACACAGAATCGGGTGGAACTCAGCATTGACCTTATCTACGTTATACACATTTATAACGATTTTATTGTGTTAATGTTTTCATTACTAACAAAATATGCGACAACCCTTGTCGACTCCACGGACGATTTAGCTGCTGTCGGCGTATGTGTCGTTGCCCGACAACCTATCTTACATACAGTGGTTACTTCAACAATGCAAGAGTGTTCAATTTTCCTCACACAGTGGCTTTTAGCCTAATTTTCATCAAATGCGTCCATCAATCAGGCATTCATACACATGTTGCTTGTGGATCTTAGGAGGTCTGCATATTATATCAATGATAATTGGTTTTAATGATTTCTGATAATCAGTACTCAGGACCAATAACATTTTCTCCCAGTCTATTCGCAATTCATATGCATATAATTGCCCCCAGATCAGTTTGAACAATTTTGTTATTCTTTCCTTTAGTGATTTAAATGATGGGTTGGTTAGATATATTTGAATATATCCCCACGTGGACATGGTTGATTATATTAACGGTGGTTTTACTCTACATGTGAGTATTATTATTATATTAGCATTATTTATGTCATTGAAACATGTTAATACTATTTTATGATACCTGTGATTATTGTTATTGTCCCCCGCCTTTCGAAGAAAGCAGGGGACTATTAAAATGGGTTCGTCCGTCCGTCCATCCGTCCGTCCGTCTGTCTGTCCGTCACACTTTTTGGGACACAATAAATCTCTTTCTAATTGAGCTAGAATGTTCAAACTTGGTGTAGGTGTTTATTAGGCCAATGCCTTGATGGAGTTCGAAGATGAGAATTCTCTGCTTAGGGTAAGAAGAGATAAGCAATTTGATTGGTTGATGCTTTGAGACACGATATCTTTAGTTCTAATTAAGTGAGAGTGATGAAACTTGGTGTATAGTTTTCTTACATCAATACCTTGACTAAGTTCGATACTGAGCATTTTCTGCTCAGGGTAAGCAGAGCGATTAGCAATTTGATTGGCCGAGACTTTGGAACACAATAAACCTCCTAATTGAGCTAGAATGGTCAAACTTGGTGTAGGTGATTATTTGGCAAATGCCTTGATGGAATTCAATGATTAACATTTCGAGCTAAAGCTAAACATAGCTAAGCATAGCTAAGCAATTTCTTTGGTCGATGCTTTGGGACAAGATAACTTTGATTCTATCTGAAGAGAGTGATGTAACTTAGTGTATAGTTGATAATCAATTTGATTGCTTATTACTTTTGAGAAAAAAATAAATGTGCGATTAATTAATGTGTCATCAGGGGCGGATCCAGAGGGGAGGGGGGTCGACCCCCCCCCCCTGCTCAGCTACATAATTTTTATACGCCCACATGGAAATGTGGTCGTATATTGCCGTCGCCCCCGTCCATCCGTCCGTCGGTCCGTCGGCCCGTCAGTCCATCGTCCACAATTTCTTGTGAACACTCTACAGACTACATTTATCAACCGATTGTTTTGAAATAGATATATGCTGTTTGCATTAATGAGATGAAGACGCCTATTTAATTTCAATAACTTCCGTTAATTTCGTCTGTAGTTATGGCCCTTGAATCACTTTGTTGCACCTTGTGAACGCTCTAACGACAAAAGTTATCAACCGATCTGTATGAAATTGATATGCATCATTAAAATTAGTAAAACAAAGAAGCCTACTGAATGGCCCTTGTTTCACTTTGTTGAATCTTGTGAACGCTCTAATGACAACAGTTATCATCCGATCTGTTTGAAATTGATATGCATCATTTAAATAAGTGAAATGAAGTAACCTATTGCATTTCAGCAATTTCCGTTAATTTCTTCTGGAGTTATGGCCCTTGTTTCACTTTGTTGCACCTTGTGCACGCTCTAACGACAAAAGTTATGAACCGATCTGTATGAAATTTATATGCATCATTTAAATTAGTACAACAAAGAAGCCTATTGAGTTTCAGCAATTTCCGTTAATTACATCTAGAGTTATGGCCATTGTTTCACTTTGTTGAATGTTGTGAACGCTCTAATGACAACAGTTATCATCCGATTGATATGCATCATTTAGATTAGTGAAACGAAGAATCCTATTAAATTTCAGCAATTTCCGTTAATTACGCCGTGAGTTATGGCCCTTGTTTCACTTTGTTGTACCTTGTAAATACTCTAACGACAAAAGTTATTATCTGATCTGTATGAAATTTATATGTATCATTTAAAGATATATTATGGGAGATAAGATAAAGAGATGGCAGTTCTCGCTATAATAGTTAAAAACTAGATAGTGTAAAGGTAATTTGCTGAAAATTTCAGTCAAATTGATCCACTATGAGCCGAAAAAGAAGCCGGTGAAATTTTTGCATAGTCTCGCTTATCATTACTAAAATCATTAATATAAACATCATAGTCTCGCGTTGAGAGAGATAACATTGAGAGAATGCTCTACGAAACGTCGCTTTAAATACACTAGTAGCTGTTTTCCATAAGTATGTGTTTTGTTGTTAGCATAGTCTCGATTATCCACTTTTTCTGATTTAATTATCTTTGGCCGTTAGCGGCATATAGGAATCTAATCCAGCCTACATCGAAGGCTAGCCTTGACATCGAGAGTTTTTTATGGTCTGGATAAGTTAATTAATGTCTAATTGATAATTTATATAACATTTCAGGCCTAAAGAAAGACTTGTAATAATGCATGTTTAAATTAGTAAAACGAACAGGCCTATTGAGTTTCAGTTATCACCTAAATTAGTGAAATGAAGACGAACAAGCCTATTGAATGTCAGCAATTTCCGTCAATTACGTCTAGAGTTATGGCCCTTGATTTACTTTGTTGAACTTTGTGAACTTTCGAACAACAAAAGTTATCATCCGATCTGTATGAAATTTATATGCATTATTTGAATTAGTAGAACGAAAAAAGCCTGTCGAATTTGAACAATTTCTGTAGATTGCTTCCAGAGTTACGGCCCTTGGTTTAGTTTTTAGAACCTTGTGAACCTTCAAACAACGAAAATTATAATGTCATCTGTATGAAATTGTCTATTAAATTCCCCTAATTACCTATCTTTTTTTTGTAAATTAACACTTTTTATGAGAAAAGTTTCTCGGTCGCGTGCTTTCAGGATGGGCACACAAAGCACGAGATAATGATATAGACATTGTGTGATATCACAATTAAAGCTTTGCATCCATGAAATTGAATCACAAAATGTCATTGTATTAATTCATAATAAAAATTGACGTCAAACGAGGTGTTGAATTTCTCTGTTTAAAAAGCTCAATGTGTATGTATATAAGCCAAAATGACGATAGAGACCATGCGGGAGGGATGGATACATTGTCTCAAGAACCCGGCAAAACCCCTCCTCAAAAATTCCTGGATCCGCCCCTGGTCATCTATTTATTTTGGGATTTCGGCGGGGGACATCAGCCTCACTGTTGGCTTGTTATTATATTTTTGGTGAATCAGCTATGAAAGTGTAACCATACAAGATTTATTGTTTGTGGATACTCTGCACACTTCAATTCCACCGGGAGATGAAATGGGGTTTAATGCCCTACTTTTCTGCACCGAGTAGACTGATGAGGAAGGGCATACACCATGCAGTGTTCACCGAGGGAAATTGTACCCGTTCAGCGGCGCTACGGCCTACTATTATTTCGAATTCCAACTGTCAAGAGTTCCATTACGCGCATGGGGCATTACGTCCCATCCGAACGACCATACGTTTTCCTATGCCAGACCACCTGTCCTACACCACTGAGAAGAGGGAACCATGAACTAATGACAATATTTATAGCTTAAATGTAACATTATATACTAAACACGGTTCAGGCAAACGAGGTGTTGGTGGGTGCATGTTAGGCACTTATCAGCCCTTGTTTTACATATTAACACTTGTTATAATAACAACTTTAATTTCATTTTATAGCTATGGTACAAACGGTCACGGAGCCTTAGAAAAAATGGGCATACCCGGTCCAAAACCACGCATATTTTTTGGCAATATCTTGGATTTTAAACATCTGGTGGGTCTTATGATATTTTTTTTTATTTCTTATATGAACAAATAATTCTTAGTAAAACAATACCGGACAAATGATACACTAGAATCTTAAAATGAACAAACTTTTATTCTTTGTTTACAGGGATTGGTCGAACAAACAGAGGAATGGAAAAAACAATATGGACCCGTTTATGGGTAAGTTAAAAATCTCGTGGATGCACCAGAGTTTGAAGTTTTCGACTTATTGATTTCAAGTTTATATACATTGGTTATGTCAGTGATCGAGGCGAAAAATTGGCAATTCAGTAATTTACACAAAAATAAGTCTTTAACTTCGAAATATCGAGGTAGTTAACATCCGATTATTACAGTCACGCACTTAAGATGGAACATGGACGCCATCCGTGCATGTGTAATTGGTCGATTTTTTGAATCACAACAACCTCACTTCTATGTGTATTTCCAATGTTCGAATTATAACGGAATCCACACACATTCGATTGTTCCACTTACTTGTTCCAAGCACCTTCTTGGGAACACTCTACAATCTATTATCACCCTATGTCTTTAAAATTTATTAATGTTGTTTACAGTGCTATTGCCCTTGGTTATTCTGTTACATCTTATGAACGCTCGAACGATCTTCACATTATTCAGACGCAACATGTCTGTTAATTACTTCTAGGGTTATGTCCCTTGTTAACTTTGCAGACTCTTGTCAACAATTTCCACCAATTTCTTTTATATATATATATGACCCTTGCTCTCTCTGTTGAATTTTGAGAATACCTTAACATATTCATATTCTTTGTGACCACCTGTTTACAAAATATATGCATTATTCACATTAATGAAACACCGAAGCCTGTCGAATTTCAAAGAGTTATTGCCCAACGCCATACCCATGAATCTATTTTGGTTCCCTAGATATAAAGTGTATGTCTTCTCTGTTAAATATGTTGCAGGCTATATTTTGGCAGGGAACCCAGTCTGGTTATTAACGATTTAGATATATTGAAGGAAGTTCTTGTGAAAGATTTTCAACATTTTACAGATCGACGGGTAGGTTCAAATGCGTGAATAAAATAGTTCTTAGATGAACCAAACCTCCTGGATTAAGGTTAGAATGAAGTATTTAATTGGGTTATTTGTATTAATAATTGATGATTTGTATACTAAATAAGGTATAATTATGGAATGCTGGCTCGACAGATCAATACATCATTGGATACAGGCTTTGTGCATAGAATATTTAACGAAGTCAAATTGTCATCCTACAAGAAAAAATCCGCCATTTTATTTTTGACCAAATCTGATGATTTCAGTTTGTTTATTTTTCATAAGACCATAACCTAGTTAGATATTGTTATGAGGAATACCACCACCGAAAATAATCTTTCTAATTCCTTAATTAAAGGTTAGGGTGGAACTTGACAACCTAAATACCTGCGTTTATATTCATAATACTACATTTTGCTAGGGGCATGGCACAATCAGCCTTTCCGAAAGTCCCCCCCCCCCCCAAAAAAAAAAAAAAATCTCTGAAGTTTTTTTTTTCATCTACCGTTGATGTTCTAAAATAAATGTTAAATAATCAGTTTATTTTGGATAAATGTTGTTCGTAAAATGAAGGTAACGAATGAAAATGTAACCAGTGAAGACTAGCTTATATAAAATAAAGATCTCCGTGTATTTGGAATAAAATAAAGATCTCCGTGTATTTGAAATAATATAAGGACCCCCGTAGTACATCTAGAACGGGGTTATTATACGAAGATAATAACTTAAGGAAATTACTGACATAGGTTTATGTGTTGATATAACACCCAATGTTACTTCTCATCAGTACCGGATTTATCTATGAGCTTGGCAAGTTGATGCATAAAGCACCAAGTTCTAGGGGAGGGGGGGGAGCTCGGGCCAATGTGTATAATATTTTTGACACTTTCTTATGCCTTTATTACACGCACTGTAATCTTAAAAATCCGTCATGATCTTGAGCTTTGCTCAATTGTGTTTAAAACAAACTTCCTCTTCCTCTAGCCATGAGAATGGAGTATTTGGAGGGGACTCTTAAGAAGAATAGCCTAGGGCCTCTCTTCAAATAAATCCGGCACCGCTCCTCATGCTTTTAAGTCTCTTAATTGCAATTTTCTTTATCCTGAGATAGGTATCAGTGGCAAGAGCGTATGTGGAAAAGGGGGTATTTTTCCAAGGTGGTGCAGACTGGAAACGGATCAGAAATATCATAACGCCGACTTTCAGTTCCGGCAAATTAAAACTGGTAAGTATTCACAGTTAAATGCCTAACATCTTTTAATTATAGCTCAAATCTAACAATGCTATTAAAGATGCATTATATAAAACTTAGGTAAAGAGCTGGTGGTTTTTGCTATAATGGTTTAAAAATCGACAATGAAAAAAGAAATTAGTTTTCGAAGTTATGAATGTTTTAAGTTTTGACAGGAAATAGCGCCCATAGTTGCTAGTGTCAAGTACCATTGCTACGATTATAACGAAGTCTCTATTTTACATTTTAACTAAGATGTGACAGATATTATCAAATCCACTTAATATCTCAGATATCCGAAGGTATAGGGATATATAAAATGGGGTTAACACCCTGCTGTTCTGCTACGACTGGGCTTATGAAGACGGAAATAACGTACAAACCAGATATGCAGTTTTTTATTTTTAAAAAAAATCATAATTACTAAACATTTTCCTGTTGGTCTACCTACGTCACTTCCTGTTTACATGCTGCTATCTGACATCAAAATATAAAGTGTTTTATCTATTTGTCACTTCCATTAAAAAACGAAAGGCGAAATATCTAGAGTAATTTAATTTCTCATTAATCGTAGCATAAGAAAATAAAAATCTTTTTTTGTTATTTATAAATAGATGATAGGGAATATCAACAAATGTGGTGGTTTATTATCTGATAATCTGGTCACGAAAGCCAAGAAAGGCGAAACAGTTGATGTTAAGCGGTAAGTTAACAATGTTCAAAGAAATTTCACAGTAAAGCAACTTCGGAGCTCACAATAAATATCCAATTTTGAGGATGTGACATCAAAATTGCGATTTACGTATAGGACTCGTATTGGACTCGTTTTGGCAAGCGTTTAGCTACTTCTCCTGTGTATGTAATGTCGATCATTCTAGCCTCTCTTCTTCAATTTCTTCAAATGTCACTCAATCTAATTAATAGTTATTGATAAGTACCCTATTCTCGTTCCGTTGCGGTCTCTCTTTGCTACGAGGTTCAGAGCGAAGTCAAGAATGCAAGAAATAAGGCCTCGCACTGATTATTTCTTGCCTTCCTGCTGAACTCTATAGTCAGATCAGGACCAATTGTCGAGGCTTCGCCTTTTTACTTATTTAACGCGATGGCAAGAAAGGGCGAAGGGTACTTATCGGCTTTCATTTAATATACACTCGAGTAAGGTTAACTACATGTACATCTTTTAAGTTAATATGTCTGGACTTGACCTCTGTATTGTGATAACAGTAGACCAGTTTAGTATATAAAGGATTTATTTACAACGGGAACATATAACAGCTACAGTTACATACATACAACAACAATACGGGAACTTAAACTATATAAGAACTAGTCTACGACAGCAACACATCTAACTATGTTAATTCCACCATTCTGCCCCACTGCCAAGGCAGCGGCTGAACTCGGGTGAGTCCATACACTCGTCCAAGCCCCTGCCCCCCCCCCCCCGCTCTTCTCGCCCTAACTGTCAGCCAACGCCTGATTATATAGCCCCAATTGCACTGCGTATTTCCTTTGAAGTCATTATCAGGTCATGGTATGATTATACTGACCAGTGCATATTCCTTTGAATTAATGCAGAGCGTGTGCACAGATCATAATATGTAGTTTGTAAATGACAAATGGGATTAATTACATGTTTAATTAGAACGTGACTAAACAGAAGTACATGTATATAGAGTTGAAAAGTCGACACCATCTATTATGAAAACCAGCTTAGGTCAATAAGTTCACAGAATCTAAATAATAGTTCGTATTTTATAAAATAGAAAATTAAATACTTTGTGACAGTATGACCGAAAAGGATAGCACATATCATGTATGTAACGTAGACCAAAAAATCAATCGGAAAGAAGTAAACGACGGTATTTGTATTTATTTATAGGTATTTCGGAGCTTATACCATGGATGTAATAGCCACAACAGCGTTCGGATTGGACATAGATTCACAGACTAATCCTGATGAACCTCTTGTCCACAATGCGAGAAAACTGTTTGCAGAAACCCGATTGGCATCAACGGCTATGCTTATTTCAAGTAAGTTTTAGAACTACAGATTTGGAACTAGGGATTGGTGGTCCCCATACTCTACATGGTGTTGTTCTTCTCTGGATGACACGCTTCGAGAAATCCTAAGGCTCAGCCAATTCATGTACGGTCGACATGAAACTTGGGATGCTTGTATCTTTGACAATTGTGCATCAATATTACGCCACAAATCCAAGATGGCTTCGATGACGTCATACTCAGTTTTTTTGTCCATACTATATCGATGCTTGTTTTAGAACGAAAACTACATCTTAGCACCTATTGAATCAAAGACAATAACTTTCAGCTCAAAGACCCGGTCACTTTAGATTTAGTAAACTTTATCAGAAGAAATGGCATATGCCTTAACTATTTGAACAATACATATTTGGCAGATATGACAACCCATTGACTAAACTTTAGTAGGAATGTGATCTAAAGCTAAATTTCTGCTTTTTCCCTATAATATTCCCTATTTTTTATTAGTTAGTTATTCTTCACATAGAAATATAATTTCTATCTATATTTTTTTTCTTTTTTTAGTGGTCTTTCCATTTTTGAAACCGTTACTTAAACTTTTAGATGTTGGATTTTTTCCGGCTGGCCCCGTCAATTTCTTTGTTAGGTCCATAAAGGCCATGATAGAACAAAGAAAAACAGAAGATGAAGCTACCAGATCAGTAAGTTAAATTTAAATGTTCAATTTAAGTTTTTACAATAATAATACTTGTATTGTATGTGGCGGTAAATAACTCTTGATTCAGTGAAAATATAATGTTATTGCTGAAAGTATGAGTAACTTACAGCCATGCGCGTTGCATCATATATATGGTCTGTCATTGAGTCAAGTGGCATGCCCTCTCTCTCTCTCTCTCTCTCTCTCTCTAAAAAAATAATTGACCGCTATGTGCAATTTGCCAATTTTCAGCAAAGGACAGATTTTTTACAACTACTATTGAAAGCTGAAAGCGAGGAAATCAATGATGAAAAGGTTTCTAATGGAACACAGACAAAGGCTATAAAACGTATGTTTTTAGTTTTATTTTGCTTCTTAATAACAAAAGATGACATAACTAACAAAAAGTCGCCAAAATTTAATATAGTATAGTTATGTGGTTGATGCTGTCCTTTAATTTTTAAAATATTTATATATTTACCAGGATTAACATTAGAAGAAATAATTGGCCAAGCATTCCTCTTCTTTATTGCTGGATACGAAACAACGGCTAATACCTTACATTTTGTTGCATATAATTTGGCGAAAAATCCCGAAGTACAGGAGAAAGTGATAAAAGAAATAGAAGCACATGTTGGTGATGTAAGTAGTTAAAGAGAAATTTGATTTAAGCAAATACCGAAATATTACAGCGGCGTCTACGTAATTAAGGTATCTTTTCACGTCTCTTTTCATTATCAACAAACTGAGCATTTCAACAGTAATATGGTTGATCACTGTAACAGGGGATAATGCATCACTTTTTTTCGAAACTACTTTATTATTTTGCCATGAGTCTGACATCTTTGGTAGTTTCACCGGGTAAAGTCTACGTACAATTAGACCAATATATCTAGTTTGTATTTATAGATGGATGAGACTATATTTATTTAACTGTATTTATGGATCGATAGTACTTTATTTTATTTGTAGAGAGAACCAACTTACGATGATATAAATAAGCTGACCTATATGGAACAAGTTATTATGGAAACACTTAGAATTAACCCACCTGTTGTTATGTATGTATGATACTTTATTTTCAGAAGACCAAGAACAAATTGATATAATTTATTTATGTCTACATTCATGTGATTGCTCAACTTGATATTTTACTATTAATGTCAATGAACATAATGATAAATATGGTTCCAAATAACGTAGGGAAACTGTATTCACAGCAGCCATTGCAGCCTTTCATTCTTTTCATTTAAAAACTACAATATCAATCAAAGACAGAACGTGGACGTATAATAAAGCGTAAGCGTTGATCTTGTTAACTAAATAAAAAAGGTTTAGCTCCCTTTATCTTCTTAGGAAAATTGGTTTTATACCTTGGCAAACTTGTGTAATATACAGTTAGAGATATTTTCTCACATAGAGAAGTTGCAAATATATTGATATTTGCCTAGGTTAGCGATTAGTCCTACTTTAATCACTTGCCTATGAAACTAACTGCATTATTTTAATTCAGGGTCAATCGCAAATCTTCAGAAGATGTTAGTTTTAAAGGGATTCATATCCCGAGAGATACGACGGTCATGATTCCTATTTATAGCGTCCAACATGACCCATTAAACTATGAAAATCCTGAAGAATTCAGACCAGAAAGGTAAGACATTGATTAATTGCTAGAGGTTGACAACAGTTGTTGTTGTTGTTATGATGTTATTTCTCAAGACTGAATATGAGTTTATGGTTTTCTCGACAGATGCGCAAAAATTATAGACTCCTCGTTAATCCAATTGCAGTACAATCTGAGACATGATCTTTTGTTCGTCTTTACATGTTTCAGATTTGACCCTGCTACGAGAAAAGAAAGTAACCCGGTCACATTTTTATCATTTGGCTATGGGCCAAGGTTATGTATTGGTATGAGACTGGCAATGGTGGAAACTAAAATAGCACTGGTGTACGCACTTAGGAAAATTCGATTTGTCAAATGTTCTGAGACTCCGGTAAGTTTAATTCCATTATATTTGATAAGTTAAGATCGCCCACAATATCACTTTGTATTTCGCATTTTAAACTTTATGACTGGAGAATCTGTTGCTGGTCATGGTCTAGAGATTACTATCCAATTATAAGGTCTGGCATAGTTGACCCCCCACCCCCCCCAAAAAAAAAAAGAAAAAGAAAAAAAAAATAGAGGCGTTCTAGATCATACTGTTATGTCGACCATATTTCGATTGAGACTCCATATAAAAACTCAACAATTCTACCAGTATGTTTCAGTCACAGCAGGTCACAGCATCTCAACTGCCAATTACTGTTTTCGTCCCATTTACTTGAAATGATCGACGCTGATCTTGCCCGGATATTCGTATACTTTCAGTTTTATAAACTGATATCCCTTTGAGTTGGCAGGCTTCTTTATTATTATGCATCCTGTCTGTCGTTTCCATTTTATTCACCCGCACCGTTTCTTGCCTTCTCACGTGTGGGTGGCTTTGATGCGTGACATGGAGTATGATCGCCTGTCCAACGATGTGATCGCCTGTCAGCCCCCCCCCCTCTCTCTCTCTCTCTCTCTCTCTCTCTCTGGGTTCCCCCCCCCCCCCGCGCTCCCCGCGGCTTAAGTTTTAAAATGATTTGGACAAATTGAATCTTAATCTCAAATATGGCCAACATAATAGGACATGATGTTGCAGAAGTGAATCATTTGTTCCAGGTTTGAGCCTTTAAAGCAACCGTGTTTAGACAAATCTCACTTAATCTATTGCTTTCATTGTAACCTCTATTATAGAAATTCCCTCGAAATTTAAAGGATAGCGATTATTAATTATTCGGCGAAGGGCTATGGAAATCGTCTAGACATTTTTAAATATATTTTTCAGGAGAAACTGGAGTATAATAATGTAGGTCTTCTGTCACCAAAAGTACCAATAATAGTGGCTGTAGATCTTGTTAACCAGTCTTAAATAAACCCAAACCGGACCGCTAGAATACAAGCCGATTAATATACAGATCGATATTTTGTTTCGTTTTTTTTATACTTCATCATCTTCACGAAGATCGCGCCGGTTGTAATGGCAGTTCGTGGAAATATGATTTTTGTTTGGTTTTATTTTCTTTCGCTGGGCATGTCTACTCACAGTTCTCTCAGCTACGCGATAAGAATTCGGCTCAACACACGTGTTATTTAACAACCCTTCCAGACCTTGATGTAGTGAAGATACGTAACTATATAAAACGGAAAACGAAATAGGATCTGTGTTTTAATCAGATTTGCTGGAATATTGTGTATTCTAGACCAATGATATAGAATGCAGGGGTTCAAGTAGATGAAAAACTTGACCCCTTTCAAATAAAATGAGATTCTGATACATTAAGTTATATAAATTATCCGTTCCATGTCTTTTGGATCTACAGACAAAATCACCAAAAGGAATGTTAATGATATGCCATGTTTCAAAAGTGGCCCGGGTTGAATAAAACTCCGTTTATACCATTATTTACTAACATTTTGAAAAATTTTACGGTTCTATATATGATATTGTATACGTTATAGGTTTTACTAACAGTTTGAACATATTATATTATTATCGTAGTCATTATATTATTCACTAACAGCTTGATAAATGATATTGTAGCCTTTATATTATTTGATGCGGGGGGGGGGGGAATCTGAATTAGAATTTTCAATGTTAATTTTATGTCAATTCCCATGGCCCGTACAGTGAGTTGTACAAAATAAGTTTTTACTCATTTTAAAAATCACCCTATCTATATGAAGCTTGGGCTTTTATATGGTATATCGGCGTGCTTTTCGCCGGTCCGCCCAGCCAGCATCGGGTTTTTTTACAGGTCTTCCGGTTTCTTCCCACTGTTAAAAGACCCATAGTCGCAAGCGAATTATTAAAATAAAATTGAACCATATATTAGTCTCGAAATAACCTAGTTTGGAATTGTATAGATTATCAAAAGTATATTGTTGTAAATTATATAAAAATAAATGTTTGTATATATCATATAAATTACTGTATATTTCTAATTCGTATATCTGGAACCTAAGCTATGCATAATTCATTTCGAACGATAAATTAAAGGAGCTAAATCGCAAATATTTGGGACCTACAAATTGACACAAACGGGTCGAAACGCATATAATAATGTAATATGAATGTATATAAACTGATTTACATTTAATCATTTCCGTTTTTACTCTAATCAGTTATGTTCGGCGAAATACGCGAGAAGTCTCATTCGAGTGGCAATCTCTAGCGTCTGGTTATTCCAGTCTACACGGGTAGTATAAGAATATGACGTCACCGTTTGACATGACTTGTAGAATATGTCTAGCCCCGTTCTTGGAGTTCCTTGTTACAAATGGCGCTGAAACGCATTCTGATACACGGTTCGTGTACCAATGGCAAAATGTTTGTTTTGTCTTAAAGTAGCTAAGTCTCTATCTCAATATAATCCAAAGTCTTACACGTTGAAAACAAGAATTATTTGTCAATTCAAATCAACATTGATGTTGTGATCTTACCGGGAAAAGGTAGGCTTCTGATCATTGGTACACGAATCGTGTACCATAGTGCGTTTCAGCGTCATTTGTAACAAGTGACCAGAAAGAACGAAGCTAGACATATTCCACAACTCGTGTCAAACGGTGACGCCATATCTTATCTGGAGAGCATACGCAATAGACTGGAATAACCAGACGCTAGAAATTGCCATTCGGTTGAGACTCATGCCGTATTTCGCTGGACATAACTGATTTGAAATTAGAGTCAAAACGGAAACAATTGAATGTAAATCAGTTTATATACAATCAGATTACATTATTATATGAGTTGCTAGCCATTTGGGTCAATTACTAGGTCCCAAATATTAGCGATTTAGCTCCTTTAAATATTGGATATCCGAAGTCCATCTTTTCCCGGTAAGATCACAACATCAGTGTTGATTTAAATTGACAAATAATTCGTGTTTTCAATGTCGAGGGCGGTGGATGATATTGAGTTAAAGCCTTAGCTACTTTAACGAAGAAGAATATTTCATAAGATCAAATTTTAGACGATGATCTTCCAGGCACTTGATTTCCAACAGATCCAGCAGAATAATCTGTGCTGGAAACGATAGCTGGAATGTGCCACTGTGTAAAACGAACAGGAAATAATTAATTCGGGATGGAGTGGGTGGGTCAAATGCGATCAAGAAAAGAATATATCCTAAAATTGATGGTGGTAAATGGTATCACATTAAAAGGTGTGGGCCTGAAAAGTGCAGTGAGTGCCTGTTTTACCATTCGTGCTCAAGCTCCATATTTCTCCGGGTCCTACGGTTTCCTCCCACTGCTAAAGACCCCTACGCGCAAGCGAATTAATGAAATAAAATTGAACCATATGTTAGTCCCTAAATGACCTAGTTTGTGTCGAGTGGACGTTAACCTCTGTCTCCCCCCCCCCCCTCTCTCTCTCTCTGTTGATAAATCCAGCTATTACACTGAAAGGTGTAAAGCATTGGGTTAATGAGAAAACAAGAACTGTCGATACGTGTCCTGCCTCTTGCTTTTGTACGCCGTACAATCGTCCATGATTATTCTACAACTTGAAAACAAGTATGGCGATCATTAAGGGTGTTAATTTTTTTTTATTTGATTATTTCTGTAGTTTTGTAATCGGAATTCAGCTTTAAATGTAGAGCATAAAATGTTAATCAATACAACAACAAAAAACAAGCTGATTATCTATGATATAGCCCACGAATTCACCCCGGTGGTGAGATCGCCGTAGGGTCCATGAAATGTCGGTGAGACGAGGTCAATTTCCTGTCATACTACGTCCCAAATGATGTAAAAAAACACGAAAATTAAAATCATCTATAGACGCCATTTTGAGTAATTAGCGATATCCGTTTTTGAAACCAAAAGATTTCGTAGAGCGACCGAAATTGCGAAGCCGATATTATGGCCCTCATTTTCGATGCACACGTGCATAGAGGCGTCACCGTGCACGGTGCGAATGCTGTTGGAAGCTGGAGAGACGTTTTTCCGGGAAAAAGCAACGTGGGAAAGTAGACATTCCCACACGTCCACGTTGCCTTTTCCTGGAAAAACGGCTCTCCAGCTTCCAACCGCACTCGCTCATTCCTCATTTGACGCCATGCCTGCCAACGCAAAAACACATGAAGAGAATCGATTGAAAGTCTGTGTAGTATGTTTTACAAAAGGCTCCCGCGTCGTCAAAGTAACAGGTAAGAATTTTCGTCGAATTAAAGAGTATTTCCTCGAAAATTACGATCCTACTGAGGACGTTCGTCTTCCGGCCGGTATATGTGCAAGGTCCCACAAGCCGCAGAAATAGCGACGTCTGACGTATTGAGACAAAAATTTGAAACTTCAGACAGTTCTTCGATAAAGATTCGTACCCGAGGAAAAGATTTGAAGATCAAGAGACCCTTGAAGTCCGTCTCTAAAGCTATATTTTCTACCAGATCTGTATCCTCAGATGAAGTAAATCGGTTCCAGTCTACTTTAGGGCTATCATTAAAACAGACTGAGAAGGCGTTGGTTTTCTTTCGGTCATGGAAAGGCCGTGATTCGGTTCAATCTGGCGTTATGGGTGCTTTGCGAGATGCCGACAAACAATTGGAATCGTATTATTCCGTCACAGAACTTTCGCTTGATTCATCTGTGAAAGGGGAAGAAAAAGTTTCGAGGTCTGTAGTTTTTTGTCATGACCTGAGGGGATTGATTGATAATGTGATAGAGCACCGTGGTGAATCAGTGGCCGACTATATGATAAAAATCGGCATAGATGGTGGAGGTAATTTTCTGAAATTCACTATGAACGTCATAAAAGAGGATACGGTGGTTTCTGATTCCAAGCGTATGAAGTATTCAGAAGGTGCGTTCGCAGAAAACTTCGTGGATGGAGGAGTCAAGAAACTATTGTTAATCGGAATAGTCGAACAAGTCAAGGAAACGTATCATAATCTAGAATGTGTACAGAATCTCATAGGACTAGATAGGATTGATTTCGTCTGTGCATTTGATTTAAAATTAGCTAATGCCTTCTTGGGAATTGGAACACATTCGTCCACATTTCCATGCCCATGGTGTGAAGTTCCGAAATCCTCTTTCTCTGATCCCGACCGAGTCATCGAGATGCGGACCTTGGGGTCCATCCGGGACAATGCAACGATGTATCAAGCTGCCTTGGTAAATCACAACAGGAAGACGAAACTCTCTGCAGCCGACTTCAAGAGTTTTCAGAATGTTCGGCCGCTTCTAAAGAATCTACCCGATGACACGGTTGTTCTTGACGTTATTCCAGTGATGGAACTTCACCTGGTGTTGGGAATTGTAAACAGATTATATGATCATCTTGACGCAATGGAGAACAATGCAAGAAACTCCTTCAAAACGTTCACATTTTAGAGAGACTAATCGAATCGGATGGTACTTGCGAAAGCATAAACAAAATAGTTCAAACATTCAAGATGTTTGAAGACGTTAGACAGAAATGTTTCTCCCTGAAGTTGCTTCCTGAGTACGATCAATCGATCCGAGCTTTTGAAAGTGCCTATAAAGATTTAAACATACCAGTGACAAGCAAAGCACGCGCGATTTTTGACCATGTGGAGTTTTTTATAGACAGGCAGGGACGTGAAAAAGGCTTGGGCTACTTTTCAGAACAGGCCTCAGAGTCTGTCCATGCTAATTTCAGCCTCATGTGGCGTAGATACAAACGAATACGGCACGAAACTTTTAGCCTGCGTTGTTGCTTACTCGTCCAGACACCGTTAATCTATATTTTGCTTCACTACTACACTACCTAATACTTTGTTTACTTGTACTTCGTATTCTTGATTGACTAATAAACGCTCATTTGACAATGACGGAAATCGCTAATTACTCAAAATGGCGTCTATAGATGATCTTAATTTTCTTGTTTTTTTACATCATTTGGGACATAGTATGACAGGAAATTGACCTCGTCTCACCGACATTTCATGGACCCTACGGCGATATTGTATAGTTGGCCAGGAAAACGACCTTGAATTTTACGTAATTGTTTAGTGACTGATACACAGGCACTTGAACTGTGGACTGATACTACACTCATTTAACATAAAAAAAACAACAACTATGATATCTGAAAAAAACTGTCCGAGTTTATGAACTTAAACCGTCCTAGTTAATGTACTGATTTCTCGCGTGCCGAAATGAAATGAAATGGGGTTTAACGTCCTACTGTTCTGCTCCTATGCTGGGCTAATGAAGACGGGCATACGCCATACAGTGTGCTATGGGGGAAATTTTGCCCGGGCAGCGGCACTATCGCCTACTCTTATATCGAATTCCAACTGCCAAGGGATCTTTTACGTCCATTCCAATGTATACACGGGACCTCGGGTTTTCGTCTCATCCGAAGGACTAGACAGCTGTCCCTGTCAGGCCCTCCGTTCTGCATCACTGACAAGGGGGAACCACGCCGGAAAATCTGGATGAACTTACTCGGCCAGTGCAGGGATCGAACACCCGACCTCCAGGCTAGCGAGCCAGCGTCTTACCCACTTAGCCACGTGACCCCCCCCCCCCTCGCATGCCGAAGTCCTGTAAAACTATGTGTAATGAATCTCAGATATTTTTCTTATTTAAAATGGCAATTCTGATAATTAAAGAACCCGGACGTTCCTATAATTTATTTACCATTATTTTTAAATTACGGATAAAGGGTAACACGTTGTAAGCTTCATACAAAAATCAAATAGCCATAGAAATTAAATCGAAGTGATTATCGGACTATAAAACTTAGCCAATAGCTGCAGGTGACCAGTATATGCATATATAGATTTCACGTCCTGTATTATGGGATATGCATCTCTAAACAGAAAAAAACCCGAACTATTTCATCCCCGTAGAGTGTTATGTGATTTGCCTTTGAGCGGGTACCACGCCACGATTATCCAGTCCTAAATGCCAATGATCCACTCACGAAACGATTATCCAGCCCTAAATGCCCATGAGCATGCCTTACACAACGGTTATCCAGTTCTAAATCTTATTGAGAAATAAATGAAATGAAAGGGGGTTTAACGTCCCACTGTTCTTCTGTTCTGCTCCGACTGGGCTAATAAAGACGGGCATATACCTTGGAGTGTTAAATGAGGAAAATTTGCCTGAACAACGGCGCTACGGCCTACTCTCACATCGAATTCCAACTTACGCAGCAATGTGTACACCGGGCTTGATTTTCCGTCCCATTCGAACGACTATATGTTTTCCCTGGCCATGCCCTCGGTCCTGCACCAATGACAAGGAGGAACCACGCCGAAAAAACTCCGGATGAGCTTTCTCGGCCAACGCAGGGATCGAGCACGGGACCTCCGGGTTAGCGAGCCAACGTCTTACTAACTGGGCCACCGTGGTTCCCTGTTGAGAAATATACACCCGATGTTCTGGTTGGGTATAGCGAAAGAAGGGATTTATGTACCGATCCCTGCGGGAAGGTGAACAGGGAAGGACTCCCACAAAACCGTGTTTAATTTATTTACCAGCTCAACAGCGACCTTGTATAGTGTGCGAGGGACCGAGTCAGCGTTACCACAACTAAGATAGCTAGATTACAGATTGTATTCTCATTTGTGTTATTTTTAGTAAAACATGCTTACAATTGCTAACCAGGGGTCGCGGATTTGATCCCGATGTTTCTCTGTGTCTCAGTGATACATGACCAGGTCAAGGCGTTCTGATGACAGTTGGAATTCAATATACTAGTAGACCGTTAAACCACTGTCCTGGCCAAAATACCCTCATAGCACACGGCATAGTGTATGTCAGTCTTCATAAGCCCGAATGGAGCAGAAAAGTAGGACGCTAATTCCAATTTCATTTCACAATTTTAATAATATGCACTTATCCTTTAAATTATTTGACAGGCAGCGTCGACTGGTTTTTGACCTATCACGTGACAAACTGTATGTTCTTATTTACAATACATATTCTGACTATATACGCTTCGCTAATATTGCTATCTTGTCGTTACGACCGAAGATTTACATATTTATTACATGTGAATTATACCTCATTGCCGTGACACGTAATTACTTCAGTTTTTGGGTAAGTACTGAGTTAGTTAGTGCCTTTTTCATCGTAGCTTTTGAATTCTCGGATGTATAATCTATCGAAATGTAGAATATTTCTACCGCATAACCGATCTCACCGTTTACGACTGGACTGTATAGTGTTTACGTTTACAGATGCGTTTACATCATTGAGAAAAGGAAGAACATCATACGAATTCAGTTTTGGCTCATTTTGAACAATTTTGTTGTTTTTATTTCTTCAGGGTTTTGAATAATGGGTTGGTTAAACATATTTGAGTATATCCCTACGTGGACATGGCTGATTATAATAATGTTTGTGTTACTCTACATGTGAGTAGTGTTATATTTATATATTAGCTTCATATCAGGGACCTAGTGATAATGAATACATGAGTAGCAATATTCATGCTCCGGTCATATAAGAATATTGCACAATGCTGTTTTCAGAATTATCGTGATATTTTCGTATCCTTTCCATATCTTTCGTATTCATTTCAACTTTCCTATTTCATTTTTTTGGCTCGCAACTGGGCGTGCATTTCAAATGCAAGTCCAAAGTATGGGTGATTTTTGTGCCGGAATCGAGATGTATTTTCGCTACAATGTCTCTGCCATGACATTCACCTGTCCCTGCTTGTGAGTTTTATTATTATTAAACTATTGATACATGTCACTATCGTTGTTATTGTTATATTATTGCTACATAATGTGAGTATATATTATTGCTATATGTGAGTATTGTTATTATTATGGTATTATTAGCTTTCATCAGTCCACCCAAATCATTCAAAACTGGTGGGCTAATATTTTATGGACTATTCAGGAAAATCAACGTTCACCGAGAAAAAAGTGACATATGCCCATGGTTTTTAGTATAAGATGTACATTATACCACCTCAAAAGTGCTGTTGGGTGTTGTCTACAAACCTAGCTTTTCTAATAACCACTTTTAATATGTTTTAGGTATGGTACAAAAGGACACGATGTCTTATCAAAATTAGGCATACCCGGTCCCAAACCAAGCTTATTTTTTTGGAAATATCTTACAATTTGGAAAGGTAGTAGGTTATGTTGATATATTTTGTTGTGGGTGTATTTATTTTGATTGATGGGATATGTTTTATATGACTGATGAGTTATTGAATCGTCTTTATTGTAGACAGTCGTGACACCACCATCGTCAAGAATGGTTGCATCTATAAATACGTACCTGTAGACATTTGTTTATGTCAGAAATGTTGTACTAAAATAGAATAGTTCCGAATTATTTCATATTATCGGTGTCTGTTGAATTATTATACATGTATCAGTGGACAATGTGTGATAATACACTGTGATCTCCAACTCTTATTGGTAAACAAACTTTTCATTTCAAACGCCCACATTGAAATGTGTTCGTATATTGTCGTCGCCCCCGTCCGTCCGTCGGCCCGGCGTCCAGAATTGATTTTCATCGATTTCCGAATATTACTGCCAGAGTTATGGCCCTTGATCACTTTGAAAAATCTTGTGGATGCTTTAGAGATCATAGTTATCATCTGATTGATTTTATATTTATACTTCGTGTTTACGCCTATATATAATCGTTTCGATTGACTTTAGATTGATACACAGAGTTTAAGGTCTTGAGACGAACAAGTATATTGATTTGCAATTGATTTGCAATGAACAGCTAAATCCATGATATTAAATATTTTGTATACTTAACGTTAGCGTGGGCGAAGCAAATTCTATTGATTTTCTGATAATTACTTAATGAGTAGTTACTCTTAAAAATATGCGACAACTCTGGTTGACTGCTCTGGCGATTTAGCTGCCGTGGGTGTATGTTTCGTTGCCTGACAACCTATATTTATTCACAGGGAACTGATTTGCTACTTGGGGAATGGAAAAAACAATTTGGCGCAGTGTTTGGGTAAGTTTATATGGCGGTTTGAACCACTAGATGTATATTTTGTTTCCTGCCAACATCTTCATTAAAAGAGAAAGAGAGAAATTAGTCATTTCGAGACTAACATAAAGTTCAATTTTATTTCAATAATTTGTTTGCGCGTAAGCGTCGTTAGTAGTGGGAGGAAACCGGAGGACCCGGAGAAAACCCGCGAGGTTGGACACCAACCCCCCCCCCATCTTTATTAAAGGAATATGAAGTAAGATTAGATAAACAGCTGACAGCTCTCGCAGTAATAGTTAAAAAAATACATAATGAAAACAGAATAAGCTGAAAATTTCAGTCAGATTGCTTCAATTAGCTATTCAATTTTAGGATAGCCTCGATCGTAATTACTAACGTTTGTACGAAATTCTAATGATTTTCTGATAATTACTTAATGAGTTGTTACTCTTGATCAGATTTTAGTGTATTATAAATGTTTCATTACCGAATAAAGTAAAAATATGCGACAACTCTTGTTGACTGCCCGGACGATTAAGCTGCTGTGGGCGTATGTTTCGTTGTCTGGCAACCTATCTTTACGTTAAATTATCCATCACAAAATGTATTCAAATCCACTTAATATCGCAAGCTAACGATTGCATCGAAAGTTGATTATGGTCTGGATAAGTTAAACATACATTATGCAAGAGCTAAATCTGTCTATTGCAGGTCTTTCTTTAGGCCTGAAATTTTATCTAAATTATTAATTAGACATTAATTAACCATCCAGAATTGGAGAATTCTGAACAAATTCAATAACTCTTAATTCATTTTGAAAATGCATTTCATTTATCTTGTGACAGATAACTGTATCAAGAGCTTACATGGAAAAGGGGATATTTTTCCAAAGTGGCGTCAATTGGAAACGGATCAGAAATATCATTGCGCCGACTTTCAGTTCCAGTAAATTAAAACTAGTAAGTTCTCACTAAACCCTCTTAATTGTAAAATATGTATAATAACTTCCGTTACGTACAGAATACTTACATGTGCATAGGAACACAGATAAAAGTGAATAACCTTGTGCAGCCAATGAAGATATTGTCTGGAACATCACAAATGCTATTAGTTTTATAGTTATCTATAAAACATGGACGTACATGTTGTCTTGTTCAGCTGATTACGTCACTTCCTGTTAAAATATTAATTATTTCTATTGGACATATCTTGAATAATAACATAAACGTATTTTGATTATATTTATAAATAGATGATAGGACCAATCAACAAATGTGGTGGTTTATTATCTAACAAGCTGGTCACGAAAGCCAAGAAAGGAGAAACAGTTGATGTTAAGCAGTACGTAAACAATTTTTGAAGAAATATTGTTGTGGGCCGTCTTCGGGTGCTCACTCTGGATACACCAAACACACACACACACACACACACACACACCCACACACACACACACACACACACGAATGAATGTTTGTATTTGAAAGTTTAAAAAAAGTAACTTTTCATTTTATGCTGTACTTAGTGTGGCTGTGGCCATTATATCAGATTCGTGAAACAATTCACAGATAGTCATTAACAGATGGCTGAAGTAAAAAAACAAATGGTTGAATTTTGTACTTATAGTTATTTTGGAGTGTATACTATGGATGTAATAGCCAGGACGGCGTTTGGGTTGGACACAGATTCACAGAATAATCCTGATGAACCTTTTGTTGACAATGCTAGAAAACTGTTTGCAACAGCTAAGTTTACATCAACGGCCAATCTTCTTTCAAGTAAGATTTATATGTTATAACATCTAAGATTTCGATTTGTTGTAACATACTGAGTAATAACCAAGAGTAAAACTACTAATCTCTATATTACCTCTAGTTACCTTTGATCTATTGCACAATAAAATATTTCACAGCTATACGAAAAGAAATGCTTGAAATCGTCTAGTTATTTAGTATTGTTTCTACATAAATAAAGGAAATGACATTTAACTATTTTTTTTCAAGTTATTTTCCCAATTTTCAGGCCGTTACTTAAGGTATTAGGTGTTGGTATTTTTACATCTGGCCCAGTCAATTTCTTCGTTAGGTCCATAAAGGCCATGATAGAACAAAGAAAAACAGAAGATGAAGCCACCAGATCAGTAAGTTAAATTTCAGACATTTGTCGTTTCTATAATTAAAACTGCATTTGGCGTATTTGTTTTTATCGCACCTGGCCAAACCTAATCTGTCCGTTATATGATCGTTAGTACAGATAATTAGAATGGAAGGTTCTAGAAATAATAATCTTACCATTACCTGTACGACCCTTGTTAAACATGGTAACTAGGCTTTGGGTTCCACGAACAGTAGTGGGGCATAATAAGGGTTTACCGAAGTTTATTATCGTCAGGTTACAGACAAATTTGCCGACCTGTATCTCCTTGAATTAACGATAAAGCAAACCAAACGATATGTAGGTAACAGTAAACTATCTAACCCCGAACAAAAAGAACAGACAATTGCCTTTATTTTAATGTAATCAATTCAATCCCACACCACCCCTTTCTTGGAACTTCCGGTATGCATATTATCATAATTTATAAAAAAAACTATATTATCACTCACTATAGTGATAAAATAGTTTTATATAAATTATGATAATATGCGTTAAGAATTAGGTGTTTGAAGTTCTTGAAATTCGCACAAAAAAGGGATGTGTAGGGAGAGAAAATTGGGTCATTTCAATAATTCGCTTGCGCGTAGGGGCCTTTATCACTATTATCAGTTGGAGATTGGACAGGCTACCCTACTCCTTGTCACATACATACGGGAATCGAAACTTCACCACTTGACTCAACGACAGGCCTTAGGATCTAACTCATGTCAAGTTTGGGTAAAAGTTAGTCACCTATAATTTTCAGCAAAGGACAGATTTTTTAGAACTACTGTTGAAAGCTGAAAGCGAGGAAGGCGATGACATACATGTGACTAATGGAACACAGACAAAGGTTATAAAACGTATGTTTTTAGTTTCCATTTTGCTTTCTAATTAGTGAACATGTAGTGAACCTTTATTAATTATATATAAAGAATCGTGGTGAATTGATCTGATATTATGACAGATCCGTGATGGGGAAACTCAAAACAAATTTTGTTTCGAAGTCTGTCTAATTTTATTTCCATTGTTGACTTAATTTTTCGACAATTTTGTAAATATTTAAGAGGGGACATTGTCCTTTGCTTAAAACCTCAGTCTTCTAAAATTAAAGTAATACACACACATGCAAATAGTCTCACCAAAACGCATATTGGTAATCATAGATAAAACCCACCCTCGCGCCACCATCTTTATTTCTCTAAAAACAATTGTCTATCAGTGTCTGAAGTATAACGCATTTCTATCCACGAGCTACGATAGTATCTGTACAAACATTTTGTTTTTATTATAATCGTCTAACTAATATATCAAAAAATACTTTCAGTCCTGATTTTTCTTATAAATTTAAATGTTGGAAATGTGTATTAGCCTCTGCTGCAAAATTCTTTTGATATGTTTTACAGTTTATTCTAGATAGAATTCTTTTCTGGCAGTGTAATGGACATGCAGATTTTAATTGCTATCTTTATATTCTTGCCAGGACTAACGGTTGAAGAAATGATTGGCCAAGCCTTCCTGTTCTTTATTGCTGGATACGAAACGACGGCTAGTACCTTACAATTTCTTTCTTACAATTTAGCGATAAATTCCGAAGTACAGGAGAAAGTGATAAAAAAAAATAGAAACACATGTTGGTGATGTAAGTAGTTAAAGAGTCTTGAACTATCCTTTAATTTTAATATTTGTATTGCTTTTAACTTTGTACATTTCCTCAAATCAATTACAATTTGCTTTACTGCATATTGCCTTCACTGTTAGGATTAACTGCTTATGGCTTCAGTTCACCCCCTATAATACTTGTCCTTTCATCTTTTATTATTACTTTCATCTATAACTAATTACTGTATATATATATATATATATATATATATAGATTTATTTAATATGTTTTTACAGTCAGGACCAGTTGCTCGTGACTCATTATACCTGCTAATAATTGTTTGATCCTTTGGCTTTATTCCTGCTCTTATCTATACAAATTACAGTTTATAACCATCTATGCACATTGTTTATTTAACGGCTTGGGACAGTTGCTCATGCTTGCTGATTTTGCATCCCATTGGAGGGTTCGCACTGCTCGTGTATATATATATAGCTATTTTGTTTTCATTTTATTTATTTGTGTTATATGCTTGATAACGACTTGTGAAATCTTGTTGAAACGTCGCAGTGAAATAAACCACAGTAATTGTTATCCATAAATAGTGTGTTATTTGATTATGTTCCAATTACTAAATGCCATTTAAAGAATATAAAAGAGTCTTGAGAATTAAAGTCATTGATTAAAATAGATATAACTTGGAAGATAAGTTAGATATGCGATCCATTTTGCCATTTCAATTATTCTTCCGATGGTCTATTTTGGTAGCACCTAAGCGTGTTTAACCATAGAATATGGTTTGACGAATTTATAATAAAAATGACGACGTATAGGTAATCAAGACAAGGCGTATTTTTACATTTCTTTCATCATTTGGAATATGTGAAGCCCAGTTTGATATATGACCTCTTGTGCTTTCCATATGATATTTCCTTTATTCTTTCAATGGGTTCTTGCGATATCACCCAAAGAGTGTTTGGAAAGTGACTCTAATCAACGGGACTAATTTATTCCGCTTTGTAACTGAAGAATATAATTACTTTTTGACGGAATACTTTAGAACCAGCCCGAATAGTTTCACCAGGTAAAGGCTACGTACTATTAGACTAATACATCTGGTTTGTATTTATGGATGGATGATATTGTATTTATGGATCGATTATATAGTACTTTATTTTATTTGTAGAGAGAACCAACTTACGATGATATAAATAAGCTGACCTATATGGAACAAGTTATTATGGAGACACTTAGAATTAACCCACCAGTTATTACGTATACGTATGTGCATTATTCTAAAGGCAGACAACCTGGACGCTCATGTGACCAGTCCTAGATATGTCACGCATTTAATCCTGCAATATATGTTTACCTGAGAGTATGACGCTTCTTGAAACCAGACAAATAAAATGATAGACCAAAAATGTTTATAAACCATGGGTATGGGAAATTGTTAACTCGAAAAATAAACACCATTTCAAAGCAGACGGTAATTCAGACACAGCACGTGTCTGCATATTATGAAGCATACTGAACATCAAAAGCAACATGAATTACATTTGACAAACGTTTTAAATCTCAGTTATTCATCAGTGTATTTCTCAAAACATATTTCCAGTGCAAATCGTAAAGCTTCAACAGACGTTGATATCAAAGGCGTTCATATCCCGAAAGATGCGATGGTGATGATTCCTATCTATAGCATCCAGCATGATCCAAAGAACTATGAAAATCCCGAGGAATTCAGACCAGAAAGGTAATAAAATATTGTAAAATATTCAACATTCTCGACAGATTAGCCAAAGCTATGGCGAAGCATAGCCAATGCAGTGTTTGTTGAACTATGCATCTATAGCATAGTCCGAAGTTGTGAAAATTGTTAACTCTTGTGGCACCACCTAGATGGCCGTCTGGAAATAGAATAACTAATAAAACTGTTACACAATCATTTGCACACTGTGAACACAGTTTCAAGCCTTTGTGAATTTGTCGTTTTTTTCAGTTAGCCAACAATCTACAGATCATAAAATTGTTTAAATTTCTTACTGGGGATTAAAGAAAACTCAGTTCCTAATCTTGCTACAATTCTCCGGACAAGGGGTAATCAGGCTGATTTCAAGTTTACAATAAGACTTGCAGGCTACCAATTAATGAAATATACTCTTCAAAAAAGTAAGGGATATTGAAATGTAAATACCTGTGCAGGTTGTAATATGATAATAGTCATGGACACTTTGAGAGTATGTTCACAGATGAAGAACTTATCGCCCCAACACAACTACTGAGCTACATGTGCGACACGCATTAGTGCTATGCACGTAGGAGGGTTCATTGTCAAATTTGACACTTCAAGGAAGGGTTAGTGAAAACTGCCGCTTGCTGGTTTATCCTATCCATGTTTCCTTAAGTATCGGTTCTTGCATAAGATTTACTGTTTAGCGAATCTTTGCTTTAGTGGGTTACGTTTAATTTGATTGGGAGGCGTGTTCGTCGACGTCAACGTCAACCGACTACACTGCAAGAATTGGCCGTGGCACTGCTAGAGGAGTTGGTGGAGCAATTACTCATTATTAAGACAAAAATAAAAAACGTCCTTTTTCACTTTTGACAGTGTATCTCTTTGCGAGTGAAATGGGGCCGTCAGATAAGCCGCCCATATGAACTGTTTATGTTCATGTGTAAGCAATTGGCCTGTTATTAACATACACTGGTTATCTCTAATAAAAACAACAGTGCATTTCCGCAGTTTTGTATCGTTTCTGAATATCCCCTACTTTTTTTGAAGAGTATACATGTATATCCAGGAACAGGCAACTGGAATATTTGTGTGTCCATTTTTTTTGTTTGAGATTTGACGCTGCTACACGACAAGAAAGTAACCCGATTACATTTTTGCCATTTGGCTACGGACCAAGGTTGTGTATTGGAATGAGATTGGCTTTGCTGGAGACTAAAATAGCACTTGTGTGCTTACTTAGAAGGGTTCGATTTGCTAAATGTTCTGAAACACCAGTAAGTTTGATTTCGTTATATTTTTAGAAGTTTGCAACATATTTTGGTACACCTTAAAACGCACTGGGTGACGATTCTGCTTGTGGGGTCTAAAATCGCATCTATAAGTGTATGTGTGACAGGCTTTCTCGCAAAATTCGTTGTATAACCTTTTGGAACTTCGTATAGCTGGTACACGTTCTTTCCTTTCAATATTATTAAAGCACACCAATAAACGTACCGAAGAGTCTCTAAACCCGAATCTCTGCGACATTTAAAAAAGTGTGATTATTAATAATTATCAAGTATTTTTATTTATTGCTCTATTTTTCAGGACAAACTAAATTTTAAAACTGTTGGTATTCCGTCCACAAAAGATCCAATGAAACTTGCTGTAGAACTGGTTCCCAAGCAAAACTTTTAGGCCTTTTGGGAATAAATGGAAAACAGAATAGTACTTGTTAGTGTAATTATAATTTCTGTCACATTGGAAGTCACGTTTTTTGCTCCGAATACGCTGGATAGAGAAATATTTTAATTGTGAATATGCCATAAGTCTTTAAAATGGCTAAACCGTGTTAATAGGGTCAAAAATAAAATTATCGATTTTCTTTGCTTTCCTACATTGAATTTTCTTGTGGAATGACAATAATATGTCTTCTTTGAGAATTTTACATGAAAATGTAAAGCCTATCTTAAAATATATGTATAACCGATTGTGTGTTCTACTGTTGACATGGTAAGCTAAAATTAGTAAACAGACAGATTTAAGCTTAATCTTTAAAAAACAACAATTTAATCTATTGAGCTTGCCACCATCACTAATCGAAATAACACATCAGTTCCTAACCATTTCAGTAGTTTATTTTGACAAAAATCTTTTGGAATACGAACATTTCGCGCTTCATTTTTCGGAAAGGGCGCAATTACTAAAACATTTCTACAGGTTTCGCCGTGATAGACGCCTAATCTAACCCATCATAATTTATACAGAGAATATATTTTGAAGTATATTTAGAGTCGATTATTCATTGGCTTAAACATCAGATTGGCTATACAAATCAATGTCAAGGCTGACGTTACAGGTTTAATTTCTCAAATGTTAATGAAATCATCAGAAATGATCGAAATAAATTTAACGAAAATAATAAATGAATAGATTAATCAGATTGGTTTGCCTACTACTTATATGCTGATACTTAATTATGTAAATATACACAAATATGATATTGTAACCATTTTATTGTTTAACGAGGTTGGGAGGGGGGGGGGGTATATTTACACAACGGAACGCTGTACATACAATGATATAGACTACAATATACTATACATTTTCATCCATTTTATTATACATACAATATATGTGTGTTCAACATTTTAACGATGTAATACACCCCTTTGTTCTTTTGTATTAATGTTATGTATATGTTATTTAGGGAGAGGGTTTTTACACAGGCTAAACTTCTTCTCCAATCCCATTCAGATATCTTGTTTAAAAGAATGGCGAGGCCAAGAAGAGATGGGGCAGAATTACTGAATTGTATTTAATATATTGTAATCTGTTAAATTAAGCGTCAATTTTTGTTTTAAAAAAATAAAAACATTTTAAATTATAGAAAGTGTTAATTTTTACCTAAAGACCTAACTTTGTCATTGAAAGTGTAAACTGTTTTCTGAATAGTAATGTTGGGAATGTATTTAGTCGCGGAGTTATGAATTTAAATGAAGGAGTAGAAATAAATTGCCAGGCGACAAACATAAACCGATCTAACAAACCTACTAGCAAACAGCTGGAACTATCAACACCCTGTTTTTTTTAGAAACCATGACGAAAGTTTAAATATTGAATCTCGGTTATTGTTGGGCCGTTTTCGTCACTTTTTAGGTATAATAAAAACTATATGTACTATTACTCAGATTGGGTTTGCATAAGTATGCACAAGGAAGCAAGAAAGCAAACCACGATACCGGACCATGCCATAACTTCGGTGGCTTTAAAAATACCCTAACCCCTTACATTATTTATCAAATCCTATTCCTTTTAAGAATAAATGAGAATGCATTATATTGATTATGTATGAGCACGTGGTGTATATACAAAATGGCGGCATGGTGCAACATGTTGTCTTTATGCTAATCAATGGCTGGTACAGTATGTTTGAAAACCAACTTAACTACCCGTATCGATTGTTAGAAAACAAAATCTTGAAGCATATAAAGGGAAATTAAAATAAATATATATAATATATACAGGCAGGGTATACTTCTTCTCAAACACCTAATTCATCGGGAGTGCATAGGGTGCTATACTTTATACATTTAGATTCCGCTAATTCTAAAATGCTTTCCGTTAATCGTAAATAAAATACCAGGTACCTATAATTGTTAGTTTCTCGATGGATTTTTCCAATACACCGAGTCCCTTATATCGTTAACCTTAACTTTGTTTTCCTTAACTATTGAACCCGCTCATGCCGATAGATTTAACACACCCTAGCAATCGGCCTTTTATATTTATCTTTATCTAAATGTACAGTTCGTCAAACAAATGGAAAATTTAAATAATACATTCAAAGAAGGTCTATCCCGATTGTGAGTTAATGATTTGTGTTGTGCTTTAAATGATATATATTTGCTATAATGCCAATAAGTATCATTTTCTTCAAAACTTGGGGGTTATAAACACAGAATATATATCTTCAGAACAACCCTATTCATATTGGATCGTGGCTGTAGCCCATGTATAACATTCATTGATAAAGAAAGACAATGTCTTAAATGAAAACAAAACATCGATTTTAAAGAAACATGTGTTACCTGTCGGCCATTATTTGCCCGATTTGCTTAAAGCAGACGTGGTTTGGTCTACGTCAGATCCGTCCACGCGAAGTCTTCAATACATTCAACGTTAGTGATATAATTCCGGAAAAGTCTACCGTTATTTAATGATTTCGCTTCCAATTTTAGGACAATTTCTTCTGTCATATTTAATATGAAGTCGGTGCTTCTTCTGTTGGGAATTTTAATTCCTGTTTATGGACAGATTTTCATAAATCAACAAAAATGGAGTCTGACTTTGACAACTCAAGCGAACTTGGAAAAAATATACCATGTGGAGGAAGAACTACTTCAATCATTTTCCATATTCTTAAGGCAAGAACAGTTCTATCATAAATTGGATAATAGATCCCCTGATGATGCCGACGAAGAGGAAGAAGAACACGAGAACGCCCATGCTCATAATGGATCTAAATCTCATCTAGAAGACGTTAAAAAGAATATTGAGTAAGGTTTTTTTTCTTCTTATTTTTTCTTTTTAGCGTTTACTTAAAGTTACAATTTCATATTTTCTAAGAAAGTCAAAACATAATTATTTCTGTCTTTTGCTCAATAGGTTGTCAACTCACTATTATACGATCATAGGTGTCATTCTCACACTTAAAACTCATTTACACCGGAAATAATAACACAATTACCTCCCAATTACCTCCCTAGTTTTCTATTCTCCACCATGGAGTAGCGATTTTCAAACGTTTGAATTTGAAGAGGAAAATGATATTTTTGCCAATTTCTCAACTGGCAATAGTGAATTATAGGATTAATAGGATTATTATTTAACAAGGTAGGACTGTTTATAGATACCATCTATTTTAAGGCTTTATTTTAATAAATTTTAAAAATATAACGTAAAAATATGAAATTGCAACTTTAATAAAAAAAAATATAATTACATACAGTTATACGTACATAAATTGAATCATATAGATTATTATCTACAGAACATACTTCAACCAGTGCTGTTACATTTGTGGGGAAACCCTGTCTCCGATATTAGATTTGTTTTTATTTTTTGGAGAATTTAGAGATCAGGTGATAAAAACGTGAACTTTGTTTCCAATAGATTAGGAAGTAATCTGTTTCTAAGATTAAGAAATATCTTTATCCATGAAAGGTTACTAACCATGAACCACACTCACCACCTCAGCATATTTTCGACTCACATCCCCGACTTGATATTGATACAGTCTAAACAATACTCAAATAACCATACAGCTTATATGTCTGCCGGAAATTATCGAAATATATCGAGGAATGCCGATTGGAGAATCCTTGTCAAAACGTCATTTAGAGACCATTCGATACTTGTTTTAGCAAGCAACCATACTCCTTGAGACTTGAATCAATGAAAGGGCTTATAATCAAAAGTGCACACTAGACCCCGACCCCTCCCCCCTCCCCACACACACACATTAATTCACTGCGAGACTTGAATGCTGTAGTTCCTCCCGGTCATCCATTTCAAGGGGACATCCAATCAAAGAGTACGAATAAAAATAGGTTGTTTGAAAAATTTGTAACTATCGTTATTAACATTTTAATTTGAATACAGGATTTATATCAGTTTTATTTCTTTTTACATACATGTATTTAAAATATCTTCCACAGTAGGCCCTATACCTGAGTCTTGGATTTCGGCGAAGAGTAACTTTGACTCCTCTGTTTGAGCAGAATATTCTTCTACTGAGTAGTGCTCACGTGACCGCAGATAAAATTAGCCGTAACTTAAACTCAAAACGACTGAAGTATTACATAGGAGAGCGATTCCATTGCTCCAGACTTCTTTTAATTTCGGTTATTTTAAAATATTTCTGACAATCTCTGTTGTTGTTTTTTCAGGTTATTGGAGGATGCCAAGAGGGTGCATAGAATAGTTTCTAATAGAGTTATGAAATATATCTTACACCCTATTAATGTTTATCATATGATGAGAAGAGTTAGAACAATAAATAAAGCTGCAATGGATGTGTTTGAAAACGTCTGTAAAGCATGTAAGATGTGTTTCTCTTACATAAAGAATATCTCCAAATATATCGAGAATTATGACACAATATTCATATTCATAAGAAGCCTAACCTAAGTTTCACCAATTTATCATCACTAAATAAAACGGTCACGTTGCATTTAATAAGTTATAGTTATAACCATTTAGGATACAATAGAAATAGTTTGCAATCGTACATAGCAACCACGCACCACATACGGGCACTGTAAAGAGGTTACGTGCTCTTTGTTTGAAATAATTCTCGTTAAACCAGTCTACTGGCCGTTCTCCACCCGATGGACAAGCGTGGGTTATCGAGACTATTTTGGCTGTGTAGGGCACCCTGCATTCAGGGTGAAAATAATTGTTTTAACAAAGCAAAGTGGCTCAAATCAGATTCGATCTCATGTAGATAAGACCAACAAACAAACACTCAAGTTTGAAGTCGGAGACCTAGCTAGAGAAGGAGTGACGGGGGTGTCTTACACATGACAGGGTATGCTTATTTATTACAACGTCTCCATATTTATCACAAGTCCAAACGCTGACCATCCATTTCAGCCATCTTGAATGATTAATTTGTTCCTTTCAGGGAATATGCCGGATCTCAAATACAGATTACAGAACATAAACAGGAGTGTCCCAACTGAAGAACATTTTGAGAATGTGGCCTATGACTTGGTGATGTTACAACATATTTATAATCTTACAGAAAATAGTTTGTTCAGTGGAAACCTTTTTAACCATTCTTCACTGGATCCTCTTTCACCTCGAGATATTTATGATATAGGTAACCTATTTATTGGGTCCTAGTTCTTTTCGACTTGATATATTAATAAAATAGATATTAATTTAATACATAGAATCATATCGATAAATTGTTTATTTTAGTATCCCAGATATATTTCCTTATAGAAAATTCCCCGGGATTTTCAAGAGTTGTGTCCCCTTGTCAGTGTTGCAGGACGGATGTGCTGGAAAGTAACAGCGTCGAGTTATTTGCATATGGTCGTCGACCTAAGGTCCCGATTACACATTGTCGTGCACGTATAATAAACCTTGACAATTGGAAATATATTGCTCTCCTGACCAAATTTTCCTCATAGTACACTCATCGAGCCGGTTGGTGCAGAAACGTTGGACCTTACAGCCCTACTCACAAGCCGGAAAAGTTACCCGATTATGGGCTTTCTGAATGATCTCAACAACTGTCAGTATACACTGCAACCATTATCGTATAACATATGTTAACATAACGTTTTTAAAATTCATCTTTCTTTTAAAATGCCACAAAGTTGAAAATTCTTGTGAATAAAAGTTGTGGAAATGGTATATCTTAATGACCATTGGGGACAGTTAACACCAAATAGTCTTTTTCTTTTTCTGGGAGGGGGGAGGGGTGGACTCTCAGTGTCGCCAGGTAATATTGGGCTGGGTGGACCATGCTAGGGTCGATTTGTAGCATATCTGACCCACGGTATATGTTTGACACTGGTTAAGCATTATGATTATGATTATAATGTTGAAAACCGCAATGAAACCGCGTGATTTTTTGACATTTGCGATGGGGACACAAAAACTCAAAACCATGACGCAAAGCGCGTCATTGCGTCCCTCTGGACCGTTTATGACATTATATTTATGTATTATAATTTTGTTTTCAGCTCGCATAGCGTATAAACGACAGGATTATTATTATGCTATACGATGGGCTAGATACTTGACTGAACTGTTTAATACATATGATGTACCTGATGATCGCTATGGTTTTAGTATGAAGAACTTGTTTGCTATCATGTCTTCATCATATTATCCAGTAAGTATCAATTATATTTTGATAGTAGTATAAAGTCTGTCTATAACGATTCTCGGGGTATGGGTCAGTTTATGTTATATCAGACTGGTTCGAGAGGACAGAAGATAATCCGTTTACCCGGTTACGCTTCTAATCCATGCGTATCCATTTATTTAGTTTGGATCGGTGGCTTTGATCTCCCGCGAATTACTGCATCCTCAACAGTTTAACAATTTTGATTGTATATTGTATATTTTAAGAGCGAAATACCCGAAGAAAGTATACTTTTAAATCATTTCAAACGATTACTCCCCACCCTTATATGTTAGTCCACTCACTGTCATATCATTACCCTGAGAGAGATATATATGCGTACAAGGCCGCGCCCCTAACAGATTAATGAAAGGCTGAATTATTGTATCTTTGCTGATACAAAAAAGAACAAGATTTGTAAACTACATTACTTTGTGCATGACAAACCAATAGATTCAAATCTAGCGATGAAAAAACGTTTTTATGTTATAATGTATCCGGTAAAAAATTGAATGGCTTGGTATGCCTTATAAAAAAAAAGAAAATAAAGAGAGACGCTTTCGCAATTAGATTTTGAAGATTATATAATTGTTATCCATCACCATAAAATTAACATACATGTGCATCTACATAACACTAGGAGACAGATATATAATGAAAAGATTTATCTCTTCAATTTGTACTATATGTTGAAATCAATTATATATATTTTTCCATCTTGATGTTTCTTTGTAGCTCAAACAGTACAAAAGTGCCATGATTTCCGCTCAGATGATTCTTAGGCTAGGTAAGTGTCCGCATGTAACAGCTTTTAATTCAGTTTGACGCTTGAATTTGGTGCTGTTACTTTCTAAAATGTTATCATGTCTGTTGTGCAGTTATCCTACATTGTCTATTAAAATACTAATTTACATGCATGTTCATTTAAATTCCAATTAAAATACTACTACATGGTCATGTCAAATCTAATTCAAATTTGATGTAGGGTCATGTGAAATTTAATTAAAATACTGCTTTTGGGCCATGTCAAATCCAATTAAAATAGTGCTATATGGTCATGTTAAATCCGGTCAAAATAGCCTTCCAGTTTCTATATGATGCACAATATTCTGATAAATATTTATCTTTCTAAGACTTAATTTTTCCCGTGGGTGTAGTATTTGAATGAATAAAACAGATTTACAAGAATTCGAGCGAAATGTACTGGACAATCTATACAAACATTCTGCCATCTTCTCTTTCATTTTAGATCCTGACAATAAACTAGCGCAAGTTAATGAGAAATTTTTCGAAAGATTGATCGACCAAGATAAAAAAATTCCATTACGTAGAATTCCCCCAGGTGATAAAACTAGAAGAAAATATGAGGCTATGTGTCGTGGAACTTTGAAAAAGGTGGGTATATGATATGATATCATACCAGTCTGTATTTGATATGATTCATTCTTGTAGGGCTAAGTGAATAAGACGTTGGCTCGCTAACCGTGTTCGATCACTGTGTTGGCCGAGAAATTTCCCCTTGTCAGTCGTGCTGGAAGGTGGGCAAGGGAAAACGTATATTCGTTCGTGAGGGACGAAAAACCGAGGTCCGGTGTACACATTAGCCTGCACGTAAAATAACCTCTGAGTTGGAATTCGGCCGTAGTGTGGCTGTCGGGGCAAAATTACCCTCATAGCACATGGTATGGCGTCTTCATTAACCCAATTGGAGCTATAGGGGGACGTTAAACCCCATTTCATTCTTATTGACTCTCACAGCATAAGTCATTAAGATAATCCCTGCACTTTAAGATCGAATTAATGGCAAAGCCTAGTATTTTGTCGAATTCCATCGACTACTCATGAAATACCCCCCCCCCCCCAACCCCAAACAATTTATCAATAGATCTTAATTTTGCTGGTTATACAAAATTGAAGTGGTTGGCGTTTACTTTGTGGAACTGGGGCTTCAAAGTTACACGCTAAATCCAAATACAGTTATTTTCACATGGGCATAGATATAACCACTATAATTGTAACTCGTCCATTTTAACAAATCATATTTGGGTGTAACCAGATACATTTCACCAACTCTTTCCAGAATTAGATTAGGAATTGAATCAAATTTCCAGCTTCTTGACTAAAAAGTGGACAGTGTAAATCACCCATAAGTCATACAAAACCCAACCCTCGTTCCGAACAACCGACACTGCAGTCCGATGTATTTACAACCACCCCTATACACAAATAGAGAAATATACGAAACTAAACGTTTATACTAAATTTGTTAATTTTTCAGCCAGCTAAATTAGCAAAACAATATAAATGTAAATACCAAAGAGGTAAAAATTTGTTTATATACCACAAGATGGAAGTGATGAACCTGAAACCGAAAATATTAGTCTTTCATGATGTTTTTAATCAAGATACTGGTGATGCCGTCGCTTATCTTGGATATAAACCGGTGAGTAAATATTGCGAATTTTATAACACATTGCAGTGACGTCATTTTTTTTATACCTTTCACAGCCCCGGTTGTAAAGTGCAAAGGTTGATATGATTTTCACTTTCATTAATTGTCACTGGTTTACGTATTGGATTATTCTGCGATATTACGTCACTCTATCCTTTTAAAAAAAATAAAATAAAACATATTGGCACAACGCATAGATTTTACAGTTAAGCCCAAACATTCAATATTATCTTTGTATTTAGTATGATAATCTGAAGCAATAGTAAATCTAAAGGAATGGTCAGATTAACGGCAGTGTCAGCCCATTAACCATTAACATGTTAATCAGATTGTTGCCGTTTGGTTTTCTGGATAATTCTGTAGTCGACTATGTAATTGAGAGTCAACATTACAAGGAACTTGAGTATTTCGTTCAAAATGAATATGGGTTTAAAATGATACTACTTAGCATCCAAAGATCCACGTTTTAAGTTTAAAATATCAGATTTTTTGATATTTATTTATTGATTTACTTTCCTTTTTCTTTATAGTTAAGTGAAGCTTCATATAAAAACAGAATGTATTTTGAATCTCCCCACTTCACGTAAGTTACTTTTACATCTCAAATAAACCCACAGATATAATTCTTCTCGTCCTAATATAAGGTTTAATATTAACCTATGGCTACAGTTTAGTCATACTAGAGAACAGTGGCGGACTATGCGTGTGAGTTTCCAAGAAAGTCACATTACATCTTAAAATAACGAACATTTCCCGCATCGATTGTTATAGCATAAACATTGATAAATCTCTCTTTGGAACGTCCTTCGTAATAATGATGAAAAACCTATAAACACTTGGTTTTGGTGTTCAATATTTCTAAGATACAGGTAACAACACCCGGTTTTGGTGTTCTATATTTGTAAGCTACAGGTAACAACACCTGGTTTTGGTGATCAATATTTGTAAGCTACATGTATCAACACCAGGTGGTTAGATACAGGTAGACCGGTGTTTTTCTTTATGGGGAACTGTTTCATTAAACACAACTTTAATATGTGGAAATGTCCCTTCAAAAGGACCACCTTACATTAACTCACCAGGTGAACATGTATTATAAAGGTAAAGAGATTAATACATATAGTTATTTGTTTTTCAGAGCCATTCCACGCGACCGAACTCGTTCACAGTGGGTTAAAGCGTTAACTAACCGTTTAGATGAGCTACCAATGGCATCCATTAAACCCTACAGGAAAGGAATATTAGAGGTAGGATACATTTACCCTCAAACAACCCTATCTACTATCTTAGTAGAAGATCAGTTGTAAGCACTAAATCTGTTTTGGCTACCTAATCTAAAGCCCCCACCCCCACCCCACCCCCGCCCAACCTTCTAGAATGTTCTATAGAAAATTACACTGGTAATCTATGACTTTTTGCTAAGGGTATACTTGTGTGACAACCGACTAATGCCATCGTTAAACATATAATGGAACCTAACACCTCCGTTATCTATTACGGCAAGTTAACGGTACGTTAAAGTTAACGGGGTTTCCAGCAACCGACTTTCTCTCCGTTAAGGATATAACGATCCATTAACTTCATCTCCATGTTAACGAGTCGTTAAAAGTTAACGGAGCTTTGAACAACCGGCCCTAGGTGAATACAGGAATGCTGTTGTTGCAAATTCCCAATCCACCCCATACCCTCTCCATAGTTTTCGACCAGCAAGCGCTGTTTTAAGACTTGCCAGCAGGAATCGTTTAGGTTTTTTTTATACAACAGGCTAGCTTTTGCATGTTATTATTAATTGTTCACATCTCACGTTTTTTATTTAAATTTTAAATGTTTAATTATGGCCTATTCATAGGTGCTCTTTAAATGAGAGATCGTTAGAAATGTTGGTTTTGACTTTAATTGTTTAATATCTCACACCGTAATAATTATGTGGACTATGTTACAGGTTAGAAATATTGGTTTTGAGGGTATGTATTATGATATCTCTGATGCCAAAAATTGGGTGAGTACTATTTATAAATATGTATCGCTTTAATACTAGGAGTATCAAATTAAAGCCAATAATGCGATTATATTAACCCTTTTCATTTTGTTTTGGAAGTAAATATTTCTCTCATGTTTCAGGTACCCAAACTTGGCGGAGGCAACACGGCATCCATGTTTGCATTCGTAAGTATATTTAATAAATTCAATCGTATTAAAAAGATGCCACGAAAAGACAATATCCTATATTTCGGCTGTATGCCGAATGTTGACAAGTTTTCATTTCTCATACCTTTGTACAAAAGAGGAACCATTGGACTGATATCCCCTTTAGAGATATTATGGTAGTTTGCAAGGGGTTAACAATCCCTCAAATGATGTTTATAGACTTTAAGAATCAGTGTTATTTACTGGAATATATAATCTGCGTACTACAGAAGAAAATATATATTATAATAATTTGGTGTTTTCACAGTTTGTAAGTAATATGCTTTAGACAAAGAAATACCCATAATGTCAGATTCATAAGGTCGTAATAGACGTAACATACCATGAAACATATTACTAAGGACCTTTGCCAACTCAGTTTTCATCCAACCGGAAATCGCTGTGGACATTCCACGACCTTGTTATTTTGTTAAATTGCCTCCAAATCAACTCATCCTACTGCATAATATTTTTTTGTATATATAGAAGAGATATATAATATAGATAATAACTTAATATTCTGAATAATGTCACTTGTCTCATTTTTCTTCACCACATGAAATCTCCATAATGCTTTTTATAGTTGAAAGATGTGGAAGCTGGTGGTGAAATGGTCTTCCCCTATCACAGAGTTAGAATCACACCTCGACTGGTATGTATTATCTTTAAATTATTGTAATTTTGTTTTAAGCAAAAAAAAGACTATTATAATTTGGTCTTCAGGCGCCAAACTAGCCTCGATCTTACCAGAAATTATGATTTATTGTGTATGCACATATCGTAGAAAGTGCTAGTGAGAAGGCAGATAAGCCGGCAACTTCAAGTCTACCCGTTCAGATGGTAAATTTTTAAGCTATACCTTGAACTGCGATTAGTGTATTTGACTCATGTTTGCGTCAAAATTACCTATAGCTTCAAGTGACTGGTGTTTAAATTTAACGTAACTATGTGAGTATGAATGGGCCATTAGTCTCCTATAATCATGTTTGATATTCCAATGAATTAATATGTTAATCATATCTTGTTTTGTTTAAAGCTCCTAAAACTTGTCAAGCGGCCAAGTTACTGAACTACTAGAGCGTCCCGGGATTGAGTCCCGGCGTGGATCAAGCTTGTTTCAAGTCCGGTTGTCTCAAAATGACCGAATTATGGTGTTGACGAAACAGTAAAGCCCATCCCATTCTTTCACCATAGGCTTACGGGGCGATATTCCTTTGGGGGGGGGGGGCTGTACCATTTTTGACCGAAAAATACAGCGTCAGCGCCCGAAATATACACCCACATAACTTTATCAGATAGCGCCCAATGGGCAAGTAGTATAGTGGAGCGAATTTTCTATGACTGCAGTTTGACTAGTGTAATCAGTAGCGGATTATCAGTGAGGCTGATGAGGCTGCAGCCTCAGGCCCAAAGATTTTGTAAAAAAAAATTTTTTTAGACTTGTCTGATACGATTAAAAACGCATAGACAATGAATGTTAGGGGGGTTGGGTTTAGGCCCAACGGGAATCAACATAGGCCCTGGCCCGAAATTAATTAAACCCACGCCATTTTAAATATTTAAAAACTAAATAGGCCCTCCAGCAACTGCCGCCTCAGGCCTTGGTGGAGCTTAATCAGCCACTGAGTGTAATAAAGACAAGTAAAACTAAATTTTGAACTATAAAAAAAGAAACGAAATAGGATCTGTGTTGGAGTTTTCGCGGAAATGTGATCTCATGTGTAGGCATCTTTGCGTGTACAAAAACGTGCTTAGCTGTCAGTCGCTAGATGATTACCAACTCGACTGCTGTATATATAGTTCATGTAAACGTATTTTGTCATATAGAAAATGCAATAGTTTTTATTTCAACCACCTCTATCTCTTATTACAGGGTAGTGTAGTATACTATCTGGCATCTAGAAGTTTTATGATGGTTTGTCCAGTAGCTTACGGTACAGAATGGCGTAAGTAGTTTTCATATACAGTAAAGTATGTTTGTAACGATCTGGACCATGGTCGACGTTATATCAGTGTAAGCTCACACCTATCAACCATCTAAATACTTCCTTAATTACCAGTCGTCTGTTTGATTTGCTGTTTAGTTTAAGCTATTGCAAATTGGTTAAAATCTGACTTGTCCAAAACATCCTTCATTGGCTAAATCAGGGGTCATGCTAGAAGGTTTCTACACAAGATGCTACGTAAAATTAAATAGTAAATCACCACAGAACGTTACAAAAGTTAAATAGTATATCATTTTTATTTTCCAGTGTCCGTAATGTCTTTTTATGAAGAACATAAGTATGGATTTTGTCGAGATCACGATCAACCATAAACGCAAGATAACTCTTTACGTTATTCACATCCATCGTCAGGTCATTCTCAAAGATTAATTCTCTTGGATTAACATTATTATTACCTTTGAATAATATAAAGTATGACACTTTTATATTTCTTAAATTGCCAAAATCATTTCCTTTTACTTAGAAAGATTTTGAAAATATTCTTATAATACATGTAATTATTTATAAATCTCTATATGTGTGGCATATCTACTTAAAACTATTTATTTTTTTCAATTTATAAAAATCTATCATGCACTTAGTTTAACAAAATCTACTTAAAACTATTTATTTTTTTCAATTTATAAAAATCTTATCATGTACTTAGTTTAACAAAATGTGGAGTTAGTTCCCCTTAATTTAGCGTTACACAGTTTTAGATCGCTTAATGTTTAGCTATACGGATTGTCCTGTCCGGATTGTCATCTAAATGTAAAAGGTTTGGCATTTTCAGAAAAAAGGGTGCCTCCTTTCTAGTTGCCATTAAAATGTCAATGGAAGCCCCGTACGTAGAAGATGTTTTTACTCCCTTAGAACTCCACTGATGAACGTCTGTCTATGTATATATTAAGTTATTGTCCTGTTCTTTGTATATTTTGTAGACAATAAATCATTATAATATATAACAAAAGTTTCCACATTTATATATTCTATAATTGACGGCTGAAAAGCGTAACCGGGTGCGCGTGTGTGTGAGGGGGGGGGGGGCATAGGCTAAAATTACTTAATAAGGGACGTTTTATATGTCACTGATCAGTGTAATGATGAAACATAAAGTAACAGTGTGTCCAGTGAGTATATTATGTCATTTACCTCTAGCAGTTTGGACAAAAGTTCGACAAATTCTGAAAAACTGCTATTTTGAAATATAACTTATGATAGCCACATTCAGAGAAACATATTTCCAAATCTAAGCCCGATCTAGTGTGCTTGCCCAAATAATTGAACAACTGAAAATCATTTGTTGAAAAGATCATTTATTCATAAAGTGCATGACACGTTAAAATATAAATTTAGTACATACATTCCTAGAAATGATAAGAATAAAGGACTATAACAAAACACCTGTCCAGTTGAATAAAAGACAAGACTTCAGACATGGCATTTGTGAAACATGTAGTAAGCAAGACACTATAATTGGATAAACTGTGGAAAATGAGGAATACTAACCATCTGAAGATACAGACAGTGATTATATTCTATGACCCCAGTAAAGTATAGTACATGTATATGTATTTACATTTAGCCCGGTCGATGCAAATCACTAGGACCTTCAACCTCATTTCATTTCTATTTACTATTTTATTATTTTTTAGAATTTTCTTTGCTTTAATGTTTTTATTCACAAATGACGTCATGTGGAATTATATATGGCATGGTAATATATAATTTAATTCAATATGATTAAATCAGAAATAAATTACGTTTTGTTTTGTTTTACCTCTTGTACGTTGTACTACAGTGTAGTGTAATATTCAGAAATAAATAAACGAAACGAAATGAGATTATAGGATTTCTTATTTTATTTATTGTGATCATACTAATCATTTTCAGTCTATAATTGAATCTATACTTTTTTTGAGTTGAACTAGGTAATTTAATTAACCCCTAAGGAACATAATATTCAATCATTACTATTACAGTATGCATGACAAAATGTAAACATTGTATTATGGATACACTGGTACTTGAATATTACGTCCAACCCATCGATTTCAAAATGGCCGTTTCTTTCTAGGCGATCAGGATCGGGGTTTGAGATTAAGCAACTTCGAATCAACATATTCAATTCATTGTTGATGGGTATAGTTTTAGTTGATACACAGTTATACAGTCAATGGTCATGAATAGGCTCGTAGGCCTTAAATAATCTTCAATTGGCTATTATAATTAAGTAATCAAGCTCACCATGTTTATTCCCAGGCGGAAGCTGTATCCTTAGAATATAACTTTCTAAGACAGTATGACTCCGGGGGGGGGGGGGATATATGAAACCGATAGACGAATTACTAGAATATGACAAAAATATGAGTTTAAAGAGGCGTTAGCGCTTTGAAGGTCTTGGTCGGTCGGTAAAAATCATTTTGATTTGAGATGAACTGATGCACTTTGACTATTGCATTGGGGATGTTCAAATTATATTTCTATGAAAGTCGGGGACAAAATGAACAAGCTTTGGATGTGATAAGGCAATAATGGTGCTATTATGATTATAGACAATACACGACTTAATATAATATATAAGGAGATTGTGGAATTCGTGTATACTTAACAAATAGAATAACAGAAAAGTAGTCAATGAACAGACATTTAAAATATAAGGTGATTAAAGTAACGATGCGTCAGTCAATGACATTAGTCGCTAAAATATCACATTTCTCAAATATGTACTTAGATTGATTATCTAACATGTCATTAAGAAAAACAAATTTAAAATGCCAGAGCTAGATACTGTACCGGCTTGGATTAAATCGGGTTAAGGGCATGCCATTAAAAGGTCGCGGACAACAAAATGGCGGCGGTCTTATTTGCATAGTGAGCAGCATAGATGAAATTTTAATTGAACATATCTTTGTAAATACTGAACGGAATTGAACCATACTTGGACTGATATTCATATTAGAGATTTATCTTTCCAAATATTGTAGTTTAAAAGTGGTTACTATTGATTTAAATGGCGCATCGGGACTTTATGGAATGGCAAATAATTAACCTATAAGAAACATTCCAATTTAAATATCAAAATTGTAGAAAATATAAGATCTTTGAAAACATTAAGAAAAGAATAACCAAAATAACCAAATTAAACAGGCAATAACATATATATTTGGTGTCAACAATAACAAATTAAATGTGGTTTGTAAAATCAATAAAACCATTATAAACATGTGACAACAAATGGGCCAAAATGTTTATAATATCATAATTTACAAATAAATGACAAATTTATTTGGTCCATGCTATGGATTTAAAACCGATTAAAAACATATATATATATATAGAAATACATAATCAACAAATTCTCCCTTACAAGTGAAGAATATAATATATATATATATAATATATATTTATATGGTGTTTTATGATATATATATATATATATTATATATGTATATATCATAAAACACCATTCTTAGAAAGTAAGTTAACACTCATAAAATTGCTGGTGAAGCTTTTTATCTATAAAAAAAGTAATATCAATATGAACGCCGTATTTGTATTTCAAGCATTTTACACAATATATTTAATTCGTCTTCTTTGATATACCACCAGTTTGTGCAACTATTTCATGTGAGCTTCCATTTGATTTGTTTGTCTCAAACTTTGAACTTGTGACCTTGACATGTATGACGTTACCAAGGTAGCAACCTAGGAAGGAGCTGATCCAGTAGACTAGGATATGATCTAAAGCTGACGTTCCGTTACAGAAGAAAGATAGTCCGGACGCCATAGCCGGGTGAAGATACATCCCCGTTAAATGGACACCTGAAAAATAAAACCGCGGTTTTTATATCGAAATGTTTACTGAATGATTAGAAAATAATAATGGAATTCGGCATGAGTGGGAAGGCTGTATCTTTTATCGTAAATATACCTATGCATCTTTATAGAACACCCTGTGCCACTTCCCATTTCAGGAGTTCATATAGGGAACACACGTTTGTGTTTTGTGCATGTATATAATCACAATTTTATTCATCAGATTATTAAGCCACTTGAGTATTTTAAAAGCGCAATTTGTCGGGTATGCCCAGATCATCCCATAATTCCATTGCAATCTAACACCATACAATATACTGCTAGTCGTTATGAGAGCTGATCGAATTAATCCATTGAACCTCCGTGTAGTCAATATAATCACAAGCTGATCTTATTCTAAATATCAAATTAACATTTGACATAAATTTTAGACGTTGCGAACCGGGTTTTTTTTCCGGTTGGAAATGAGTACAGAGGCCACCAAGTTCCATTCTGTCCAGCTTTCATTGGAGGGAAATCCTACTTTTGAAGTTCTGACACCTATACTCGTCACAAACTCTTACGCCCAACCACTATTCAGTTCATCATAGAATAAATATGTGGATTTTAGGGTACTATTTCAGTAAGGTACCTCTACCAGTTCCTGTGTTCGTTATTGACAGATTCGGGTGAAATTTGGCGTGTGGTCATCGCTAGGCCCCATGAATACCCCCTGAAAATTTCAAGTCTCTACGATCATGGGAACTGGTAGGGGTACGTTACTGAAATAGTACCGATTTTAGTACATCGAAAATAGAATTATTACTTTGGAATATTCCAAAAGATATAAACAAATAAGTTTTTTAAAACTATAATTTCTCTAACTTTTTCTAACTTGTCAGCGATGACTGTAAGGCTTAGAAGGAGATTGTGCTTAGTCGTTCGGGTGCGATGAAAAACCGGGGATAACCATGTACACGTCTTGCACGTAAAAGAACCCTTGATAAATGGAATTCGAAGACGATTTGGCGAAAACGCAGATGTCCGTATTACGTAACCACAGAAAATTGTCCAATGTCAGTCTCAAAATGACTGAAGTATTGTGTTACCAAGACTGTAAAACCCTTTACTACACCTCGTCATGTTATTCCAATAAAATAACATATCTATATTTAATTTTGTTCCTATCTGGGAGCCAAAGTGGCCAAGTGAAAAAGACGCTGGCTGGCTCGCTAGCCTGGAGGTCTCGGGTTCGCTCCCGGTGTTGGCCGAGATAGTTCATCGGGATTTTCCGGCGTGGTTTCCCCCTTGTCAGTGGTGCAGGACGGAGAGCCTGCTAGGGACAGCTGTCTAGTCGTTCAGATGGGACGAAAACCCGAGGTCCCGTGTACACATTGGCGTGTACGTAAAAGATCCCTTGGCAGTTGGAATTCGATATAAGAGTAGGCCGTAGTGTCGCTGTCCGGGCAAAATGTCCTTCATAGCACACTGTATGGCGTGTGCCCGTCTTCATTAGCCAAGTCGGGGCAGAACAGTGGGGCGTTAAACCCCATTTCACTTCATTTGTTCCTATCTAAATTATAGAGTAGATTAAATAAATTTGTTAACAGAGAAAAGTATTCACGACCCTTACCTAAACAAACCATTAGTGCACAGTTAGATATTTTCAGCACAGAATCCACCACAGGAAACCTAGAAAGTTTCTGGAAATTCAACCACGTGTCAAAAGCGACACAGAGCAGTTCTAAAACAAATCCCACTTCCAGGGACACTTTCAGATCTGATGAACATACGGTGGAATTAAATTGACTCGTATGAAACGAATGGATCCTCAATGACCACACAAACATGGCGAGTTTATAAGACGTGAAGGCACCGAGAGTCTGGACAAAGCTACGAAACACCAGCGAGTAAAATGAAACCCGTCCTTTTAAAAATTCTAAAAATGTTGTCAATGGCGAGCCGTGTCCATCAGGAAACGCAGCAATGGTGAAAAAAGCTAGCGGGACCACTGTAAGAAAGTATCCGATGGATCCATATAATTGTCGGATTTGTCCGTGTCCGTACGGATATGTACAGATTAACATTGTCTTAAAGAATTCCGTGGTCACTGAATGGATGGATTTCGGGAAGATGATTCTGGAGATACGAAACGCCAAGTAACAGACAATAAATGATAGAAAGTAAAACAATATGGCAGCGATAAAACCGGGGACTAATTCTTTAACTGGTGGGTCTGGTTTGATGCTAATTCCTATAATCTCCTGCCACTTCATCTAAAAAAAAACAACAAAAAAAACAACAATAAATTTAAATCAATTATTTCGGTTATTCAAAACAAACGTTTTAACATTGTATCAAATAAATATTAAAAAGGATACATAACTTAGTCTTTAGACTAATGATAAATTTAATAGAGGAAATTATGAATGATTAATATGTTTGAACATTGTAATAAAGTATGAATAGGCTATGTATTTGAACGTTGTAATAAATTTTACACTGCTAGTTAGTTATGGCCATTACAAAATTATAGTCGGATGTAACATTATACATCGTTGGTTTATTCTCACGAAGGTGCAGTTATTGACCGTAACGGATTAAGGAGGTCGTTTTCGAGCCCCGTTTTCGACGCCTTCGTGGGAATCCAGCTTTCAGGGATTAAAATGGATTAAAAATGTAACAATGGAGTTATAGATTGTTATGATAAGAATTTACACTTTCACAATCCCCAATGTGTCTAATTAACTAACATTTTAACATGTTTGGTATATGACTTTAAGAAATAAAAACAAATTAATTTAATTTCACCAAATAAGACACCCTGTCTAAATACTCGACTAAAGTTAATTCCTCTTCTTCGTGTCTACTTTTTAATTCCTGGAGCTGGCTTTGGATTTGGGCAAATTTATGTATCTTGGTGATTAAGATTCATATTGAATACTTGGATGATATGATGATTTTCATCATTAGTTGTCAATTGGTGAATAAAATTCAGAGTTAACATAAATTTATAAAATCTTTAACACCTTTAATTGGGTCTTAACAACATGCCTCCCTTCAAACGAAAGTCGACAAGTCCATATCTGCGCCTTCGTGGGAAGGATTAATTTTGGTCACGCTCTGTAACAGCGCCGTCGTGGTAATACACCACATCGTTACCGAAATTCTAAAATTTCTTGAAAACATTAATGAATATGAATTTGAACAATGTGATACATTTTACATAGCTATTAAAATTAGTTATGGTCATTACAAAACAAGAGTGGGTGTTTAAAACTATACATCATGCACATAGTTACTGAAATTCAAAAATTTATGGACCTTGCTAAAATTATCAAGATATGGCATTAAATTAATCATTAATATATTGTAATGTAACGCATTTTTATTCAATCATTTATATTCTATAAATATAGCACGACCACACACGCCACATTCAATTGAGCAGTAACAGTTATATTGTAAAAGTACAATTAATTATCAATATATAGTATATTTGATTAGTTCCACAAATAATATAGTTTTGCCATGGATAAAATGGACCATTGTTTTATTATTTTGTTTAAAATGAAAATAAATTGTGATTTTAACATACTATAGACTACTCAATAGGCTGTGGAATGTGACCCGGGCGTGGATACACAGGGTGGGGGTGGGGGCAGATATGCGACCCCTCCCCCCTCTTTTTTTTAGTGTGGCTCAAAACAGGCTCTTTTTGGGAGATATTTTTGAAAATATTTTCGCATCGCTCCGCTCGGCTGGTCATTTATACACAGGCCTATATAACATATTGCATTCAAATTCCGTTTGTTCGTGGGATTTAACGTCCGCTTCGATCGAGGTTGATACGCAGACATATCATGGGAAACTTGTCTTTTATATATTGGCTTTGCTCGACCGGTGGGTTACAAGACATGACACGTTTCGTATTAGGCTACCGAATTTCCATTATATTTATAAAATGTTATAAAACTCCAGAAGGTACAACAACAGCACATATTTTAATATGTAAAACGTAAAGGGTATATTTGTATTTTTAAAAAGCTTCAATTTATTTATTTCGGCCCGTTCTTCGGTCGTTCTTTTCTTAAATCTCTATCGGAAATTTTAGATATTTCCGCTCATCAGTGAAAAATATTGCGTGAACATGTACGTGCGGAAATAAAAATGTAACAAACTGCACATGCGGGAGTTTTCTCGGAAAAATCACTATCACTAAAAAAGGTTCCAAAACAAAAGTGGATTCCACCCACCCTTTTCATAAACCTAATATCCGCCCCTGTGTCGGAAGGTCTTTCATTTCGTATTGGCAACATCCACGTTTAAAATTCATTCACATAAACTGTAATTTTGTGAGGGAATGCAGCCGACGCGATATTACTGGTTAATCAAGACTATACCAGCCGTCAGTCTTTTCGCCAGCAGCTGTTGTTTCGAATAACAACCATTTGTCACACCCGGGCTATCTAATTCCCGCTCAATCATTCAAATAAGTATATATTAATTGTAATAAACATATGGATATATCCTACCTTGCCTAGTTCGAAAAATAAAGAATATAAAATAAACTAGTACATGTTTCCATTTATTTGCATCGCTAGTTTGTTTAAGGGAAGTAACTCTGTTAATATTGTTTTGTCAAGATTTTCATGGTAGAGAAACGTGATTTAAATTGTAACTAAAATTATGTCCGTGAATTTGTACATTATATTATAATAAGGCACATTTTCGGGATAATAGACAATTCATAAATTATTTTTGTTTTTATTAAGTCGATGTCAGTATTCGTATTTTTTATAGCAGACCTCATTCAAGTAATTGTACATACACTAATTCAATTACTCTTATTAGTTCTAAAGAACAGACTTCTCTTGAGACATCTGGAATTCATATATCCGTGCGGTGCTTACACGTAAAATGTAAATACACACTGTTCGATAGAAGCAACCCCCAATATCACAAAGACATATTTTCAAGCAAACTACAACGTTTTCAGGTATCAAGTCCTATTTTCAAGTAGCAATAGTTCATGATCCGGTGATATAGGCTACCGATATTCCATATTGGATTGATTAATTGATTGTAGCCTACGTCAAGATGCGCGTGTTTTTATTTGTAAAGTGTTATTATGGAACCAAATGCTATTCTGTCAAAGTTAAAGAATTCGATTTAATAATAATAATAAAAAAACATTTAAAGATAAAAAAAAAAGTAACAAACCGTCTTGCATATTAGATTATTATCCATTATATATACTTTGAACTTTGCACTTTCAACCTTGTCCTTGTTTTCTAAGTAAAATTCATAGCTACGCACGTACACATTTTTTTCATGTCACGTCTACAGTGTGGTGTATAGGCTATATATTCCACGCGTTACATATTTCACAGTCACTTGTGTTCCACTTATATGGACCGTTAGCCACTCGAAGTATTATTTCTATACACGTGCTTAGCCAGCATGAAGTTCACAGAAGCCTATTGTATACTATAATAGGTAAAGGCAGTATGATATAATCTACACCAAACTATGGAAATATCGACGGACCACGTTTAAGTCAATTGTGGGTTTAATTTTGGAACACCAAATTGAATTAGAAACCAATTCGAATCCAAAACGATTTATCCTAATGTCTTTTCATTCCTCTCAAAATGTATTTATATGCTCTACCGAGCTTCTCAATATATATATCCTCTGTCGACGTGGGCCTACATAAATATCGCTCCAGCACGATAACATCCCATCATACAAGATTTATGGCAAGTTTTATGACGTACTAATCAAGTTCATCAGTAGGCAACTACCTCGTTCAGTCACATGGAATGTATACTATTTAATGGGAAGTAGGTTTTAAGCGAGTTCCGTTGCTCTGTATAATCTTCACTATTACTAATATTACTATAATTATCACTTCGTTACACTCTAATTCGATTCGATACTTCCAAGCTTACAAAACATATCCAGTCGTCCGAAATAGCTAAACCCCCTATGATTAAACCCTTATAGTAGCTGTATTACAATTGATTTATCTTTGACAAAAGTTGATCACAGCTAGTTAATCTCGACTAACTTGTAATAACGATATTATATTAATACCCAATCAAAAGCACCCCTTCCTTAGCAACAGTATTGTTAACAAATGATTTTCATGTTATATAATTTTATCGAAGTGCCGTGACACATGACAAATGTATATAATTGATAAATTATTTTTACATACCCCGGGATACAATAACGTTGCAATCTTATCAAAGTAATAACCCTGGGCTACGTACAACTAACTATATCTAATACATGAAATGCTTTTGTAGTCAAACTCAAACTATCGATTCAGTTGCCGCACACGAGGCAGGAGATGCCTTACTTTTTACAAATCTTTTAAAACAACCGTTGCTTATTTATCATTTATTCAGGAAGGGTCAGTAATGGGGTAATGGTTCGATGGAAAGGAACAATGGTCCTTTTACGTGAATGAGTAAAACAGTAGTCAAATCTTTACTTGTCAACCACTCTGCCTCGGAACATACAGTTAAATATAACCCGTCATTATTATATTTACGTTTTTTAAATGGCATTTAGTAACTGGATAGAGTAACAACAAAACACATACCTGTTTTACTGTATTAGCTTGATAACGTTGAGAGAATACTCTACGAAACGTCACCTTAAATACACTAGTAGCTGTTTTCCATAAGTATGTGTTTTGTTGTTATTATATTTACGTTATATATTGGATATTACATAATTGTCAATAAAATGCAACACAAAAGCAAGAGAAAGTATGCACATACATTCACGTGTACGACACCATTTATAGCTAAATCGAGCAAACATTTGAGGTGGTCCGGTTTCCTTACATATTATTTCAGTAAGGCTTAAAATAAAAGGTATGCCCCAATATTGAAGTTTTGAATAAAATTGTGATTTTCATTGTTTTACATTTAACATGATATGGGTTTGACATACTCTAAATGTCAAAGTCTTACAGAAATTGATAAAGGTTCTAGATTGAAATTAAATAAAGTATTTTTATGTTTATACCCAATTCACCTTCAATTCGATTCAATAATGGTTGTTGTGTTGTACGTCAATCAATAAATAAGTTGATTTTCTTTTCATACATGATCGATTTTGATTTTAAAGATCAGCTAGTCATAGATCGATCACAGTTCATTGATACGAGAAATGGCATTAATCGTTACATTGTTTTAAAGTATTGCATAATATATATTTTTATAATCCACGAATTCCATGTCATCTTTAATTGGAATTTTAATTTTCCTACCATACTTGAATTTGACTATAATACAATTATAATTGTGGAAATTAATTAGCGTTGTTTGGGGTTTTACGTAACAACCGACATTAGAACCCTATACTTTTATGTATTACTATTTCTCGATATTAAGAGAGAGAGAGAGAGAGAGAGAGAGAGTTTGACGTCCACTCGACACAAACTAGGTCATTTCGGGACTAACATATGGTTTTTAATTTTTTATTTCAATAATTCACTTGCGCGTAGAGGTCTTTAGCAGTGGGAGGAAACGGGGAACCCGGAGAAAACCCACGAGGTTGGACAGACGACCCTACTCCTTGTCACGTACAACCGAGGACTGACTCAATGACAGGCCTTATGATACAGCTCGCACGTGCTAACCATTCGGCCATCCACTCCCCCCCCCCTCCGAAATTAAAGAAATGTACCGCGAGGTTGACTAGGTCATCTAGCTCAGTCTATTGATTAGGTCATCTAGCTCAGTCTATTGATTAGGTCATCTAACACAGATTTTTGTGGTGTGGTGTAGTTTTCTTCGGATTAAAATATTTTAAGAAGGCTTTAAAGCACACTTTTCAAAGATAAATTAGTTTGAATATGTTTTGGTTACAAATATATCAGCAAATCACACGGTTTGTACGCCGGAAGGCATCTTTAAGTCCTATGCTTTCTTTGCTTGTTCAATGTTTCGGGAGCAAGTTCAGGAAGACGGAATAGCTAATATACATGTCTAGTCTAAACATTATCACTATATTCTAAACGAGGTGTTGCAATACCCTTTTCTCTGTATACATGTGAATACGTGACCTGCATGTAATATACAAACCTAATTAAAGGGTGTGTTGTTATTTGTATTATAAACAGCGAAATTTCATCAAACGAGACATTATAAAAATAGTTTCATTTGATGTGATTTTAATCAAATTAGATTGTATGCAAACTGTGGTCTAACGCCCGCGCTTTAGATGATAAGGCCTGTCATTTCGACTCCATCCGTCATATGTCATTATATTTGTCTGCGATATCGCTGTTACAGAAGCAGACGTAAAACCACCAGGTGTCTGACAGGCTGTCATTGTCATTGGACAACGGCGCTACGGCCTACTCTTATATCGAATTACAACTACTACGGCAATGTGTACACCGCGGGTTTGACTTTTCGTCCCATTCGAACGACTATATGTTGCCCCTTGCCAGTCCCTCGGTCCTGCACCAATGACAAGGAGGAAACACGCCGAAAAAATCCCGATGAGCTTTCTCGGCCAACGCAGGGATCGAGCACGGGACCTCCGTGTTAAAGAGCCAACGTCTTACTAACTGAGCCACGTACCCGGTGTTCTGGTTGTGTATAGAAATAAGGGACTGATCTACCGAACCCTGCGGGAAGGTGAACATAGAAGGACTCCCACAAAACGGTGTTTAATTAAGATACCAGCTCAACAGCGACTTTATAGTGTGCGAGGGACCACAACAAAGATAGCTAGATTACAGATTGTATTCTCATTTTTAGAAAAACCTGCTTACAATTGCTAACCAGGGGGTCTCGGATCTGATCCCGATGTTTCTCTGTGTCTCGGTGATACAGGGCCAGGTTCCTGGCAAGGCGTTCTGATGACAGTTGGAATTCAGTATACTATAGTAGACCGTAAAACCACTGTCCTGGCCAAAATACCCTCATAGCACACGGCATAGTGTATGTCAGTCTTCATAAGCCCGAATGGAGCAGAAAAGTAGGACGCTAATTCCAATTTCATTTCACAATTTTAATAATATGCACTTATCCTTTAAATTATTTGACAGGCAGCGTCCTGGTTTTTGACCTATCACGTGACATACTGTATGTTCTTATTTACAATACATATTCTGACTATATACGCTTCGCTAATATTGCTATCTTGTCGTTACGACCGAAGATTTACATATTTATTACATGTGAATTATACCTCATTGCCGTGACACGTAATTACTTCAGTTTTTGGGTAAGTACTGAGTTAGTTAGTGCCTTTTTCATCGTAGCTTTTGAATTCTCGGATGTATAATCTATCGAAATGTAGAATATTTCTACCGCATAACCGATCTCACCGTTTACGACTGGACTGTATAGTGTTTACGTTTACAGATGCGTTTACATCATTGAGAAAAGGAAGAACATCATATGAATTCAGTTTTTGCTCATTTTGAACAATTTTGTTGTTTTTATTTCTTCAAGGTTTTGAATTATGGGTTGGTTAAACATATTTGAGTATATCCCTACGTGGACATGGTTGATTATAATAATGTTTGTGTTACTCTACATGTGAGTAGTGTTATATTTATATACTAGCAGGATACCCGGCTTCGCTCGGGGGTCATAACTCCGAAACCGGAAGTGGTAGACTAACGCCACCTGGCCTATGTTACTCCCCGGTCCGAGCTACCCCTATACCCCAAATTTCAGACTCGGGGCAGACCTAGTATAGCCGCCAACCCCGAACAGACCGGCTTCGCTCGGGGGTCATAACTCCGAAACCGGAAGTGGTAGACTAACGCCACCTGGCCTATGCTACTCCCTGGTCCGAGATACCCCTATACCCCAAATTTCAGACTCGGGGCAGACCTAGTGTAGCCGCCAACCCCGAACAGACAGACAGACAGACAAACGACAGTCACAAATATATATATAGATAGATAGATTAGCTTCATATCAGGGACCTAGTGATAATGAATACATGAGTAGCAATATTCATGCTCCGCTCATATAAGAATATCGCACAATGTTGTTTTCAGAATTATCGTGATATTTTCGTATCATTTCCATATCTTTCGTATGCAATTCAACTTTCCTATTTCATTTTTTTGGCCCGCAACTGGGCGTGCATTTCAAATGCAAGTCCAAAGTATGGGTGATTTTAGTGCCGGAATCGAGATGTATTTTCGCCACAATGTCGCGGCCGTACTCAACCCCAAATGACCATCACCTGTCATTATTATTATTAAACTATTGATACACGTCACTATCGTTGTTTTTGTTATATTATTGCTACATCATGTGAGTATATATTATTGCTATATGTGAGTATTGTTATTATTATGGATAGTCCACCCAAATCATTCAAACCTGGTGGGCTAATATTTTATGAACTATTCATGCTCAGGAACATCAACGTTCACCGACATAAATGTGACCTATGCCCATGGTCTCTAGTATAATATGTACATTATACCACCTCAAAAGTGAAATCTTGGCTTTTAGTTAAATTAGAAACGGGTATTATGGAGTGAATTTGATTTTATTGGATTTTTTTATTTATTAATATTAGAGACTTTCATACTTTTATCTTTAAGTTTAAGGGATTTTGATAAACCTGTAAAGTGCTTTAGGTCTATGTTAGTCCAATTTTAACCGTTAAGAACAATGTTGATCATTCAATTGCTCCATGAAAACAGTTATAATAATTATAATCAATACGAATTTGGCAACAGAACTGCTGTTGGGTGTTGTCTACAAACCTAGCTTTTCTAATAACTACTTTTAATATGTTTTAGGTATGGTACAAAAGGACACGATGTCTTATCAAAATTAGGCATACCCGGTCCCAAACCAATCTTATTTTTTGGAAATATCTTACAATTTGGAAAAGTAGTAGGTTATGTTGATATATTTTGTTGTGGGTGTATTTATTTTGATTGATGGGATACGTTTTATATGACTGATGAGTTAATGAATCGTCTTTATTGTAGACAGTCGTGGCACCACCATCGTCAAGACTGGCTGCATCTATAAATATAATTGCGAATTATTTCATATTATCGGTGTCTGTTTAATTCTTATACATGCATCAGTGGACAATGTGTGATAATACACTCTGATCTCCAACTCTTATTGGTAAACAAACTTTTCATTTCTATATGCCCACATTGAAATGTGGTCGTATATTGTCGTCGCCCCCGTCCGTCCGTCGGCCCGGCGTCCAGAATTGATTTTCACCGATTTCCGAATATTACTGCCAGAGTTATGGCACTTGATCACTTTGAAAAATCTTGTGGATGCATTAGAGATCATAGTTATCATCTGATTGATTTTATATTTATACTTCGTGTTTACGCCTATATATAATCGTTTCGATTGACTTTAGATTGATACACAGATTTAAGGTCTTGAGACGAACAAGTATATTGATTTGCAATTGATTTGCAATGAACAGCTAAATCCATGATATTAAATATTTTGTATACTAAACGTAAGCATGGGCGAAACAAATTCTAATGATTTTCTGATAATTACTTAATGAGTAGTTACTCTTAAAAAATATGCGACAACTCTGGTTGACTGCTCTGGCGATTTAGCTACCGTGGGCGTATGTTTCGTTGCCTGACAACCTATATTTATTCACAGGGAACTGCTTTGCAACTTTGGGAATGGAAAAAACAATTTGGCACAGTGTTTGGGTAAGTTTATATGGCGGTATTGAACCACTAGATGTATATTTTGTTTCCTGACAACATCTTCATTAAGAGAGAAAGAGAGAAATTAGTCATTTCGAGACTAACATATAGTTCAATTTTATTTCAATAATTTGTTTGCGCGTAAGGATCGTTAGTAGTGGGAGGAAACCGGAGGACCCGGAGAAAACCCGCGAGGTTGGACACCCCCCACCCCCAATCTTTATTAAAGGGATATGAGGTAAGATTAGATAAACAGCTGACAGCTCTCGCAGTAATAGTTAAAAAGATACATAATGAAAACAGAATAAGCTGAAAATTTCAGTCAGATTGCTTCAATTAGCGATTCAATTTTAGGATAGCCTCGATCGTAATTACTAACGTTTGTACGAAATTCTGATGATTTTCTGATAATTACTTAATGAGTTGTTACTCTTGATCAGATTTTAGTGTATTATAAATGCTTCATTACCGAATAAAGTAAAAATATGCGACAACTCTTGTTGACTGCCCGGACGATTTAGCTGCTGTGGGCGTATGTTTCGTTGCATGGCAACCTATCTTTACGTTAAATTATCCATCACAAAATGTATTCAAATCCACTAAATATCGCAAGCTAACGATTGCATCGAAAGTTGATTATGGTCTGGATAAGTTAAACATACATTATGCAAGAGCTAAATCTGTCTATTGCAGGTCTTTCTTTAGGCATGAAATGTTAAATTAATAATTTAGATAACATTTCAGGCCTAAAGAAAGACCTGCAATATGCAGATTTAGCTCTTGCGTAATGTATGTTTAAGATGGGTAACTTAAGGAACGCCTCTGTTTACTTATTACAGGATATATTTTGGGAGTCAACCTGTTATTGTTGTGCACGATTTAGATATATTGAAGGAAGTCATGGTCAAAGATTTTCCACATTTTACAGATCGGGCGGTAGGTTGGAAAGACTCGATAACAATTAAACAGTTAATGAACTATTATGGCAATGTGTTGTTCTTTCATGAAGTAATGGGGAGTTGAAATTAATGACTTAATGCTACACGCCATTGTGTTAACATGTCGTCGTAGTACTGAAAAGAAACGTGCATGAAACTGGACAGCTTGTTCGTAATATCAGATTACTTTAAAAGCTTCTATACTTGGGTTGTAATAATTTTTTATGTTCTTCTTTCATTTTGGAGAATTCTGAACAAATTCAATAACTCTTTATTCATTTTGAAAATGCATTTCATTTATCTTGTGACAGATAACTGTATCAAGAGCTTACGTGGAAAAGGGGATATTTTTCCAAAGTGGCGTCAATTGGAAACGGATCAGAAATATCATTACGCCGACTTTCAGTTCCAGTAAATTAAAACTAGTAAGTTCTCACTAAACCCTCTGCAAACCAACGATTGGAAACTTCATTTTTAAAACATAATTCATTTCTAAGCAAATGCAAACAACACCCATAACTGCATTGTGCAGACTAAGACTTTTGGTGTTCTTTTGTATTTGCTTAGCAATGAATTATGTTTTTAAAAAGAAGTTTCCAGTCGGTGGTTTGTATTAAGGATCGCGAGTGTCGAGGAAATTTTTAAAATTTAAAAAAACAAATCTAAACTAGATATATATGATGTACGTAGTTATCTATAAAACATGGACCTACATGTTGTCTTGTTCAGCTGATTACGTCACTTCCTGTTAAAATATTAATTATAAGAATTTGAAATATAAAACGTAATTTATTTTTTTAAAAAAAAGAGTATTACACTATGTACTTTCTATTGGATATGTCTTGAATAATAACATAAATGTATTTTGATTATATATTTATAAATAGATGATAGGGCCAATCAACAAATGTGGTGGTTTATTATCTAACAATCTGGTCACGAAAGCCAAGAAAGGAGAAACAGTTGATGTTAAGCAGTACGTAAACAATTTTTGAAGAAATATTGTTGTGGGCCGTCTTCGGGTACTCACTCTGGATACACCAAACACACACACACACACACACACACACCCAAACCCATACACACACACCCACACACACGAATGAATGTTTGTATTTGAAAGTTAAAAAGGACCTTTTCATTTTATGCTGTACTTAGTGTGGCTGTGGCCATTATATCAGATTCGTGAAACAATTCACAGATAGTCATTAACAGATGGCTGAAGTAAAAAAATGGTTGAATTTTGTACTTATAGTTATTTTGGAGTGTATACTATGGATGTAATAGCCAGGACGGCGTTTGGGTTGGACACAGATTCACAGAATAATCCTGATGAACCTTTTGTTGACAATGCTAGAAAACTGTTTGCAACAGCCAAGTTTACATCAACGGCCAATCTTCTTTCAAGTAAGATTTATATGTTATAACATCTAAGATTTCGATTTGTTGTAACATACTGAGCAATAACCAAGAGTAAAACTACTAACCTCTGTATTACCCCATGTTACCTTTGATTTATTGCACAATAAAATATTTCACAAGTATACGAAAAGAAATGCTTGAAATCGTCCAGTTATTTAGTATTGTTGCTACATAAATAAAGAAAATGACATTTAACTATTATTTTTTTCAAGTTATTTTCCCATTTTTGAGGCCGTTACTTAAGGTATTAGATGTTGGAATTTTTCCATCTGGCCCAGTCAATTTCTTCGTTAGGTCCATAAAGGCCATGATAGAAGAAAGAAAAACAGAAGATGAAGCCACCAGATCAGTAAGTTAAATTTCAGACATTTGTCGTTTCTATAATTAAAATTTCATTTGGCGTATATGTTTTTGTCGCACCTGGCCAAACCTAATCTGTCCGTTATATGATCGTTAGTACAGATAATTTGAATGGAAGGTTCTAGAAATAATAATCTTACCATTACCTGTACGACCCTTGTTAAACATGGTAACTATGCTTTGGGTTCCACGAACAGTAGTGAGGCATAATAAGGGTTTACCGAAGTTTATTATCGTCAGGTTACAGACAAATTTGCCGACCTGTATCTCCTTGAATTAACGATAAAGCAAACCAAACGATATGTAGGAAACAGTAAACTATCTAATAGTTTTATATAAATTATGATAATATGCGTTAAGAATTAGGTGTTTGAAGTTCTTGAAATTCGCACAAAACAGGGATGAGTAGGGAGAGAAAATTGGGTCATTTCAATAATTCGCTTGCGCGTAGGGGCCTTTATCACTATTATCAGTTGGAGATTGGACAGGCTACCCTACTCCTTGTCACATACATACGGGAATCGAAACTTCACCACTTGACTCAACGACAGGCCTTAGGATCTAACTCATGTCAAGTTTGGGTAAAAGTTAGTCACCTATAAGTGGGTAAAGTACATTTAAAATAATTTTCAGAAAAGGACAGATTTTTTAGAACTACTGTTGAAAGCTGAAAGCGAGGAAGGAAATGATATACATGTGACTAATGGAACACAGACAAAGGTTATAAAACGTATGTTTTTAGTTTCCATTTTGCTTTCTAATTAGTGAACATGTAGTGAACCTTTATTAATTATATATAAAGAATCGTGGTGAATTGATCTGATATTATGACAGATTGGTGATGGGGAAGACTCAATACAAATTTTGTTTCGAAGTCTGTCTAATTTTATTTCCATTGTTGACTTAATTTTTCGACAATTTTGTAAATATTTAAGAGGGGTCTGTGTTTGACATTGTCCTTTGCTTAAAACCTCAGTCTTCTAAAATTAAAGTAATACACACATATGCAAATAGTCTCACCAAAACGCATATTGGTAATCACAGATAAAACCCACCCTCGCGCCACCATCTTTATTTCTCTAAAAACAATTCTGAAGGATAACGCATTTCTATCCACGAGCTACGATAGTATCTGTACAAACATTTTGTTTTTATTTTAATCGTCTAACTAATATATCAAAACATACTTTCAGGCCTGATTTTTCTTATAAATTTAAATGTTGAAAATGTGTATTAGCCTCTGCTGCAAAATTCTTTTGATATGTTTTACAGTTTATTATAGATTCAATTCTTTTCTGGCAGTGTAATGGACATGCATATTTTAATTACTATCCTTATATTCTTGTCAGGACTAACGGTTGAAGAAATGATTGGCCAAGCCTTCCTGTTCTTTATTGCTGGATACGAAACGACGGCTAGTACCTTACAATTTATTTCTTACAATTTGGCGAAAAATCCCGGAGTACAGGAGAAAGTGATAAAAGAAATAGAAACACATGTTGGTGATGTAAGTAGTTAAAGAGTCTTGAGAATTAAAGTCATTGATTAAAATAGATATAACTTGGAAGATAAGTTAGATATGCCAACCATTTTGCCATTTCAATTATTCTTCCGATGGTCTATTTTGATAGCACCTAAGTGTGTTTAACCATAGAATATGGTTTGACGAATTTATAATAAAAATGACGACGTATAGGTAATCAAGACAAGGCGTATTTTTACATTTCTTTCATCATTTGGAATATGTGAAGCCCAGTTTGATATATGACCTCTTGTGCTTTCCATATGATATTTCCTTTATTCTTTCAATGGGTTCTTGCGATATCACCCAAATAGTGTTTGGTAAGTGACTCTAATCAACGGGACTAATTTATTCCGCTTAGTAACTGAAGAATATAATTACTTTTTGACGGAATACTTTGGAACCAGCCTGAATAGTTTCACCAGGTAAAGGCTACGTACTATTAGACTAATGCGTCTGGTTTGTATTTATGGATGGATGATACTGTATTTATGGATCGATTTTATAGTACTTTATTTTATTTGTAGAGAGAACCAACTTACGATGATATAAATAAGCTGACCTATATGGAACAAGTTATTTTGGAGACACTTAGACATTACCCACCAGTTATTACGTACGTATGTGCATTATTCTAAAGGCAGACAACCTGGACGCTCATGTGACCAGGGGTAGATATGTCACGCATTTAATCCTTCAAATTATGTTTACCTGAGAGTATGACGCTTCTTGAAACCAGACAAATAAAATAATAGACCAAAAATGTTTATAAACCATGGGTTTGGGAAATTGTTAACTCGAAAAATAAACACCATTTCAAAGCAGACGGTAATTCAGACACAGCACGTGTCTGCATATTATGAAGCATACTGAACATCAAAAGCAACTTGAATTACATTTGACAAACGTTTTAAATCTCAGTTATTCATCAGTGTATTTCTCAAAACATATTTCCAGTGTCAATCGTAAAGCTTCAACAGACGTTGATATCAAAGGTGTTCATATACCGAAAGATGCGATGGTGATGATTCCTATCTATAGCATCCAGCATGATCCAGAGAACTATGAAAATCCCGAGGAATTCAGACCAGAAAGGTAATAAAATATTGTAAAATATTCAACATTCTCGACAGATTAGCCAAAGCTATGGCGAAGCATAGCCAATGCACTGTTTGTTGAACTATGCATCTATAGCATAGTCCGAAGTTGTGAAAATTGTTAACTCTTGTGGCACCACCTAGATGGCCGTCTGGAAATGGAATAACTAATAAAACTGTTACACAATCATTTGCACACTGTGAACACAGTTTCAAGCCTTTGTGAATTTGTCGTTTTTTTCAGTTAGCCAACAATCTACAGATCATAAAATTGTTTAAATTTGTTACTTAAGAACCTGAGGATCAAAGAAAACTCAGTTCCTAATCTTGTTACAATTCTCCGGACAAGGGGTAATCAGGCTGATTTCAAGTTTACAATAAGACTTGCAGGCTACCAATTAATGAAATATACACTTAAAAAAAAGTAGGGGATATTGAAATGCAAATACCTATGCAGGTTGTGATATGTTAAATAGTCATGGACACTTTGAGAGTATGTTCACAGATGAAGAACTTATCGCCCCAACAGAACTACTGAGCTACATGTGCGACACGCAATTGTGCCATGCACGTGGGAGGGGTTCATTGTCAAATTTGACACTTCAAGGAAGGGTTGGTGAAAACTGCTGCTTGCTGGTTTATCCTATCCATGTTTCCTTTCCTATCGGTTCTTGCATAAAATTTACTGTTTAGCGTATCTTTGCTTTAGTGGGTTACGTTTAATTTGATTGGGAGACGTGTTCGTCAACGTCAACCGACGACACTGCAAGAATTGGCCGTGGCACTGCAAGAGGAGTGGGTCAGATTGCCCCAAATCGTGATTAGACGGTTGATTAGGAGCATGCCACGACGAATTACTGAATGTCTGAGAATTGGTGGAGCAATTACTCATCATTAAGACAAAAATAAAAAAACGCCCTTTTTACTTTTGACGGAGTATCTCTTTGCGAGTAAAATGGGGCCGCCAGATATGCCGCCCTTATGAACTGTTTATGTTCATGTGTAGGCAATTGGCCTGTTATTAACACACACTGGTTACCTCTAATAAAAACAACAGTGCATTTCCGCAGTTTTGTATTGTTTCTGAATACCCCCTACTTTTTTTTAAGAGTATACATGTATATCCAGGAACAGGCAACTGGAACAATCGTGTGTCCATTTTTTGTTTCAGATTTGACGCTGCTACACGACAAGAAAGTAACCCGATTACATTTTTGCCATTTGGCTACGGACCAAGGTTGTGTATTGGAATGAGATTGGCTTTGCTGGAGACTAAAATAGCACTTGTGTGCTTACTTAGAAGAGTTCGATTTGCTAAATGTTCTGAAACTCCAGTAAGTTTTATTTCGTTATATTTTTAGAAGTTTGCAACATATTGTGGTAAACCTTAAAACGCACTGGATGACGATTCTGCTTGTTGGGTTTGAAATCGCATCTATAAGTGTTTGTGTGACAAGCTTTCTCGCAAAATTTGTTGTATAACTTTTTTGAACTTCGTATAGCTGGTACACGTTCTTTCCTTTCAATATTATTAAACCACACCACTAAACGTACCGAAGAGCCTCTAAACCCGAATCTCTGCGACATTTAAAAAAGTGTGATTATTAATAATTATCAAGTATTTTTATTTATTGCTCTATTTTTCAGGACAAACTGGATTTTAAAACTGGTGGTATTCTGTCCACAAAAGATCCAATAAAAGTTGCTGTAGAACTGGTTCCCAAGCAAAACTTTTAGTCCTTTTCTTCTGGGAATAAATGGAAACAGAATATTACTTGTTAGTGTAATTATAATTTCTGTCACAATGGAAGTCACGTTTTTTGCTCCGAATACGCTGGATAGAGAAATATTTTAATGGTGAATATGACTAAAGTCTTTAAAATGGCTAAACCGTGTAAATAGGGTCAAAAATAAAATTATCGATAATCTTTGCTTTCCTACATTGAATTTTCTTGTGGAATGACAATAATATGTCTTCTTTGAGAATTTTACATCAAAAGGTAAAGCCTATCTTGAAATATATGTATAACCGATTGTGTGTTCTACTGTCGACATGGTAAGCTAATATTAGTAAACAGACAGGTTTAAGCTTAATCTTTAAAAAACAAAACAATTTAATCTATTGAGCTTGCCTCCATCACTAATGGAAATAACACATCAGTTCCTAATCATTTCAGTAGTATATTTTGACAAAATTCTTTTGGAATACGAACATTTCGCGCATCATTTTTCGGAAAGGGCGCAATTACTAAAAAATTTCTACAGGTTTTGTCATGATTGACGCCTAATCTAACCCATTATAATTTATACAGAGAATATATTTTGAAGTATATTTAGAGTCGATTATTCATTGGCTTAAACATCAGATTGGCTATACAAATCAATGTCAAGGCTGACGTTACAGGTTTAATTTCTCAAATGTTAATGAAATCATCAGAAATGATCGAAATAATTTTAACGAAAATAATAAATGGAACGAAAATAATAGATTAATTAGATTGGTTTGCCAATTACTTATATGCTGATACTTAATTATGTAAATATACACAAATATGATATTTTAACCATTTTATTGTATAACGAGCTTGGGGGGGGGGGGTATATTTACATAACGGAACGCTGTACATACAATGATATAGACTACAATATACTATACATTTTCATCCATTTTATTATACATACAATATATGTGTTTTCAACATTTTAACGATGTAATACACCCCTTTGTTCTTTTGTATTAATGCTATGTATGTAGTAGTTATTAGCACACTTTCCGAGGTGTATCGGTGAATATCAGGACAGTTTTGGTCGAGGGGCCCAGCCGAGGCGGAGCCGAGGCGGCTCCCGACCAAAACTGTCCTGATATTCACCGATACACCGAGGAAAGGTGCTAATAAGTTACTTACATCACATTTCTATCGAGTATTGTGAAGCAAAATGTGAAAAATAGTATTTATTATCGAGTCGTTTCAACCGAAAAGTGACAAATACTTTCTGCTCTTTCATTATTTATACCTTTCTGAGCCTCACGTTACATTTCATGGTAGAATGATTTCGCAGTGGTGAGACGACCTGAGTAGTATTTACACGTGTGTCTTGCTATGATATAGGGTGACCCATGTACTCACAGAAATACAGTCCACCGCTGATAGTTCGAGACTACCACTGAAGCGTGCACATTCGCCGTGCCGAGACCAACTTTCTGACAGTATGATACTATAAATAGCCATGGCACGTGCAATTCTCTACAAATCTATCAACTATTACAGCCGTAAAACATTTATTGTTGACGATTTTGAATAGCAGTAAAATTAAGCTTCTTGGTTATTACAGCAGATTTAGAAATTACGTTCGTTTCATTTTTTAAATCGCTTTATCATTAACTGTACCGTTAAGAGCGGCATCTTTTGGTTTAGTACAAATAATATCTCTGAATCACTCGGGTTAGACAGGAACATGATACTAGCAGTAGTTTCATTTTACTTTTACAAGCTTCTTAAAACGATTGTTGAGCTACCTAACGTGCTTATTTCTAAATAAGCTAGCTTTCTGTTATTTTTCGTAAAAAAGTAGTCTTGATTGTCCCGACCTGTCAATCAGACGTAGAATGGTCGATAGACTGGTTAAGCGAGACTAATTTCAAAACAAGGGCACGTAACCTATCTTTTACTCAAAAGTGTCTGGATGTTATGGACGACTCTTGGAACCAATTTTCAGTCTATTATTTATACGTGATTAATAGTCATAGCTTATTAAGTACAACATGATCGTTTATTTAGTGACTATAATTGTGTGAAACTGATTTGAGGCTTGGCATATGTATAAATATTGTGGCGTAATTGTCGAGATATATGGAGATATTTATTTATGGTGGGTCACCCTACTATGATACTCTGAGCGTAAAACAATTACGTGTTTGTTTAGACCACATCGTCAAAACAACTTGTCTATGTCTATGGCGTAGAGGACTGCGATATTATTAAATGTAGTGTAAAGGAAATGCGAAACGTGGGTCATTCCTGGTGAAAGTATGGATCGGCGGATGGTTCTTTCGTTGAAATTTATTTGTAATAAAGTTTATGACTTTCTAGGCGTTTTTTCATCCTGCTTATTTTCAATGCTTGTGAAGTGTCCAGCAAGAGAACTGCGCCTTCTATCATCACAATTAATTAAAATAGTTATTCAATATTCTAATTTATATATTTTGCATATTAATATAAATCAAACCAAATTATGAAATAGATGCCAATTGATATGTATAATAATTGATTTTTATACGCCCACATTGAAATGTGGTCGTATATTGTCGTCGCCCCCGTCCGTCCGTCCGTCCGTCCGTCCGGCGTCCACAATTGCTTGTGGACGCTCTAGAGGCTAAAGTTAATATCCGATTGACTTTAAATTTATATACAGTGTTTAAGGCCATGGGACGAAGAAGCCTATTGATTTTCAGCGATTTCCGATACTTACTGCCAGAGTTATGGCCCTTGATTACTTCAAAAAATCTTGTGGACGCTCTAGAGGCCAAAGTTAATATCCGATTGACTTTAAATTTATACACAGTGCTTAAGGTCATGAGACGAAGAATCCTATTGATTTTCAGCAATTTACGATAATTACTGCAGAGTTATGGCCCTTGATCATTTTGAAAAATCTTGTTGACGCTCTAGAGTCTAAAGTTAATATCCGATTGACTTTAAATTTATACACAGTGTTTAAGGTCATGAGACGAAGAAGTCTATTCATTTTCCCGTCTTCATTAGCCCAGGTTAGGAGCAGAACAGTAGGACGTTAAACTCCATTTCATTTCTATTCATTTTCAGTGATTTTCGATAATTACTGCCAGAGTTATGGCCCTTGATCACTTCAAAAAACCTTGTGGATGCTCTAAAGGCCGAACTTTATAAAAACCAAACAAATTCTAATGGTTTTCTGAGTTGTTGCTCTTAATCAGATTTTAGTGTATTATAAATGTTTCATTACCGAAAAAAGTAAAAATATGCGACAACTCTTGTTGACTGCCCGGACGATTTAGCTGCTGTGGGCGTATGTTTCGTTGCCTGGCAACCTATCTTTGTAATATGTTGTTATGTTAATTTAATGTCATTGTATATGTTTTTGAACTGCCATGTAGTTCCCCCCATTTTGTTTTGTTACTATGATTTTGACTAGTTGTTTCATGTACATGGTATAGAGCCATCGTTATCAATTGCGATCTGGGTCGGACTAAACGTCCGCTACTTATTGCTTGATAGGTATCTAAAACGGTACATAAGTATCCGTGTATCAGAAATGAACAGTACTCTTTCTGTACATTTCTGATACACGGATACTTCTATGCATGTATTGCAAATTAACAGGACAGTTTTATCAAAGGTTGCCAGTGGCAACGAGTAGAAGTGGGATGTAAATGTTATTTAGGGAGAGGGTTTTTACACAGGATAAACTTCTTCTTCAATCCCATTCAGATATCTTGTTTAAACGAATGACGAAACCAAGAAGAGATGGGGCAGAATTACTGAATTGTATTTAAAATATTGTAATCTGTTAAATTAAGCGTCATTTTTTGTTTAAAAAAAATAAAAAAATTTTAAATTATAGAAAGTGTTAATTTTTAGCTAAAGACCTAACTTTGTCATTGAAAGTGTAAACTGTTTTCTGAATAGTAATGCTGGGAATGTATTTAGTTGTGTAGTTATGAATTTAAATGAAGGAGTAGAAATAAATTGCCATGCGATAAACATAAACCGATCAAATAACCATACAGCTTATATGTCTGCCGGAAATTATCGAAATACTAGCAGGATACCCGGCTTCGCTCGGGAGTCATAACTCCGAAATCGGAAGTAGTAGACTAACGCCACCTGGCCTATGTTACTCCCCGGTCCGAGATACCCCTATACCCCAAATTTCAGACTCGGGACAGACCTAGTGTAGCTGCTAACCCCGAACAGACCGGCTTCGCTCGGGGGTCATATCTCCGAAACCGGAAGTGGTAGACTAACGCCACCTGGCCTATGTTACTCCCCGATCCGAGCTACCCCTATACCCCAAATTTCAGACTCGGGGCAGACCTAGTGTAGCCGCCAACCCCGAACAGACAGACTTCGCTCGGGAGTCATAACTCCGAAACTGGAAGTGGTAAACTAACGCCACCTGACCTATGTTACTCCCCGGTCCGAGATACCCCTATACCCCGAATTTCAGACTCGGGGCAGACCTAGTGTAGCCGCCAACCCCGAACAGACAGACTTCGCTCGGGGGTCATAACTCCGAAACCGGAAGTGGTAGACTAACGCCACCTGGCCTATGTTACTCCCCGGTCCGAGCTACCCCTATACCCAAAATTTCAGACTCGGGGCAGATGTAGCCGCCAACCCCGAACAGACAGACTTCGCTCGGGGGCCATAACTCCGAAACCTGAAGTGGTAGACTAACGCCACCTGGCCTATGTTACTCCCCGGTCCGAGCTACCCCTACACCCCAAATTTCAGACTCGGGGCAGACCTAGTGTAGCCGCCAACACCGAACAGACCGGCTTCGCTCGGGGGTCATAACTCCGAAACCGGAAGTGATAGACTAACGCCACCTGGCCTATGTTACTCCCCGGTCCGAGCTACCCCTATACCCCAAATTTCAGACTCGGGGCAGACCTAGTGCAGGCGCAGACCCCGAACAGACGGACAGACAGACAGACAAACGACAGTCACAAATATATATATATAGATATCGAGGAATGCCGATTGGAGAATCGTTGTCAAAACGTCATTCGATACTTGCTTTAGCAAGCAACCATACTCCTTGAGACTTGAATCAATGAAAGAGCTTATAATCAAAAGTGCACACTAGACCTACCCGACCCCCCACACCCACACCCACACACACACATTAATTCACTGCGAGGACCTCTAGGCAATAATGGCTGTGAAAATCCCATAATTTTTCCTACAGATTTATGCTAAAATTTCTAAAGGAAAAAAATAAGGTATTCTATAGTTTCATTATAGTGCTTTCTGTAGTAAATTCTACAGTTATATTTTGTGTCTTTAATAAACTTTTGTAAACAAACTGCACAGTTGTCCCACTGTCTTCAGGTTCTTGTTAATACTTACTTCTATGATATTGTTATACATGTGCATTGAATTTAAAAATTTAAAATTCAGTCTATGAACAAACAATCTTCTTTTGGATTAACTTTAATCAGTCCGTTAGCTAACGGATAATGAAACTGACTTTCTGCTATCCTTATAAACCAGTGATTGTATTTCCATATAAACTGTGTTGTGTTTTTTTTTTTATATTAACCCTTTTCATTTTGTTTTGGAAGTAAATATTTCTCTCATGTTTCAGGTACCCAAACTTGGCGGAGGCAACACGGCATCCATGTTTGCATTCGTAAGTATATTTAATAAATTCAATCGTATTAAAAAGATGCCACGAAAAGACAATATCCTATATTTCGGCTGTATGCCGAATGTTGACAAGTTTTCATTTCTCATACCTTTGTACAAAAGAGGAACCATTGGACTGATATCCCCTTTAGAGATATTATGGTAGTTTGCAAGGGGTTAACAATCCCTCAAATGATGTTTATAGACTTTAAGAATCAGTGTTATTTACTGGAATATATAATCTGCGTACTACAGAACAAAATATATATTATAATAATTTGGTGTTTTCACAGTTTGTAAGTAATATGCTTTAGACAAAGAAATACCCATAATGTCAGATTCATAAGGTCGTAATAGACGTAACATACCATGAAACATATTACTAAGGGCCTTTGCCAACTCAGTTTTTATCCAACCGGAAATCGCTGTGGACATTTTTTTTGTATATATAGAAGAGATATATAATATAGATAATAACTTAATATTCTGAATAATGTCACTTGTCTCATTTTTCTTCACCACATGAAATCTCCATAATGCTTTTTATAGTTGAAAGATGTGGAAGCTGGTGGTGAAATGGTCTTCCCCTATTACAGAGTTAGAATCACACCTCGACTGGTGTTTTTAAATGTAACGTAACTATGTGAGTATGAATGGGCCATTAGTCTCCTATAATCATGTTTGATATTCCAATGAATTAATATGTTAATCATATCTTGTTTTGTTTAAAGCTCCTTAAACTTGTCAAGCGGCCAAGTTACTGAACTACTAGAGCGTCCCGGGATTGAGTACCGGCGTGGATCAAGCTTGTTTCAAGTCCGGTTGTCTCAAAATGACCGAATTATGGTGTTGACGAAACAGTAAAGCTCATCCCATTCTATCACCATAGGCTTACGGGGCGATATTCTTTGGGGGGGGGGGGGGCTGTACCATTTTGACCGAAAAATACAGCGGCAGCGCCCGAAATATACACCCACATAACTTTATCAGATAGCGCCCAATGGGCAAGTAGTATAGTGGAGCGAATTTTCTATGACTGCAGTTTGACTCCAGATCCTAGTGTAATCAGTAGCGGATTATCAGTGAGGCTGATGACGCTGCAGCCTCAGGCCCAAAGATTTTGTAAAAAAAAATTTTTTAGACTTGTCTGATACGATTAAAAACGCATAGACAATGAATGTTAGGGGGGTTGGGTTTAGGCCCAACGGGAATCAACATAGGCCCTGACCCGAAATTAATTAAGCCCACGCCATTTTAAATAGGCCCTATTTAAAAACTAAATAGGCCCTCCAGCAACTGCCGCCTCAGGCCTTGGTGGAGCTTAATCCGCCACTGAGTGTAATAAAGACAAGTAAAACGAAATTTTGAACTATAAAAAAAGAAACGAAATAGGATCTGTGTTGGAGTTTTCGCGGAAATGTGATCTCATGTGTAGGCATCTTTGCGTGTACAAAAACGTGCTTAGCTGTCAGTCGCTAGATGATTACCAACTCGACTGCTATATATAGTTCATGTAAACGTATTTTGTCATATAGAAAATGCAATAGTTTTCATTTCAACCACCTCTATCTCTTATTACAGGGTAGTGTAGTATACTATCTGGCATCTAGAAGTTTTATGATGGTTTGTCCAGTAGCTTACGGTACATAATGGCGTAAGTAGTTTTCATATACAGTAAAGTATGTTTGTAACGATCTGGACCAAGGTCGACGTTATATCAGTGTAAGCTCACACCTATCAACCATCTAAATACTTCCTTAATTACCAGTCGTCTGTTTGATTTGCTGTTTAGTTTAAGCTATTGCAATTGGTTAAAATCTGACTTGTCCAAAACATCCTTCATTGGCTAAATCAGGGGTCATGCTAGAAGGTTTCTACACAAGATGCTACGTAAAATTAAATATTAAATCACCACAGAACGTTACAAAAGTTAAATAGTATATCATTTTTATTTTCCAGTGTCCGTAATGTCTTTTTATGAAGAACATAAGTATGGATTTTGTCGAGATCACGATCAACCATAAACGCAAGATAACTCTTTACGTTATTCACATCCATCGTCAGGTCATTCTCAAAGATTAATTCTCTTGGATTAACATTATAATTACCTTTGAATAATATAAAGTATGACACTTTTATATTTCTTAAATTGCCAAAATCATTTCCTTTTACTTAGAAAGATTTTGAAAATATTCTTATAATACATGTAGTTATTTATAAATCTCTATATATGTGGCATATCTACTTAAAACTATTTATTTTTTTCAATTTATAAAAATCTATCATGCACTTAGTTTAACAAAATCTACTTAAAACTATTTATTTTTTTCAATTTATAAAAATCTTATCATGTACTTAGTTTAACAAAATGTGGAGTTAGTTCCCCTTAATTTAGCGTTACACAGTTTTAGATCGCTTAATGTTTAGCTATACAGATTGTCCTGTCCGGATTGTACTGTCCGGATTGTCATCTAAATGTAAAAGGTTTGGCATTTTCAGAAAAAAGGGTGCCTCCTTTCTAGTTGCCATTAAAATGTCAATGGAAGGCCCCGTACGTAGAAGATGTTTTTACTCCCTTAGAACTCCACTGATGAACGTCTGTCTATGTATATATTAAGTTATTGTCCTGTTCTTTGTATATTTTGTAGACAATAAATCATTATAATATATAACAAAAGTTTCCACATTTATATATTCTATAATTGACGGCTGAAAAGCGTAACCGGGTGTGTGTGGGGGGGGGGAGCATAGGCTAAAATTACTTAATAAGGGACGTTTTATATGTCACTGATCAGTGTAAAGATGAAACATAAAGTAACAGTGTGTCCAGTGAGTATATTATGTCATTTACTTCTAGCAGTTTGGACAAAAGTTCGACAAATTCTGAAAAGCTGCTATTTTGAAATATAACTTATGATAGCCACATTCAGAGAAACAATATAATACCATAGTATTTAATATTTCCAAATCTAAGCCCGATCTACTGTGCTTGCCCAAATAATTGAACAACTTAAAATCATTTGTTGAAAAGATCATTTATTCATAAAGTGCATGACACGTTAAAATATAAATTTAGTACATACATTCCTAGAAATGATAAGAATAAAGGACTATAACAAAACACCTGTCCAGTTGAATAAAAGACAAGACTTCAGACATGGCATTTGTGAAACATGTAGTAAGCAAGACACTATAATTGGATAAACTGTGGAAAATGAGGAATACTAACCATCTGAAGATACAGACAGTGATTATATTCTATGACCCCAGTAAAGTATAGTACATGTATATGTATTTACATTTAGCCCGGTCGATGCAAAACACTAGGACCTTCAACCTCATTTCATTTATATTTACTATTTTATTATTTTTTAGAATTTTCTTTGCTTTAATGTTTTTATTTACAAATGACGTCAAGTGGAATTATATATGGCATGGTAATATATAATTTAATTCAATATGATTAAATCAGAAATAAATTACGTTTTGTTTTGTTTTACCTCTTGTACGTTGTACTACAGTGTAGTGTAATATTCAGAAATAAATAAACGAAACGAAATGAGATTATAGGATTTCTTATTTTATTTATTGTGATCATACTAATCATTTTCAGTCTATAATTGAATCTATACTTTTTTTGAGTTGAACTAGGTAGTATAATTAACCCCTAAGGAACATAATATTCAATCATTACTATTACAGTATGCATGACAAAATGTAAACATTGTATTATGGATACACTGGTACTTGAATATTACGTCCAACTATTTATCAGTTAGAAAGGCCGGTACCCATCGATTTCAAAATGGCCGTTTCTTTCTAGGCGATCAGGATCGGGGTTTGAGATCAAGCAACTTCGAATCAACATATTCAATTCATTTTTGATGGGTATAGTTTTAGTTGATACACAGTTATACAGTCAATGGTCATGAATAGGCTCGTAGGCCTTAAATAATCTTCAATTGGCTATTATAATTAAGTAATCAAGCTCACCGTGTTTATTCCCAGGCGGAAGCTGTATCCTTAGAATATAACTTTCTAAGACAGTATGACTCCGGGGGGGGGGGGGGATATATGAAACCGATAGACGAATTACTAGAATATGACAAAAATATGTTGGCAAGCACGACTCCGAGTTTAAAGAGGCGTTAGCGCTTTGAAGGTCTTGGTCGGTCGGTAAAAATCATTTTGATTTGAGATGAACTGATGCACTTTGACTATTGCATTGGGGATGTTCAAATTATATTTTTATGAAAGTCGGGGACAACATGAACAAGCTTTGGATGTGATAAGGCAATAATGGTGCTATTATGATTATAGACAATACACGACAATATAATATATAAGGAGATTGTGGAATTCGTGTATACTTAACAAATAGAATAACAGAAAAGTAGTCAATGAACAGACATTTAAAATATAAGGTGATTAAAGTAACGATGCGTCAGTCAATGACATTAGTCGCTCAAATATCACATTATTCAAATATGTACTTAGATTGATTATCTAACATGTCATTAAGAAAAACAAATTTAAAATGCCAGAGCTAGATACTGTACCGGCTTGGATTAAATCGGGTTAAGGGCCTGCCATTAAAAGGTCGCGGACAACAAAATGGCGGCGGTCTTATTTGCATAGTGAGCAGCATAGATGAAATTTTAATTGAACATATCTTTGTAAATACTGAACGGAATTGAACCATACTTGGACTGATATTCATATTAGAGATTTATCTTTCCAAATATTGTAGTTTAAAAGTGGTTACTATTGATTTAAATGGCGCATCGGGACTTTATGGAATGGCAAATAATTAACCTATAAGAAACATTCCAATTTAAATATCAAAATTGTAGAAAATATAAGATCTTTGAAAACATTAAGAAAAGAATAACCAAATTAAACAGGCAATAACATATATATTTGGTGTCAACAATAACAAATTGATTATTTTAAATGTGGTTTGTAAAATCAATAAAACCATTATAAACATGTGACAACAAATGGGCCAAAATGTTTATAATATCATAATTTACAAATAAATGACAAATTTATTTGGTCCATGCTATGGATTTAAAACCGATTAAAAACATATATATATAGAAATACATAATCAACAAATTCTCCCTTACAAGTGAAGAATATAATATATATATAAAATATATTTATATGGTGTTTTATGATATATATATATTATATATGTATATATCATAAAACACCATTCTTAGAAAGTAAGTTAACACTCATAAAATTGCTGGTGAAGCTTTTTATCTATAAAAAAAGTTATATCAATATGAACGCCGTATTTGTATTTCAAGCATTTTACACAATATATTTAATTCGTCTTCTTTGATATACCACCAGTTTGTGCAACTATTTCATGTGAGCTTCCATTTGATTTGTTTGTCTCAAACTTTGAACTTGTGACCTTGACATGTATGACGTTACCAAGGTAGCAACCTAGGAAGGAGCTGATCCAGTAGACTAGGATATGATCTAAAGCTGACGTTCCGTTACAGAAGAAAGATAGTCCGGACGCCATAGCCGGATGAAGATACATCCCCGTTAAATGGACACCTGAAAAATAAAACCGCGGTTTTTATATCGAAATGTTTACTGAATGATTAGAAAATAATAATGGAATTCGGCATGAGTGGGAAGGCTGTATCTTTTATCGTAAATATACCTATGCATCTTTATAGAACACCCTGTGCCACTTCCCATTTAAGGAGTTCATATAGGGAACACACGTTTGTGTTTTGTGCATGTATATAATCACAATTTTATTCATCAGATTATTAAGGCACTTGAGTATTTTAAAAGCGCAATTTGTCGGGTATGCCCAGATCATCCCATAATTCCATTGCAATCTAAGACCATACAATATACTGCTAGTCGTTATGAAAGCCGATCGAATTAATCCATTGAACCTCCGTGTAGTCAATATAATCACCAGCTGATCTTATTCTAAATATCAAATTAACATTTGACATAAATTTTAGACGTTGCGAACCGGGTTTTTTTCCGGTTGGAAATGAGTACAGGGGCCACCAAGTTCCATTCTGTCCAGCTTTCAATGGAGGGAAATCCTACTTTTGAAGTTCTGACACCTATACTTGGCACAAACTCTTATGCCCAACCACTATTCAGTTCATCATAGAATAAATATGTGGATTTTAGGGTACTATTTCAGTAAGGTACCTCTACCAGTTCCTGTGTTCGTTATTGACAGATTCGGCTGAAATTTGGTGTGGGGTCATCGCTAGGCCCCATGAATACCCCCTGAAAATTTCAAGTCTCTACGATCATGGGAACTGGTAGAGGTACGTTACTGAAATAATACCGATTTTAGTACATCGAAAATAGAATTATTACTTTGGAATATTCCAAAAGATATAAACAAATAAGTTTTTTAAAACTAGAATTTCTCTAACTTGTTCTAACTTGCCAGCGATGACTGTAAGGCTTAGAAGGAGATTGTGCTTAGTCGTTCGGGTGCGATGAAAAACCGGGGATAACCATGTACACGTCTTGCACGTAAAAGAATCCTTGATAAATGGAATTAGAAGACGATTTTGCGAAAACGCAGATGTCCGTATTACGTAACCACAGAAAATTGTCCAATGTCAGTCTCAAAATGACTGAAGTATTGTGTTACCAAGACTGTAAAACCCTTTACTACACCTCGTCATGTTATTCCAATAAAATAACATATCTATATTTAATTTTGTTCCTATCTGGGAGCCAAAGTGGCCAAGTGAAAAAGACGCTGGCTCGCTAGCCTGGAGGTCTCGGGTTCGCTCCCGGTGTTGGCCGAGATAGTTCATCGGGATTTTCCGGCGTGGTTTCCCCCTTGTCAGTGGTGCAGGACGGAGAGCCTGCTAGGGACAGCTGTCTAGTCGTTCAGATGGGACGAAAACCCGAGGTCCCGTGTACACATTGCGTGCACGTAAAAGATCCCTTGGCAGTTGGAATTCGATATAAGAGTAGGCCGTAGTGTCGCTGTCCGGGCAAAATGTCCTTCATAGCACACTGTAAGGCGTGTGCCCGTCTTCATTAGCCAAGTCGGGGCAGAACAGTGGGGCGTTAAACCCCATTTCACTTCATTTGTTTCTATCTAAATTATAGAGTAGATTAAATAAATTTGTTAACAGAGAAAAGTATTCACGACCCTTACCTAAACAAACCATTAGTGCACAGTTAGATATTTTCAGCACAGAATCCACCACAGGAAACCTAGAAAGTTTCTGGAAATTCAACCACGTGTCAAAAGCGACACAGAGCAGTTCTAAAACAAATCCCACTTCCAGGGACACTTTCAGATCTGATGAACATGCCGTGGAATTAAATTGACTCGTATGAAACGAATGGATCCTCAATGACCACACAAACATGGCGAGTTTATAAGACGTGAAGGCACCGAGAGTCTGGACAAAGCTACGAAACACCAGCGAGTAAAATGAAACCCGCCCTTTTAAAAATTCTAAAAATGTTGTCAATGGCGAGCCGTGTCCATCAGGAAACGCAGCAATGGTGAAAAAAGCTAGCGGGACCACTGTAAGAAAGTATCCGATGGATCCGTATAATTGTCGGATTTGTCCGTGTCCGTACGGATATGTACAGATTAACATTGTCTTAAAGAATTCCGTGGTCACTGAATGGATGGATTTCGGGAAGATGATTCTGGAGATACGAAACGCCAAGTAACAGACAATAAATGATAGAAAGTAAAACAATATGGCAGCGATAAAACCGGGGACTAATTCTTTAACTGGTGGGTCTGGTTTGATACCAATTCCTATAATCTCCTGCCACTTCATCTAAAAAAAAAACAAAAAAACAAAAAAAAATTTAAATCAATTATTTCGGTGATTCAAAACGTACGTTTAAACATTGTAATAAATAAATTTTAAAAAGGATACAAAACTTAGTCTTTAGACCAATTATAAATTTAATAGAGAATATTAGGAATGAATATGTATTTGAATATTGTAATAAAGTTTGAATGAATATGTATTTGCACGTTGTAATAAATTTTACACAGCTATACAAAATTATATTCGGATGTAACATTATACATCGTTACCGAACTTCTAAAATTTCTTGAAAAAATTACTAATGAATATGAATGAACAATGTGATACATTTTACATAGCTATTCAAATTATATGGCCATTACAAAACAAGAGTGGTGTGTAAAACTATACATCATGCACATAGTTACTGAAATTCAAAAATTTATGGACCTTGCTAAAATTATCAAGATATGGAACTAAATAAATCATTAATATATTGTAATGTAACTCATTTTTATTTAAACATTTATATTCTATAAATGTAGCACGGCTACACACGCTACAGTTCAATTGAGCAGTAACAGTTATAACCCGCTACATTGTAAAAGTAGAATTAATTATCATAATATAGTATATTTGATTAGTTCCACAAATAATATAGTTAAGCCACAGATAAAATGGACCATTGTTTTATTATTTTGCTTAAAGTGAAAATAATTTGTGATGTTAACATACTACAGATGTGATTACAAGTGTAGCTCAAAACAAGCACTTTTTGGGAGATGACCATGAAGTTATTATTTTTTGAAAATATTTTCGCATCGCTTCGCTCCGCTGGTCATTTATACGCAGGCCTATAAAACATATTGCATTCCAATTTCGTTTGTTCGTGGGATTTAACGCCGCTTCGACCGAGGTTGATACGCAGACATATCCTGGGAAACTTGTCTTTTATATATTGGCTTTGCTCGACCGGTATTAGGCTACCGAATTTCCATTATATTTATAAAATGTTATAAAACTCCAGAAGATACAACCACAGCACATATTTTAGTATGTAAAACGTAAAGGGTATATTTGTATTTTTTAAAAAAGCTTTAAACGGCCAGAAATAAATTTATTTATTTCGGTCCGCTCTTCTGTCGTTCTTTTCTGAAATCTCTATCGGAAATTTTGGGTATTTCCGCTCATCAGTGAAAAAAATATTGCGTGAACATGCACCTGGTGCGGAAATAAAAATGTAACTTAAACTGCACATGTGGGAGTTTTCTCGGAAAAATCACTAGAAAAAACAAAACTGGATTCCACCCACCCTTTTCATAAACCTAATATCCGGCCCTGTTTCTAAAGGTCTTTCATTTCGTATTGGCAACATCCACGTTTAAAATTCATTCACATAAACTGCAATTTTGTGAGAGAATGCAGCCGACGCGATATTACTGGGTAATCAAGACTATACCAGCCGCCAGTCTTTTCGCCAGCAGCTGTTATTTCGAATAACAACCATTTGTCACACCGGGCTATCTAATTCCCACTCAATCATTCAAATAAGTACATATTAATTGTAATAAACATATGGATATATCCTACCTTGCCTAGTTCGAAAAATAAAGAATATAAAATAAACTAGTACATGTTTCCGTTAATTTGCATAGCTTGTTTGTTTAAGGGAAGTAACTCTGTTTATATAGTTTTGTCAAGATTTTCATGGCAGAGAAACGTGATTTAAATTGTATTAACTAAAATTCTGTCGGTGAATTTGTATATGATAAGGCATATTTTTCGGGATAATAAACAATTCATACAATAATTGTGTTTTTATTAAGTCGATGTCAGTATTAGTATTTTTTTTATAACAGACCTCATGCAATTACTCTTATTAGTTCTAAAGAACAGATTCTCTCGAGACATCTGGAATTCATATATCCGTGCGGTGGTTACACGTTAAATGTAAATACACACTTTTCGATAGAAGCAATCCGCAATATCACAAAGACATATTTTCCAGCAAACTACAACGTTTTCAGGTATCAAGTCCTATTTTCAAGTAGCAATAGTTTCATGATCCGGTGATATAGGCTACCGATATTCCATATTGGATTGATAGGTTGATTGATTGTACGTCGAGATGCGTGTGTTTTTATTTGTTAAGTGTTATTATGGAACCACATGCTATTCTGTCAAAGTTAAAGAATTCGATTTAATAATAATAATAATAATTAAAAAAAACATTTAAAGATAAAAAAAGTAACAAACCGTCTTGCATATTAGATTATTATCCATTATATATACTTTGAACTTTGCACTTTCAACCTTGTCCTTCTTTTCCAAGTAAAATTCATAGCTACGCACGTACACATTTTTTTCATGTCACGTCTACAGTGTGGTGTGTATAGGCTATATATATTCCACACGTTACATATTTCACAGTCACTTGTGTTTCACTTATATGGACCGTTAGCCACTCGAAGCTTTATTTCTATACACGTTAGCCAGCATGAAGTTCACACAAGCCTACTAGGTAAAGGCAGTATGATATAATCTACACCAAACTATGGAAATATCGACGGACCACGTTAAAGTCAATTGTGGGTTTAATTTTAGAACACCAAATTGAATTAGAAACCAATTAAAATCCAAAACGATTTATTCTAATGTACGTCGTTCCATTCCTCTCAAAATGTATTTATATGCTCTACCGAGCTCCTCAATCCTCTGTCGGTGTGGGCCTACATAAATATCGCTCCAGCATGATAACATCCCATCATACAAGATTTATGGCAAGTTTTATGACGTACTAATCAAGTTCATCAGTAGGCAACTACCTCGTTCAGTCACATGGAATGTATACTATTTAATGGAAAGTAGGTTTTAAGCGAGTTCCGTTGCTCTGTATAATCTTCACTATTACTAATATTAATATAATTATCACTTCGTTACACTCTACATGTAATTCGATTCGATACTTCCAAGCTTACAAAACATATCCAGTCGTCCGAAATAGGTAAACCCCCTATGATTAAACCCTTAACGGCTGTATTACAATTGATTTATCTTTGACAAAAGTTGATCACTAGTTAATCTCGACTAACTTTTAATAAGGATATTATATTAATACCCAATCAAAAGAACCCCTTCCTTAGCAACAGTATTGTTAACAAATGATTTTCATGTTATATAATTTTATCGAAGTGCTTTTACGTGTAATAGCCGTGACACATGACAAATGTATATAATTGATAAATAATGTCTATTTTTACTTACCCCTGGATACAATAACGTTGCAATCTTATCAAAGTAATAACCCTGGGCTATGTATAACTATAACTATATGTAATACATCAAATGATTTAGTAATCCAACTCAAACTATCGGCGCGGTTGTCGAACACGAGGCAGTAGATGCCTAACTTTTTACAAATCTTTTAAAACAACCGCTGCTTATTTATCATTTATTCAGGAAGGGACAGTAATGGGGTAATGGCTCGACGGAAAGGAGTAATGGTTCTTTTACGTGAATGAGTGAAACAGTAGGCAAAGCTTTACTTGTCTGCCTCGGAAAAAAACAGTTAAATATCCGCCATTATTATATTTACGTTATATATTGGATATTACACAATGATTGTCAATGAAATGCAATATAAAAGCAAAGGAAAGTATGCGCATACATCCACGTACGACACCATTTATAGCTAAATCGTGCAAACATTTGAACTGGTCAGGTTTCTTTACGTATTATTTCAGCAAGGCTTAAAATATAAGGTGTGCCCCAATATTTGAATAAAATTGTGATTTTCATTGTTTTACATTTAACATGATATGGGTTTTGACATATTCTAAATGTCAAAGTCTAGATTGAAATTAAATAAAAGTATTTTTATGTTTATACCCAATTCACCTTAAATTCGATTCAATAATGGTTGTTGTGTTGTACGTCAATCAATAAATAAGTTGATTTTCTTTTCATACATGATCGATTTTGATTTTAAGGATCAGCTAGTCATAGTTCGATCACAGTTCATTGATACGAGAAATGGCATTAATCGTTACATTGTTTTAAAGTATTGCATAATATATATTTTTATAATCCACGAATTCCATGCCATCTTTAATTGGAATTTTAATTTTCCTACCATACTTGAATTTGACTATAATACAATTATAATTGTGGAAATTAATTAACGTTGTTTGGGGTTTTACGTAACAACCTACATTAGAACCCCATACTTTTATGTATTACTATTTCTCGATATTAAGAGAGAGAGAGAGAGAGAGAGAGAGAGAGAGAGAGAGAGAGAGAGAGAGAGTTTGACGTCCACTCGACACAAACTGGGTCATTTCGGGACTAACATATGGTTTTTAATTTTTTATTTCAATAATTCGCTTGCGCGTAGAGGTCTTTAGCAGTCGGAGGTATGGGGGACCCGGAGAAAACCCACGAGGATGTACAGACCACCCTACTCCTTGTCACGAACAACTGGGGACTGACTCAATGACAGGCCTTATGATACAGCTCGCACGTGCTAACCATTCGGCCATCCACTCCCCCCCCCCCTCCGAAATTAAAGAAATGTACCGCGAAGTTGATTAGGTCATCTAGCTCAGTCTATTGATTAGGTCATCTAGCTCAGTCTATTGATTAGGTCATCTAGCTCAGTCTATTGATTAGGTCATCTAACACAGATTTTTGTGGTGTGGTGTAGTTTTCTTTGGATTAAGCTTTAAAATGCACTTTTCAAAGATAAATTAGTTTGAATGTGTTTTTGTTCCAAATATAATATATCAGCAAATCACGCTGTTTGTACGCCAGAAGAAGGCATCTTTAAGTCATATACATTCTTTGCTTGTTCAATGTTTCGGGAGCAAGTTCAGGAAGATGGAAAAGCTAATATATCTGTCTAAACATTATCACTATATTCAAAACGAGGTGTTGCAATACCCTTTGTGATAGTTTGAGTTGACTCCTGGTGTGTGTTTTCTCCTGGGCACGAACGCATGTCCAAAACTGATGTTTGCCTTAACAACGAAACTATATCTACTTCCTGCGGTGCGAGTTGGTTCCTGGTCAGTACAGGAAAAAGTATATCATGTACTTGTCATTAATAAACATACTTGTTATCGTGATTAGCTGTTGTTTTTAGTGATGAGTAGTTACACGATCAACGGATCTAAGTTGATTGGCTTGAAATTGATACTTCTATCGTTCGTGATTTGTTCCCGTTGTTTTTTTAGTGATTAGTCGTTCTCTACACACGTACGATCAGTAGAAACCATACAAATTGATGATTGGCTTAAAATTGTCAATTAATTCACCTCCAAAGGAAGATTAAGGCCTTTGATATTTCGTGGCTTCATTTATCACAAATATAAAAGTATGGAATTTCTTATTCCGATTTCTTTAACATAAATATAGATTTATTATACCATCCCATACATTAAAATACAAGAAAGAATGTTCGCATTGTGGACGGGTATATATACTAAATAATAATAATAAAGATCGTCAATTTGCATCCTCTCGTGGTAATACTGTAAATATCGGTACATAATAGTCTATATATTGATTTGACCGTAAGAAAATCTTAGGGGAAATCCTATCACGAGGAGTCAATGCCCACCGCGACTGTAACGGTGTGAGTTGACTCCTACAACTGCGCATGCGCCAAACGGTAATCACACACCATGAACCATCTGAAACTGCCACACCCTTTTCTCTGTATACATGTGAATACGTGACCTGCATGTAATATACAAACCTAATTAAAGGGCGTGTTGTTATTTGTATTATAAACAGCGGAATTTCATCAAACGAGACATTATAACAATAGTTTCATTTGATGTGATTTTAATCAAATTAGATTGTATGCAAATTGTGGTCTAACGCCCGCACTTTAGATGATAAGGCCTGCCATTTCGACTCCATCCGTCATATATCATTATATTTGTCTGCGATATCGCTATTATAGAAACAGACGTTAAACCACCAGGAGCGTAACAAACTGTCATGGTCGTTTAATCTTTGTAATCTCACCTATCGCGTAGAGACACCCCGCCATTCACACCATGTATGACAATGTCGTCAGTCTTGCTATCCCTTATTTTGGAACATAACAAATTAGACGGCTATGGTTAATCTAGTCGGTATATTGTATAAGAAAAGATAGATATACCATTATTACCGTCTAGAAGGGGCTAATGATAACGAAATAAATCGGCCCAAGTTGTAAACGGCAACGCATTTTTACCGATCGGTAAATCTATGACCTCCATCATAGGTCCACCACACACACGGAAGCTCTAAATCCAGGGAAGTCGAGATAACTCCGCAAAAATAAAACCGAGCCACAAAAATACGCATCATACCTTAAGATACGCATATTCTGGAAAGTGGGATTTTATGTCCATATGATAGAGATCATAAATTTAACGAATGGTAAAAACGGGTTGCCGTTTACCACCTTATGATAAGCCGATTTATTTCGTAATTATTAACCGCTTCTAGGTGGCAATAACATTGGAACGGGCGCATAAACATAATAGCTCGAGATACTGTTATTTGCTGCTAATAGTGATAATGATATTATTATTTAAAAACCCAGCTACACACATTCACCCGTCTTCATTAGCCAAGTTGGAGCAGAGCAGTAGGACGTTAAACCCCAATTCATTTCAATTTCATACATTCCATCTTTCCTATTATTTCTAAATGGTGCCATTAAAATGATTAATTATCCATTATATTCAAAAAGAGTTAAACATGTTCACGTATGATTATTTCTGAAATGAACAAATTTCACTGACGCATTAATAGACTGACTGAATAAATCAATAAATGTAATAATTCACACGCGAAAAAAGATCAAACTCTTTATCACACAGCATATCTTTCAATATAAAACTATCAGTACATATTATTTGAAGTGGAAGTACGAGCTAAATTGAAGGTTATGTTCAAATGTTATAGAAATTATATTCTTTTGACAATCACCATCAACTAAAACAGTCAGTTTTATCAATTTATAGAGATCCCTAATGATTGATCAATCCCTAATGTTTAGGTCATCAATTTCCAACATAAGTTTTTAATAGAAACAAACTTGAATCCTTTGTCCGGCCAAATTTGAATAAAATGAAAACACAGATTATGCGCCCGTGTAGATAAACCCCGATGACAAATACCAATAATCTAACATGAAACACTTCATGCTAAACACGTATCGGAATTTGGTGATGTCTAGAATATAACTAAAACAAGCACTGGTGTATTATTAGCTCGAGACCATAAAACAACTTAAAATACACGTGCTTTTCAATGAAATACGCGAGTCCAATATTTCATCTAGTATACATAATGTACGATTGGCAAGTTGCCCGTACATTATCGGAAATAATGGGACGCCAACATCAAAGGATGACGTCACATCTGTATTTTAAGCTATTATACTCTTCCCCAAAAAAAGTAGGGGATATTAAAATGCAAATACCTATGCAGGAAGTGATATGATAAATAGTCATGGACACTTGACATGTTTTGAGAGTATGTTCACAGATGAAGAACTTATCGCCCCAACGGAACCACTGAGCTGCACGTGCGACACGTAATAATAGGGGTTCATTGTCAAATTTGAAACTTCAAGGAAGGGTTGATGAAAACCACCGCGTGCTAGTTTATCCTATCCATGTTAGCTTGCATAGGATTTACTGTTTAGCGTATCTTTGCTTGTTTGTGTTACGTATTATTTTAATTTGATCGGGAGGCGTGTTCGTCGACGTAAACGTCAACGTCAACCGACAAGACTGCAAGAATTGACCGTGGCACTGCAAGAGGGGTGGGTCAGATTGCCCCAAATCGTGATTGGACTGTTGATTAGAAGCATGCCACGATGAATTGCTGAATGTCTGAGGATTGGTGGAGAAATTACTCATTATTAAGACAAAACTCCAAAACGTCCATTTTCACTTTTGACAGTGTATCTCTTCACTAATCAGAAGGTTCCTGGCTCGATCATCCCGGTATTGACAGAGAAAATTAGTCGGAATTCTTCAACATGGTTTCCCCGTGGTCAATGATGCAAGAGGGAGGAATGATATACCATTGGCAGCACGTTATAAATCCGTGTTCAATTGGATAAACAAACGACAGTCACAAATATTAGTATAGATGGAAGAATACACGGTGTATGCCCGTCGTCATTAGCTCAGTTGGCGCATAAAAAAAAGTTAAAACCCTATTTCATTTCATGATTGGTATTGAATCATAAACGACTACAGGAAAGACCAAAAAACGCATTTTCCCGGCGTTTTGTTGTAGGTTATTCTGTATAATGATCCTGCTAAAAGTACAATACACCGAATGTCATACTAAATTTTAACGTAAGACCATTTACTCACCATTGATTCCATTACATCCTGGAATTGACGCATAATTGTTCTCCCAGATTTATAAGGCCTCGCTAGTCTAAATATATACAAATCTCTATTACATGCGCTAAATGGTTTACAAATTCTAAAACAAATTTAACATGAATTTTTCAATCCGGTAAATGTTGATCAATAAGTTTGCTAAAAAAAACAAATACGCATAGCATCAATCCATGAGAAGTAACAGCTGCTAGTATCTCGATACTCGTTCTTGTTGTAACGGCAGTTGTAATGTAATAAGCATTCCAACATATAATGGGCTGACCTGCAAGAAAAATATAGCAGAATTAATATTACTTTATTTGTCTAAGACACACTAAGATGGCGGTGTAAAATCAACAGAAACCAGTCTTGAATGGTCGAAACATGCAGTTAGAATAGATATCAATAATTTTGGACCAAAATGTTTTTAAAATAAAACCAAAATGTTCGATTATGTATGGTCGTATAAGCGTTAATCTATATTAATTATACAAGAGCTAAATCTGTCTAAAGCAGGTATTTTTCTGGCTTCAAGAGGCCCATAATTAAGTATCTAAAACCTCAGATGGCTGGGACATTGAATGGATTAGTGTAACCGCGGCCTCTAATCAGCTAACTCAATAAAAGGACTGACCATCGTTTTATCGTAATATATAGCTCAAAATAAAGTAATTTAACTGAATTTTTTTAACTATTATAGCAAGGACGCCAAGCCCTTTATCTAAATCTTACATATTTGACCTTGTACAGTTATGAATATATTTGAGTCCCCGAATAGCTCGACGATAGTCACATCCATCAACGTCAAATACCGTTTGGGTATGTTTTCGCAGGATTGAATAGATCGATTTGATTGGCTAGACTAGGTTCAACATAGCGAAAGGGGTTTTACATAGGCTAAGCCTGTTCCCCAATCCCATCGAGAAATCATGAATAAAAATATTGTTTATAAAAAAAAACATCGGCGACAATGCTGCCAAGGATGCGCAGGTCCATTCAGTTTCAACATATGAGAAATCTGTTATCTACATTTTGGGAACGGCAAAGAAAGATATTTCTACACAAATGTTTAGTCGTCCATAGCAGCTTTTGGAATTTTCTATTTATTTTGCTGGAACATTGATAGTTTATCCTATCATCTTGTAAGTATAATCCATCAGATTTGATTCTGTGATGTTTTTTTAAAACAATAATTCCACAAGATATTAGACATAGAAAAAACAATCATTTTTTTCAAAAATGTCTTCTTAGATCCCCAATATGACTGTGTTGTACCACATTCCACAAGATTTTCGACTTAGAATAATTATCTTAGAATGTTTTGGCCTGTGGTGTTTTTTACCACAATAGTTCCACAAGATATTAGACATAGTAAAAAAAATCACAGGCATATAGTGTGTCTGAGGAGAAGGTTTTGATATCTTGAGGAACTCTTGTGGTGAAAATTACCACAAACCAAAATACTTTATGAAAATTAGTTGAAGTCAAAAATCTTGCGGAATGTATTTATTTTTCTAAGTACAGTATCTTGTGGAACTCTTGTGGTGAAAGAATGCACATAAACCTTGTCATAAATGCATAGCAATCCAATCAAAATCGATTGCTTTTTAAAATTGCCTTTCGTTTATGTAGCGCACACAAACTTACTTAAAATCTGACATCATATCCCATGAAAACAAGGCGTTTCAAAGTCAGTTACCTATTATTAAAATCACCAAAGCCTCGTGCATAATTCAGATGAAATGTTGCCATTCGTAAATTTATACATTTCTTCTAGTAATTTACCTCACATGTGGTAGATTCACCCTGCAATACAATGAACGAGTGTTTTGCAATGAAAACTATGGTAAATAAAAAAACAAAAGACGAAAAACCATTTTACTCGGTGTAAACCACTTGTCCGCGGTGTAAATTAATCAATCAAAATAATGCTGATTATGTAATATATTTCACTAAAATATTAGACAATAATGCTCATAGCACACTGTATGGCGTAAGTCCGTCTTCATTAGCCCAGTTCGGAGCAGGACAGAAGGGCGTTAAACCCCATTTCATTTCATTTCGACATTATTGCACACCAGCGACCATCTTAAACGTTCGGATGATCTTTGGTTATAAAATTTATCAAAAATTAAAAGAATATACATTTTGTTTTAGATTCTGTTCGTTGTTGCACATGATAGACGATGGATACGATCATTTTCAAGTGTTCTGTCCGGGCCACATACGCCTAAAATTTAACAGTGTGTATTTATCAAATTGATATTAAAAATAGTCAGCCACCTGTGACTGAAAACAAGTATAATAAAGGGTATGAAACACGCATAAATTTATACGAATCGATGAAGATCGAAGAAAACAAGAGGTCAGTTTCAATATCATGACATATTTCTTCAAGTAGCTATTGATCTTAGAGATATAATAGTTATAGTATTAGACTGATCCCGGTAGTTGAAACGTGTAACAAGATATTAATCATGTGATTTAATGCAAATTTGTTTTGTTTTCTTTGGCTGATAATCTGGAATTCGTATTCACTTTTCGTTTTAAAAAAGTACTATTTTCGTAAGGAATTTATTTTGTATGGTGGACATTTGTATGGAAGACTGTAACTGGAACATATATTGATGGTTTAATCTTACCGATATCTTCTCTATAAATATCAGAGCATTCGCAGAATTTTTAGTTGTGCAAATTATATATAATGTTTAGACGAAAAACAAAGCAGGCTTTAGTTGAATATTCATGTGTTATTTTTTAGCTTTTTGGTATGAAACGAAATATTAATTGAAATAATGAAACTTTACGTAGTGTGTTTCTAATTTTTTGTGATAATCTGGAATTCGTTTTCACTCTTCGTTAAAAAAAAAGTACTATTTTCGTAAGGAATTTATTTTGTATGGTGGACATTTGTATGGAAGACTGTGACTGGAACATATATTAATGGTTTAATCTTACCGATATCTTCTCTATAAATATTAGAGCATTCGCAGAATTTTTAGTTGTGCCAATTATATATAATGTTTAGACGAAAAACAAAGCAGACTTTAGTTGAATATTTATGTGTTATTTTTTAGCTTTTTGGTATGGAACGAAATATTAATTGGAACAATGGAACTTTACGTAGTGTGTTTTTGATTTTAATAAAAGCGGGGTTGAAAATAGGGGACTATTGTCGTTATAGTACGGAGATAGGGTCAAGTTCCTAAGTTTTGGAAAACAAGCCAACAGAAGGAATTTCTTCAGATGACAGCAGGTGTTCCAGAAAGACTAAGCAAATCCTACCCCATGTATGACATCCGTCATTATCTATAACTAAATGTAGTGATAATCTGGGCAAAATACCAAATTCTGAAAAACTATGAAAATTAAAATGAAGTTGATGTTAATAGCTTTCACATTCACTGTGTTGGTTGTAGGGTTTCGGAAATTTGAAGAAGAGTTTGGATCAGTTATTTATAAAAGTTTGGTCATTTTGGATAATTTGACCTCAAGATTTCAGGTTAGTTTCTTTCGATTTAATGATTACAGGAGCAATACGGGGTCAAATGGTGTTTCGAATTTCAACGGACACGCACTCCTCGATTTCTCGTCCCATCTAAATAGAAAGGCAAAAGGCATATTCTTTTATCACATATATATTTCACTCTACTGCTGGGTCTGTAGCTACATAACCTGTCTCTTTCCATGGTAATGGTTGGTTCTGTTTGGGTGCTGAGTATGCTAACTATTCCGCGTACTATGAAATGACTTTGCATCTGTGGAGTTTGTCCAAATGTTACTAAATTAATTTATTCCTACTCAATTGATATTGAAAGCTAACATTTTAGATAAGGTTTGTTCTCTAAGTTTGAAATCCACATAGAGAACAAAACTTATCTAAATATGTGAATAAAGGAATCAGGGTTAGGATAGGACAAAGTTCCCGTGCGTTATCGCAAAATCGGGTATTGATCTTAAGTTTGAAATCTACAGAAGACCAATACCTGATTTTGCGATAACACACTTAAGGGAACACTGTCCTATTCTAAACCTGATTCCCTTATTCACATATTATGTGTGCTGGTATTGTTTATCAGCCTTTATTGTTTTATTAAAGATGCATAATGCAATAAAAGTTTAAAAATAGATAATGAAAAATTTAATATATTGAAAATTTCAATCCACTTGTTTTATTCTGTTTGAAGTGAATGTTTGAAGTTTTGACAAAAATAGCGTGAACAGTTTCGATGTTCAAGTAACACTGTTACTACAATAAACGTTGTCTTGATTTTCCATTTTAACGATTAACAAAGATATAGCAGACACTGTCTAATCCACTTAATATCTCGGCTATATAACATCTGAAGTCAGAAAAACGGCCTGCAACATGCAGAATGAACTTTGGCACAATGCATCTTGAAGCATACTGTGTTTAATCATGAAAACGTTTCTAAATTCAACCCAAAATACAATTTTAGCGGTTTAATTCGTAATGTATCGTAAAGTAATAAATAAATACAAATATCTTTTCACTTTACTTATATTGATTCAGTCAGGGATGCGTATATTTAGAACCTCGGAATAAATAAATTTTAAACTGATTTTATCGATTTGTTCATTTTAGATTCGGTTTGACGAAACACAGGATTATCTCCCTTCATTTGTTATAATACCTGGAGTAAATCTATTCGTTTATTCTGCTGTGGTGGATGTACCAGCATCTGATGACCAGATACTGGATGTTCGGATAGCCGTATGGGATGCTTCTGACGTAACGGACTTCGCATGCTGTTTTACGTCTTCCGGAAGTGCAAAAGTTTTCTCTACCAGAAGTCAAATGAAGAGTTATTACAGATTACCAATGATGACTTACTACGCTCGGCAGTACAGCTGCATTGTTTCAAAATCTATTAACCCCATTGAAGTGTTTTTCTCAGCAACGAGTTGTGATATCCTTCCTTCGAAAAACGTCCCAGTTGTATTTCCGGAAATTTCCCGGGAAGATACTGCTTTCTGCATTAAGGTGGCTTTTGGGTTTGTTGAACCAGAACATATTGTGGAGTTCTTTGAAATTCATCGAATATTAGGTGTAAAGAAGTTTTTAATCCACAATTTAAACTTTGACAAGGATTCTTTAAACGTGTTAAAACATTATGAACAAGCTGGTTTTCTGGAAATTGTGCCGATTGATTTTCCTGGAAGCACAAGCGGTAAGTTTTTGAGCTCTGCTTTAATGTAAGTGATCATTTGTGATGTCGTGGTGAATTGATGTCTCAAATACATGTATACGCCATATTGTAACGTTGTAATTAATTGTCTTATTGAATTATAAATCTGGACGCAGAAGGGCAACTAAATTCGTCTGATAAGGTGATTGTGAAAGAATGGGGTGTGTGAGGTAAGCACACTTGAATCACAGCAACATACCTCGGGTTCAAATCCCAGTATGGGCAATGAAGAACAATCGAAATAGTTCAAACTTGATTGTCACTTATCTCACGGATGCTTCCTGCAGGTCAAGTCATTCAGATGAAAATGGACAAGTTTGGTTCATAAACCGGCAGTAAAACGATCGGTTGGCTGTTGAAAATCGAATGATACTAAGACTGCGACAAGAGTCGACCGTTCTCCATTTTCCATTACAGATCGGTAGAACAATAACAGGTCTTTCATTTTAATAACAAAAAGATCTATATACGGTCTCCCTTTCACTTACACGTTGATAGAAAGATGTACGACTTTCCTTTTCCAATATAGATCGACATTAAAATACAAGCCTTCATTTTCAATTACAGAAAGATAGAAAATATACTGTCTTTATTTTCTATTACAGATCGACAGAAAAATGTAGGCCACCATTTTCAATTACAGAAAGATATAAACATATACGGTCTTTCTTTTCAAATACAGAAAAGACAAACAATATTGAATCTTTTTTCTTCAATTACAGAAAGACAGAAAAAGATACGGTATAAACTGCCTCTACTAGCTGATGCACAGGTAGCTGTTTATGATTGTATAGAAAGATTGTCTGGGTACCAGTTTGTGGGAATTATCGATTTTGATGAAATCTTATTACCGTCCAACAAATACAAAAATATACCACATCTTTTAAAGGTACCAGTAAAACCATTCATATTTCATTATGGTTTTGATGCGATACTTTGGAGAATATAACCATATAGCACGTTTCCTCGGGAATACTTGTCCCAAAAATCATTAACCAAAGGCTTATTGTATACGCTGGTCCCATATTGAATGATTCCAACACCTACGAGCACTTTTGATTTTGTTTTTCAGTACTGGTCAAATTTATACAGCAATGCAGCCAGTTTTACTTTTGGTGTAGAGAATTTTATGTCGAACTGGAACGAAAGTAACGTCAATTCCAGTCTCCATTTTATGCGATATATTTATAGAGACGTGGCTCTTTATGATCGACCTAAATGTGTTCATATACCAGGTCGAGTCAGCTTTGTATGGACCCATGATGCGCTTCCTTTGCCCACCTACAAAAAGTAAGTAGACCTGCATACGATTTACCCTATATCGTCGGTGAAGTGTCAAAAGGGTGTATCTCGGGGAAATTAGTCAAATACACTTTTTTACATTTTTAAAATCTCCCAGTTAATATGCACATTTCTGTCTAAGCTGTGTATCTCTACGCCAATTAGAACTGTTCTGGGTATCATGTGTCCAAATGTTGTATCTTGATTTGTGGAAATTTTGAAATGCAAAAGGTTCTATTTCTTAATCTTTAGAAATTCTTAGATACACCCTTTTGACGCTTCACCGACGATATGCTCCAGTAATGGCCTCGCTATATTCGCCTACAAAACATACCTACTTAATGATCGTTCTTTACTCACTGCAAAAAATTAAAATTATGTAAACTTACTCAGGATTCCATTATTTTACTCAATGCAATAACAATCCATAATGTTATTCCAAGATATTTGGAGACAAGAGTAGGCGGAAACGAAAAAACATAGAAAATAAAAATAGTCTCAAGATAACATGTATGTGATATATTAACAAGACGTTATTCCACATTCTTTTCTTTTTTCATCTTTTTATGGCATTGAAAGCCGGGGATTTAATCACATTACTGATTTTCGTTCACAACATGTACACAACAGTTTTATTTATTTATATTTATATGTCTAATGTTTTCCTATTTTTGCAGATACAGGATTCCATTTAACGCGGGAATAATTCACCATTATAGAAAATGTCGGCGACACATATCAGAGGATAAATGTCTCAATAGAATACTTCGATATAAAGACGAAGATCTTCTTCCAATGGAGCACCAACTTTCGACAGCCGTAAAAACAGTTTTGAGAGATCTGGATATAGCCGAGTCTTTTTAAAATTAGATTACAATTTCATTTCGTTTCTGTTCTTTTGATTTTTACACTTTGTAATCTAATCAACTTTCTAACATTTATATAAGGCAATTGCGTTGCAAACGATTATAACCATTGAGTCGCTCTAAACTATTCTATTCCCTGAACCTCATGTGTGCTTTTGAGCAAGAGGTTGCCACATGTTGCTCCATCTGTGGTAGAAAGCGTTCTACCCAACGAAAATTTGGGAAAAAGTTAGAGTCGGTCTAAGAGACGAGAATTAACATTAAAGTCAATGGGGAAATCATTTTGATCTGTGGCCAACTGTTTCAAGGGAAGTGGTATTAAATCAATTCAAATTGTTTCTTTTGTGGACGACAAAACAAACCAGTAATATAATTACTATATTTATAATCTAGACATCAACATTCTACAATATAAAAACATGATATTCAATATAGATCATTCCATATCTGTAAATGAAAGACTAGCATGCACTTGCGAGTAACCCAACTCTTGATACACAATAGTAAGAGTAAAGAGCCAAGCGCAGAGCCTTGAGGTACTATGGTTTACATTGTTCATAGCAGTTGTTTTCGTTGATAACAATAATGGTATATGGTATAGTAGTTAGCGGTTGAATCCTAATGGGTTGTCTCTTTTCAAATAAGATGTCGCATAAAATGCTCTAGGAACTCTCTAGATATCTTGTACTGTTAACCCTCCAACCAATACGTTGCCATATTTCCCTTTCCCTGAAATGTTGAAATTGATGGATTATACAAACAAGGTCATCAGAACTACAAGTACAAGACATTAATAAGAATATACGTGAAGAATTAGTTTTGGTGGACGAGAATCTAAAAAATCGCCGAGAGTAGGAAGAAAGGGTCAACACATTGTAAAGCTAATACCGAGGAAGCGGAAATATAATTCATTCAGTGCTGCTGTTGTTGTTCTAAATGCTGGAATTTGGCCAAATTCTTTTCAAGGGTTCTCTTTATATATATCTTAAGGCTTCACTAAATCTAATTCTGGTACTGAACGTGGATGTGATTACCTTAACGTTTATTTCTCCCCGTGGAATAAGTGTAAACTGGATATATTTCTCTAATCTAATGTAGGTCTCTGAACTTATATGAATCTTCATAGCTAGAATAAAATGGTAGTAAATCATTTGGTATTGAAATCTACTCTGTACAACAGTTTTAAAAAGCACAATAGGAGACAATCAAACAAAATTAAACTCTATAATATTTGATGGAACACTTATACCTTCTCCACACGATTCCATTCTAGAAGCTGTATTAACTGTATCACCAAATAGACAATATCTGGGCATCTTCAACCCTACAACACCCGCTACTGTTGGTCCTATAAATAAACAAAACAACTGAATGTCCAGGTAAAGTTGAGATTATATATTATATAAGTTCCCTGTGAATGGGACATACATGAAAAAACATTGCTTGTGTATCTATTTTGGTATTTTCATATAGAACCTATTTATAAATGGTAATAATTGATTTATAACCTTGCTTCGCTTTTTGTTTCATTAATATATGAAAGAAGCTTCTAAAAACAATTTGTTTTATTGTTGTATTTATTTACATATGTTTGTTTTTTTACTTATTATTGTTATAATGTCTACTTTGGTTTATCGAGTAATCAATTGTATATTATATTGGCCGAATGGTTAACACTATCATAAGGTCTGTCATTGAGTCAACTGGCGTAGTTTCGGTTATGTTTGTATTACCTGTATGTATTCCGATCCTAAGTTGAACTTTCTCATCTGGTAGATGTTTTATAATAAATGAATCGATAGCTTGTCTAAGTAGTAATGCCAGCGTAGCAATCTGCTGTGCGTGGTCACCATTTCTATCTGGTAATCCTGATACTACCATATATGCATCTCCTATAGTTTCAACCTAAAACACAAATAAATTAGGAAATCATCACACACAACCCGATTAAAGCCTGCATGGTGCAGGGAAGTAGGACGACGTTAAATGCCATTCTATTTCTGATTAAAATCAGATATTTTAATGCTGCACTGTATTTAAATTTAACAGATTTTCTTAGAAAGCGCTTTTCATATCACGAGAACCTATTGAAAAATCATTCGACGGCCAGTTCTAAAGTGAATTCTGGAAATCAGAAGTAAGATACACCACTATTGCACATACTGTATCTAATTATAAAGAAATAGGGGCGGTAATATTTCTTATTCGCAAATCTATCTCCAACCTACGCTAGTCAAGCCTCTCACCTACGACAGGTTCTTCTCGCAAGTTTCCTAGAAAACACGTGTCTGCGATAGGTAGAAGAGGGCTTTAAGACAAGTCAAACGATCCATTAAGCAATTTCACACGTGAGTTTTAACTAGTGTCTGGTGAGTTGTGAGTACTGTCAAACCCTTGATGACCCAACACCTACTTTGGTAAAGCCAGCACATTAAGGGAACCATTAACACTGTATATGATTTAAGCCGTGATCAAGTTGACCATATATTATCACCTAACAGGTACTTATTGGTAGAATATATTGCTTGAGATAAGATATATCAGTCTGTACAACATTGACAATTTAATCGCGATCTATCAGTCGCTGTAACTCAATAGTAGAGGTTATTACATATTTAATCTTTCAGGTTTCTCTACTCGAATTAAATCGGGGCACCATGATCATGGTCCCTTCCCCGTACTTTCAACTGACTCCACACCCGCACCAACCTCGAATATGCACATACTATACAGATACAAAATACGTATTGCGGTATAAGTGTGTCGGGAGTGTGTTTTTTTTTAAAATTCCAAAACAAATTATGGCTTCCTTTTATTTAACAGACCCATAACAATAACAAAAATCGGTTTGTAAGTTCTATTAATATATCAATATGTTACGTTACAAAAATCTCCAACGTTTCCCTGACAAAACCATTAATTTTAAGATTATATTAAAATGTCCCACCATTATTGGGTTGATTTGTACAAATCGAAATAAGTAACACTCCAACAACATGCCTGTTGGTCGAAAGGACGCCAATTGCCACCTCGTGACCCTTGACGGCTGCCATAGCAGTGCCATCTAAACAGTCAAGTCTATACTTTTCGGGCATTAATCAGTGATGTTATAGGAAAACTAGCATCTAAAATCATTTGTGCAAAAGGCTTTTTACTTTTGATTACATAATCGGAAATAAATTGGGGTGTGGGTGGGTGGTTGTTCTGGAATATCGGAAGTAGACTTACAGTTATATATTAAATGCCTACCTTATAAACATCAACAGTGTCTATGATCGCATCAAAACACGAATACAGATCATTCAGGAGATCAACAACCTGAAGAAATAAGTACAATCAATGACATAGAAAAAAATAAATCAATCAAATTCCAGTTATGGAAAGCTAAATGGTATAGAGCTTGTGTCATGACACAATAACACGTCTGATCAACTCAATGAACTAATAAGTATGTGTTATAGTTTATTAATTAAAAGAGGTTTAGCCCCTTTAAATTGTGTTTCTGTAGGATGTGGAAGCGTACTGGTTTATAGACACGGCATAATTTTCTATAAAGCCACATAAATACTCACAGAGATGAAATGAAACGGGGTTTAACGCCCTACTGTTCTGCTCCGACTGGGCTAATAAAGAATGGCATACGCCATGTGTGCTATGAGGGAAATTTTGCCCGAACAGCGGCGCTACGGCCTACTCTTATATGGAATTCCATCATTCTACCAAGGGATATTTTACGTGCACGCCATCCGTCCTATCCAAAAGGCTTGACAGTTGTCCTTGTTGGGCCCTCCGTCCTGCATCACTGACAAGGGAAAATCTCGCCGGAAATCCCGATGAACTTTCTCGACCATCACCATTAGCGCGTTAGCGTCTTACTCACTTAGCCACCGTGGCTCCCCAGATATTATACTCACAGGAAGAACGTTGTAGGTGTATTACCTGAAGTGGTGTAGAACGTGCTGATATATCTGTGAAGCCAACTATATCACTGAAATATATAGTAACACTCTCAAAAGCTTCCGGTTCCACTGGGAGCCCTAACTTTAAATTTTCTGCTACAGACCTACAAATATATGTCATAACAACATAAACTAATCATCTTCAATCTATTTAAATCTGATAAACTGCAAAATAAAAAACATTCATAGTCAAGTTTTTCAGTTTGTTTTATATTCCGTATTTTATATTTTAAAGGTCGAAACGAAATAAAGATGCAATTGTAATTGGATTGAAAATTTCTCATAATCGTAAAGATGATACAGCAATACCAGCTCCTAAAAATTTTACAATTCATGCATCTATAAGTGGCTGATACTGCTAAAACAATTATGTTAATATAATAATCCAAATACAAATTCTATAAAACTCGATTGGTTTGTGGTTAGTGCTAATTGATAAGGCCAGTTCAATTTTTCGTCATAGGTCACAGATGTAAACAGTGCTAGCGCCAATCCCAATGCTACGATATCTCTATACGCTACCAAAAATACATAAAAATCCAGAAACGGAATGGTTTATACCCAATAAATTACCCAAGGGGCACCCAATAATATCCGACTGTGGTAGCGTATCATACAACGTATCACAATACATAGACCATTTCTTATTGCCCCTAGCATGACAACACCCATCCTACCTTAAAGACACTAAAGATTCATTCGTAAAATCAAACTGTTAAGAGTACCTGAGCACACCATTTTAATATCCATTGACGTACAGAGCATGTACACGAACATCGATAATACCACAGGAGTTGAAGCAGTTAGGAAAGCATTTCTTAGGAACCCGCAAGCATCCAGACCGGACGAAGAATTCCCCAAATTACTCGACATTTGTCTGAGGAGGAATGACTTCGCTTTCAACGACCAAGTATACCTCAAGTCTTCCGGAACTGCGATGGGAAAACGATTTGCCCCGAGTTATGCAAATCTCTTCATGGCGGAGTGGGAAAGGGAAGTTCTGCCGCTCTGCCCATTAAAACCAGATTTCTATGGGCGTTTTCTAGATGACGTTTTCATAGTCTGGACGTACACGCTAAACGAATTTTGGACGTTTTTCAACATTTTGAACAATCATCATCCATCTATCAAGTTAACCGCAAATGTAAGTCATAACAGCATAGATTTCCATGACACTACCGTTTTTAAAAGTAGCAACACCAAAATCACAGGCCAACTGGAAACTAAAGTATTTTTCAAAGAAACCGACACACATCAATTATTGTTCAAAAGCTCCTTTCACCCAAAACATACAATCTCAGATTCTCCGTTTTCATAGGATATGTACTCAGAAGACCGACTTTGAGTCAGCGTGTACATTGGTATTTAGCAAACTAAGGGAAAGGGGATACTCCAAACGATATTTCCGACGTATAAAAAACAACACTCTAGCTGAACTTGCCGCCAAAGAAACAAATAATATTCAATCAGCAGTCAAAACCAAAACTTGTGGCCACCCAAGATGTCAAAGATGCAAAATCATAAATATATCCGTCCATTTCCATAACAAAACATCTGGCAAAAAATTCCCAATATTAGATCACCTTTCATGCAGTAGTTCTATCTAATTTCATGCAGACAACGTGACAAGCAATACGTAGGTGAGAACCAAAATGCACTTCGGGAAAGAATTAACGGTCACCGGTCAGACATAGTCACTCAAAAAGACAAACCGGTCTCAAAATTCACTTCAACCAACCAAATCATGACATTTCTGCACATGATCTCATTGTCACACCAATAGAAAAGGCTAAGAGCGATTTTGAAACTACAGAAGAAATTAAAACGTTTAGGCTAACAAGAGAAAAATTCTGGATTGACAAATTGTAAACAACAGCCCTCCTAGGTTTGAATATTCATACGGCTAGCGCAATAGCCCTTTTTGTAGTTCCATTTAGCGCAACAGCAACAAGTGCATCCAAAATCATCAGAAAACACTATACTGATCTCCAAGAAAATCACCCGAAAGTTTTCACACAGCAACTTATAATTGCGTATTGCAATTAGATTAAATAAGACCAGTCTCCATCCTCACCCAAAACAAACAATATATCAAATCCTATCCCTAACCGTTAGTAAATAAAATCAACTAGATATAAGAATCCCTAGACCTTTCTTTTAAATCCAATTCTTAGTAGGAAACACACTAATGTGGCTCTCCCCCGAAACAAAAATACCAGAAGCACCATCCAAGGAAGACCATCATCGCCACAAACACCAAAAAACAGTTAAATTACCTTTGTATATAAACCTAATGTATTGTATGTATTTTAATAAAACTAGGAAATATCACGAACTAATTTTTCATCACCCTAGGTCAGTGCGTATGTGGAGACTTAACCTCTCCCCCAAATTCTTAAACCTAACCTACAATCTCGCCAACAATCATAACCTTATTTACATCTCAGCGACCTTGAAATAAATTGAGCTGGCATTAACAAATAGATTTAGCCATTGGTTTGCAACTGTATTAAAGGTTGTACTAAATCTAATCAAATACCCCAAATTTTAATTTAAAACAATTCCGGACAATATAATTTTTATTGATTTTTTAAGTCGATATAGGGGCATTCTATTCAGCCAAAACCTAACGCAATTCAACAGAACGTGAACTTGGTCTATAAATTCCAATTTAGTATTCGGACATGCTAGCCCGAACATAAAAGGGGTCAATAAATATTTGAACTTGATAATCTGGTTATCACTTAGTATTTAAACATGATAGTCTGGACATAAAGTTGGGCCAATTAGTATTTGGACTTGATGGTCTCGGCGTATAGGGGGATCAATTAGTATTTGGACATGATAGTCTGGACATAAAGGCGGGCTGAATTATAGTATTCTTGGGGGATGACGTGTATCACTTACTTTGGTAATATTTCATAAAGAAGCTGTTCTGATCTTTTCTTCTCTTCTACCAGTTCCTGAGTTTTATCTTCTACCATTTTCTCTAAGTTATTAGCATACAGTTCCATTCTTCTCAATAAATTATCCAACAAGTTAACAGATTCTCCAAAACGGCTGAAAAGAAAACATTTCAAATCCTCAAAACGGAGTATGTCAAAAGGAATTAGTGCACAAAATGTGACGTCATCATTTCGCTTACGTTCCTATAGAAATTTTAAAAGCGCGGCTGAATTGTGACCGATAACTTGATGAGAACACAATGACATGGTTATGAAGTATGATTATTGTTCATTTGGTCATAAAGAAGAACAGTTGCATATTTTTTTTCAGATTGCGGTTTTTCACATTTAAAACATGTGAAACAGAAATATTTTTTGGTGAATTGCCTGAAAAGGATTTGCTCTGAATTCTCAATCTGTCATAAGAGGACTTTTATAAAAAGATTCTGAAATTCATTTCCAAATGTTCCCCTCAACGGAATTACTCCCTTGTCCATTTTATCTTGGTAAAAATAAAAATAAAAACATAACTTGCATGTTTAACACTTATTTTTTATTATTATTATTATTATTATTATTATTATTATTATTCTGTATATATAATGGGCCACTTCGACAGTCCATGTAGATATAAAAGTGTAGCACTATGCATTTCGGCACTCAAATCAAATATGTAGTGATATGAGTCGCTGGTTAGAACTGGGAAGGCACGCTACCCAAAAACTCCCCACATCCAACGTGTGGCGGATACTCTCTTCTCTGCTACGTTTAAATAGCCTTGTGATCGTCTAGTATTCTTTACTCTAGGACTCCTCCACTTTAAACATTGTGTATATATCTTTATCTCGGCCGTTAGAACGTTTCTCTAATGACTTTCTCTGATGTCTTCACAAGGAACTTAATCGCGCTCGCGTTTATAAAGAGGATACGTGCACGAGTCATGGACTGACCTCCGGGAAATTGACCAGGTACTTCCTTTATCTGATTGGTCAGCTGTACAGAAGCTACCCCGAATTTCAACACAGCGTACTTACATGGGCACCCAGGAGGACGGGTGTCCACGTTTCTAACGCATGGGGTTGCCATATTTGGATTACCAGACTCTGATGTCATTGCCCGATATTAATCTACCAGACATATCCTTGTTAGCCTAGATCTCGTTATCACTAGTACTAGCTAACGACTTCAATACATTAACCAGAGCATCTTTTAGAGAACTTAAATAACCTCTACAGTATATAGGCCCTATAGTATTACAGAAGCAAATATGAGAATGCTGGGATCGACAGTGTCAAACAGTATAATAATAACACATTGTATAAATTGTTATTTTCGACAAATGCTATTATTTACATCGGCACGTTTATAGAAATAGCCAAACGTTGTACATACATAATGTAATGGTTTTCAAAAAGATAACGAACTTACATACAGGATCTGATTTAGACCAATCAAATTTCCGGCGTGGTTCTCCCTTGTCAGTGATGCAGGACGGAGGGGCTGACAAGGAAAGCTGTTTAGTCGTTCGGATGGGACGAAAAACCGAGGTCCCGTGTACACATTAGCGTGCACGTAAAAGATCCCTTGGCAGTTGGAATTCGATATAAGAGTAGGCCGTAGTGCCGCTGTCCGGGCAAAATTTCCCTCATAGCACACTGTATGGCGTATGCCCGTCTTCATTAGCCCAGGTTAGGAGCAGAACTGTAGGACGTTAAACTCCATTTCATTTCATTTCATTTCATGCCCCAACCCTCCACCACACCTCTCAAAAATGAATGGTAGTGAAAAGGTTAAGCATGTGCTGTTCCATGCACTGCACACATTAATACATATATAGCTAATTAATGTAGCATTATTAAACTTGCTAACTGCTGGTGTTCTACAAAGAGTACGAATCTTACCTTGCTTGTAATCTTAATACTTGTTTAATACGAGGAAAGTCTGGCCGACTTGATGGATGTTCTTGCCAACATTCCGATATCAGTTTGGCCAATTCTTTCATTTTTAAAGGCAAGTCTAATTTTGGTCGGAATAGTGGGCTGCCACCAGCTTTTAATTTCTCTAAAACAACTGTAAAAACATTTAAACAAATCAAATGAACTAAATCAGTTGAAATTCTTTATTGGAAGTTTCACTTAGTGAAACAGTGATACATTTAAGTCTACAATTCATTTGAAATATGGGTGTTATATTGAATTGCATAACTTAATTACTGTCATTCCCAATGTTTGAATAAGAAGCCGATGTGATGTAATTCCACCAAATTAACTTACAAATAGTCCTGTGTTATTTACGGGATTTCATTTTTCGAAGACTTTTAAGGTGCACCTCCTTTGGTTTTGGGTTAATAAATAGAACACAAACTTACCTGATGTCCCCAGTTCACCTGTCTCTTCAAAAAAGGGTTGTTCCCTTGATAATATTTCATACAGTATGATACCGTAGCTATAAACATCAGCCTCTTTAGAACCTTTCGTGGTTACAGACCGCAGAACCTCCGGAGCTTTCCATAAACACTCTGAATTAAAGACATTCGAGATACATAAAGATATCTATTAACTATAGTCATATGATTGTGACTGAAATTAAGATGTGTTTGAAGTGAATTACAAACGTATCCAAACATATCGTTTTCAGATGTTATTTAGATTTTTATACGTCCACATCTCACGTCCGCCCTTCCGTCAACCATTGGCTTGTGAATGCTTTATAGGCTACAGTTTTTAACGGATTTCTTTTTCAAATTTGATGTGAAGCATTCGGGCCATTACATTCAGCGTTTCCGGACATTTTCCAAAAACCTTTTGAACTGGAGACAAGCTATAGTTTTTAACCGATTGTTTTTAAATTTGCCGTGAATTATTGGGGTCACGAGAGGACGAACCCTATCTATATTCAACGTTCTGCGATATTCCGTTTCATAGATATGCCCCCTTTTCCGAAAACCCTGTGTCGAACGTGAGAGAGACTATAGTTTTTATATTTTTTTCTCAAATCTGGTATGAAGCATTTGTGTCACGAGAGGACGATCCCCAACGATATTAAGCGGTCTGTGACCTTCTATCTATCTCCAGTTTTTAACAGATTTCGTTTTCAAATTAGGTGTGAAGCATTAGTTCTGCGAAGGGATTGACCCTACTGGTTGGTGTGACGCATTGGGATCGGATACAATGTTTATACATGTGTATTATGTTTCTAGAAAAGTTTCTGGTCAATATAAAGTTTTTGTTTCTGGTCATCTTCAATAGAAGGCTTGATCTCGCTTTAACTACGTACATCTTATCAAGGCCTTCACGTAATACCCTGCATATTGCGGCACTAATTTCGATTGGGTACAAGCCCAACTTGTGAGCCTATCAGATTCCTCGATCGTCGCGAATACCAAGTCTCGCGCTTTCAAGCTAAAATGTCTACCTTTGATAATCGAGTTGCAAAGTTCAAGGTTCATTCAATGTCAAGGTTTCCGTGGAGGTCGCGATGTCACAACCTCTAATTGGACGCTACTGCTCACGTGTCTGTAGATAACATAGCTATAAGTTCGGGAATTGTGAAGTAAACAAGCAACGGCCAGATGTTGTGAAACTCGCAGTCCTTGCTTCAGGAACATGGTTTCTGGTGAGCTGCTGTCCATGGCTACTTCGCTGCTGGGTGGGCGTATTTCTACGAATAGTGTGGTTATCTTTGAATATGTGATATACTGATAAAACATGGTAATGGATAGCTTAATGTATGTAATTCAATACCATGATATGTGGATTATTAGTTTAATATAAGAACTGATAGAATAGATCACTACGTTTTAATGATTGCTACTTGACACTAATAATATTAATAACACCCACCTGTTTTGTATTCTTGCGAGTCGTAATCTTTCTTTTCATTGCAAAATAAACTTGGTAAACCATAATCTGTTATTTTCACTGAGAAACGGTTATCAATCAAACATACCGAGCTTGATAAATTACCATGGTAACCTATTGAACTTTGTGTTAAAAAACACATTCCCTAATGAAAAAGACAACGACCAAATAACAAAAAACTGATAAACAACCGGAAGAATCTAGGGTATTGGCTTAATAAAATTCCCTGGTTGTGCACAGGGAGCCTGATTATTTTACAAAATGGCTGACATCGAAAACTCTTTATCAGTGTGAAATTTTCGAAAGGAATATTGATTATTGTGCAGTTTCATTGGACATAATACCTCCATTCGGGAAACTTGATACTCCGTATTTACTTACATCAAGTGGGCGCTTCGGCAATAATTTGGGAATTTATAGCCAATACTGAGCCCCAGATATTTGCACATGACTAGCAGCATAAATGTTTTCACACCGATTTAATCAGTTGTTTTCCTACAAAATTATATCTGATAAAGATTCAAATTATGATATGTCCAGAGTTCAGTTCATTCAGAAATTTACTGATATGGCTTGCGTGGCCTACAAGGAAAGGGGTCTAAACACATTGGCAGAGCAGTAAAACAATTTCTTTTCAGTTGGATTACTAGGTCGAACATTAAATTGCACACGTAGACTAACCCATAAATATAATAATGACCTTATGTACGTATCCAAATAAACAATGGAAAATTGGCAATGAAAAGATAAGTTGTCAAATAAATGTTACTGGAGTTTAAAAAGAATACATCAATGACAGGGGCAATAGCTAGAAATTAATGGTAACTCTGGATTTTGATAGGTAATTGAATTAGCAAATACATTTAGATGGCTTCTACTCACCTCTGCAACATCTATTGCTAAAGAAAATTTAAATTGGGCATCTAGTGAAAAATTTGGATTTCCTAAAAGATCCTAAAACGAAACAATACTATATTTTTAATCTACATATCACTGATATTTTCTAATACAGGAGAATATTGAGAAACCTAGTCTGTGTGAACTTCCCAAACCAAAAGGAAGCGTACACCGTCAATTCTTTATTCTGGGGTATTGGCGAACTGCGATCTCAATGTTGGATTGTTTATCACATGACTAAGCTAAAAAAATAAATGTTAGATAGAATTAATGGACTTTTGCAAAAGCTAAACTGGCTACAGTTTTGGGTCTAGCAGTTGGGAGGTCTGTTTGGAACATTTACAATGCTAATTGGTCTCAGTTGTCCTCTCAACCATCATGTCTATACCACTACCAGAATCACATCTGAGCCTGTCTGGTATATTTAGGTTACCATACCTTTATCAGACTAAGGTTTATATAGTGACATGTTTTATGTTACCTGTAAACTGCCTTTAGCACAATGCTCCGTAACTAATAAAGCTTCAGGTACAGTCTCTAAACAAGCCCCAATAACGCGGTTTAATGTGGTACAATTTATATCTCGCACCTGCAATGCAGAATCAAGACAATTGATAGACTTTAATAGGTAATCTACCGGAACATACAATATATTTTGACATAATCCTTATCTTGGAAATTACCGATTTCGTGAGAACGAAATTTAATCTTAAAGTGCCTTCGATATAATTTGCAGCCAGTTCTGGTTGGTAGTTTGGAGGGGGATTGGGTGGTCGAATGGTTTAACACGCGTCCGCTTTAGACCACAAAGTTTGTCACTGAGTGGTGTGGTTTCGATTCCTCGCTTCTACGTAACAAGGAGTAGAGAAGTGTCCAAATTCGTTGGTTTTCTCCGTGTCTTCTGGTTTCCTCCCACTGCTAAAGATCACTACCCGTAAGCGGATTATTGAAATAAAATTGAACCATGTGTTAGTCCCGACATTACCTAGTTTGTGTCAAGTGGACGTCTCCCTCTCTCTTTATACATGTGTCCGAATATTGTGTATGATAGCCGTTAAGGGGAATTATCCTATAATAATATAATAATTCAAGACTCATATGACTGGGAATACATAAGATCTTACTTTTTTAAATTCTTGAATAAGTTTTCCAGTCCCCAATACGTTACTGTTTATCAATTTCACGGTTCGAACCCGAACTGGGTTACCCTGAAGAAATTAAAAAACGTTAAAGAATATATCTCAGATATATTTTAAAGCTGTTGTATTTTTTTTTTTTTTTTACTGTTAACTTTGACTCACAAAATTAACGAAAATCAACAACCGATCTCAAAAATGTTGATGGTAATTTGTGCCAAATTGTGCCAAAATGAACTGTATAGTCAAATCAAAATCTATTTTCTACCAGTAAGCAAAGACTCCGAAAGGGACAATGCCCTTAAAATTCCGTGTAAAACGCTTTCAGAAACCTTTTTATGGTTCTTTACGACTACTGTGTAGTGTGTATTGACTCGAAATACAAATGGCCGGTATTCATTACTGGTGACCAAGCAAAGCAAAATGTTGCATGACGGTTCGGCATAAGTAGGCGGAAACATCATGTTGTATCTTTCGTATTATGTAACGTTGAAGATGTTCTTCTTAGCAGTGACAAACAAATATTAAACTAATTTACAATTAATTATTTCAGTTACAACGTACCCTACTCCTGTCGGAAACAACATCGGATGTAGGAGCGTTAACAGAAATGACAGAAAATAGAGAACAGGAGAGCTTTCTCAAAAGACCATTATTAATTAATTATCTATATCATACGTAGAAAAAACGTGTAAATTGATAATATGAATCTGACTTTATATGTTCCAGTAAAAGAACATCTTAGCAAACTTAAAATAAAGTCACATTGTCAGACCTAAGATAATCATTTGAAATGATATTAAAAGAATTATACCTTACAAAATGCCACGGCCCAGGTATCAGTTCCATTATTCGTTTTCAATAAACTCGCCTTAAATATATGAAATATATAGGTTATAGTTTATAATATAAATGAAATATAAAAGACTAAGATATTAATCTGTATAAAAAGTAAACTAAAGTTCTTTACATATAGCTGGAATAATGTATCTGCTAATTGACAATGTGACCATGATTTTAAAGAGGACCTGCGTGTCTAATAAGGTATACTTAATTGAAAAGTGTGGTGCCGGACACATACAATCCCTAGAGCCAGATTACGAAAACTAGCCCCTTCCCCCACTGTCTGGGTAGGCTTACTCTTTCTAGAACACCCGATACCACATCTCGTACATTGGGTTCAGACTTCAGACAGCTAAGATATGTATGTAGTACTATAGCAGTAAATATATATGTTCAGTCAAACTGGCAGTAAATCTTTAATATCTTTACGTGTCCCCATACAATTGGACTACTGGGTTACATTGACACTTTTAAAGAATCCAGAGCAAGTTTCTTGCTTTTAATAAAAAAAATAATAACTATCAAAAACACAAACAAAACATTTTCTATTAATATCTTGATGATTAAAAAATGTTTATACTACTAAATATCCCCATGTAACATTAATGATATTTGAAATATTGTAAAAATTTATAAAAGATAGCAAAGGGGTTTTATAGATTTAATTAGAAACTTATAATATGTTTGTAACTCACTGCCTATACATATGTCCACCATTGGTTATTGTAAACATAAGATTTAACTATTTTATATGTTTGGAGAGAACTTATATAGGCCTTTGCCTGTTGTTCAATCCAATTCAGTTTATTGAATAAAATATTGTTTAAACTAATGATACTCTGACAATTAATAATTCGCTTTGACCTGCGAAATTGACGTTTCAAGAAAGGCATAAATATAAAAAAATGTAATGTATTCACGTGTGACAGTAGGGAAAGGGTAGATCTGAACGCTGTGTCATTAAATGTTAAATCTTTCTTATTTATTTTCCACCACCATTGATCTAATTCCATCTGTTTCTTCCATCGTCTAGAAACATAAACACAGATTCATTATGTTTAAATAAAAACCAATAAATAATGAAAATGTTAAAAATGCCAGTCAAATTACTTTATGTCTCGATTGTCAGCCCTTTTATTGAGGGGCGTCGATTTTAATGTTAACCGATGTGCCAGACTATGTTAAAGATATTTCAAATAAAATTCTAAAATAGATATTTTTGCTACGGTTGATGTCTTTTAAGACGATTCGAAGTGAAGTGAGAAATGAAAACGAAGGTAGTATTAACAATAGAAATTAGTCTATACAAACCTGTGAAGAAGAGGAAGAATAACCAAAGCAGCCAAAAGTAAAACACCAAACGAAATACCAACGCCGTATATAACATTCTTAGACGCACCTAATAATATATTTATAAAAGAATTAAAATAAAATACCCGGATCTTTAAAGCCGTAACATTCCAGACTAAAGGGCAAATAATGACTTTCGGGGGTCATAGCCATCTAATCTCCTAATATACTGTCGACTGATTTCACGCCGTCATGTCTTTTAGTCACCCAGGACTGAATGATAACTCGTTTATTATTTATCCCTGTATATCGAGATCAAAGCGTAATATAATCCAAGATTTTGTTTGAATCGGCTAACGTAATTTCTAAAGATCATTTGTTAAATTTAAATTAGGAAAAGGAATATGTTGCCTTCGGGCGCATTGCTGGTTTCAAAATATTCTAACGTAAAAACCAAACATGAAGTACATATAATTCAGAGAAGAAATACAAAAAAAAGTAAATATCTCTCAAAATGAGAATTGAGAATTAAAAAAACCAAATTCGACTGAAAAAAAAAACAAACATTACATTTAGAATAAAAGTCGATACATTATAGGCGTACCTTAATAACTCACATCATAGCAGATACAACATGAAACACAAACAGCACCAGATAAAACACAGCATGAAACAAAGTTAACAATTGAACTGGAAAATAATTAATGAACAAAATCGACTACAAACGATAACGGAGTACTATGAACCAGGAAACGTTTATGACATTTAAAAAAAAACAGCGGCTGCCAGGAAGGATACGCCCACATTGTACAAGAGATGGATAGAGAACAAGTTAGAAACAAACGGGATTTTTTGTACAATCAGGGGCAATAATCCAGAAAGTTATGGTCTGAAATGTGCAAATATCAACAGGGACTGAGATCTTTGGGATATAAAGATATGTTTTAAGTTTCATCAGGCTGGGATAAAAAAAATGTGACCTCTAGAGGGTCCACAACCTTCGTATTGCATACTTTTACACAATTTGCGTACAAAGAGGGGTCATTTTGTCGGCCAGTTTCATTTCGATTTTCCCGAAATTCGAATTCATCCTTCATTATGGTGGAATGGTGAAATATTCAAACGGTTTTAAAAATCGGGAAAACAATTGTGACCTCTAGAGAATCCGCAAGCTAAAAATGCGATTTTTCGAACAATCAGGAGCCATAATCCAGGAAGTTACGTTCGGATATACGCGATTATCAAAAGGAACCAAGATCTTAGTGTGTAATGGTGATATATTCACATGTCTTTTTTTTTAAATCGGATAAAAATTGTGACTTCTACATAGACGGCAAGCTAAAAACGTGATTTTTGGTACATTCAAGGGCCATAATTCAGGAAGTTACGATATCGAAAGGAGCCGAGATCCTTAGGTTATAAACTTACATTTCAAGTTTCAACAAAATCGGATAAAAATTGTGACCTCTATAGGGTCCACAAGCTAAAAACGCGATTTTTCGTACAGTCAGGGGCCATAATCCATGAAGTTACGGTCCGATACATGCCAATATCGAAAGGAACCGAGATCTTAGGGTGGTAAACCTATATTTAAAGTTTCGTTGGAATCGGATAAAAATTGTGACCTGTAGAGTGTCCACAAACAAGTGTGGACGGACAGAGAGGGGCGACGACAATATACGTCCAAATGAAAATGTGGGCTTTATAAAAATAACATATTCGGAGCATTAATGTTCTTTAAATGTTTTCAGGGGCGGAGCCAGAGAGGGGTTTTGGGACCCCCCCCCCCCTGCTCAGCTACATAGAAAATATTGTAAAACAACACGGTGTTACGGTCGTGTGCTTTATCCTTTATCATCAGATGGTGGGATGGGATGGGCATTCAAAGCGTGAGATAATAATATAGACATGTGTGATATCACAATATCAATGCCTTGCATCACATCAATGAAATTGTATCACAATGTGATCCTATTAATTCATAATAAAAATTTAGGCCAAACGGGGTGTTGGATTCCTCCCTTTAAATAGCTCAGTGTGTATGTATGCCTACGTAATTTGGAGACGATGACGGCATTATGCATTGTCAATTTTCAAATGTCCTTAACCCCCTCCTCCAACAACTCCTGGATCCGCCCCTGATATGTTGTTGCATGACAAAACATTAAAAAATACGAACGATTTAGCCATAGCTATAACAACTTATGTTATATTCAGATTGAATTACATAATGATTGTAAGCTTAAAGGGACTATCCCGATTTGAACATAGTCTCAAAAATAAAAGTCCAAGTACGTATGAAATTTAAGCGCCAAAATATAGAGGATTGGTGTATTTACCCTGTCTCAAAATTTTAACACAAAATTCGGCAGTTTTAGTCTCCAAAATATTATCGGGATTGGCCCTTAAACAAAACCAATATTTCGTTTTGTTTTTGGAAGAGCCTGCGTCATAATTTAATGCCATTAAATTGGACAAAATCCGGTTTTCTAAATTAAATTTAGTAGGTTTTTTTTTAAATTTAAATTTGTTCTACAAGCTGCCCTACTTTATTTATAATTTTATCTGCCTTGACATCTTTAAGATCTCTGTCTTTCTCTCATTTCTGAGTACTAGGCCCTATACTTGGGTCTTTGCGGCCTACAATCATGGAGTTGACCAAACTTAAGCACACCACGGTAGAATCGTACACTATGAATCAGGAACAGAGCATAACGTCATAACAGCCATCTTGGAAATTTACGAGACAGATGTTATTGATTAGCAGAAGAATTATTACAGAAATGGCTATTAACTTCAGATATAATTGGTCGATTTGAATTATTTTTGGACCAAAATGTTGTTTTAAAGATGCCTTCCAGCGTACAAATTGTGTGATTTGATAATATATTTGCACTAAAATATATTTAAAACTAATTTATCAGTAAGAAGTTTCCTCCAAATCCCCCTAAAACCATTTTAATTGGAAGAAAACTATCAAAAGCTTTTAAATTCTATTTCAAGCATTCTTAGCGTGACTTGAAGGTGGGCTTTTATTAGGCTTGTATAATTTGTTGTTCGTAAAGTCTTGGAATATCTTCTGTCAACTTCTTTTCCCAACATTAATCACAAATTCGTTCTTACAGCAAAATCAAGCGCCCACTACGTCATTCAAGCAGACAGAGTGCCAGTTAGTGACCCCTTTACATTTTTGTCCTGTGCTGGCCGCATAAATGTTTTCGGTGAATCCAGCATCTTTTGTAGTAAGATTGAGTGTCTCTACTTTCCATGTAAATTAAGGTCATATGTATTGTATACTTTAAAACCTTTCGTTTTATTTTACCTGATTTTATTGTCATGGTTACCGATTATGTATGGCTAATGTTTATTTATTTATATACATTATAACATCTAATGACACACGAGAAAGATCAGACAGCTAGCTTATATGATTTGATGTATATCAGAATCAAGTAAAGTGGTTGATTTTCTAACTGGACGTATCGTTTTATCGTTTACCGCGCAACAAAGAAGTACAGCTTTATGGTTGTACCAATATATATATATATATATATATATATATATATTAAAGTAAATAAAGTACAAGTACTTCTTTCTTTACGGTAGATAAATGCATAAATAAATAAAAAAATCCGTCCAGATAAAAAATTCTCCACTTAACTTCATTCTGACATACATTAAATCATATAAGCTAGCTGTCTGCCTTCTATGGGCGTCTTCAGATATTAATAATGTATATATAAATATTTACGTTGAAAAAAGAAATAAACACGTGTTTTGGCACATTTATTTCTTTTTTCAACGTAATTTTTTATTTAATTTTCTGGGAGTAGTTCAAAGACACTTATAAACGTATCACTTTAATTCTGACATGTTGTTTCATTAACAGACATAAACATGTTGTGGCTTTAACAGACATAGAAATGCATTCATATAAGATCCAAATCTAAAATATGTACAATACCCGGAATGCACTTGTCATTTCTAAAACCACATTTAGGTACGTTGACCGGTGGGCCTTGACCGTTCTTCCACAGAATTTCTTCGTCTGGATTGCTTACATACTTATCTCCAGCGTGATTATACGTCGCCACAACCTACAGGTTAGAAAAATGCATAATTTGCTTTTAGTTATCCGAATGCGAGGTCACCCAAAGACATTGCATTCGTGGAACCTACTAATCACCGAAGACGACGGGGGGGGGGGGGGGGAGGCTGTCAAAAGTGACCGACAAAAAAAGATATGTTATAGATATGCAAATTCTACACATATCTTTCCTTGTCGGTCACTTTTTCCAATACTTTGGGCGAAATTCGACAAAATGAATGCTATTCTCGTTTCTTCACGGACCGACGGATAATTCATTGAAAGAATACAACTTTCCTGCTATTGTGTTAAAGTTTAGATGTTTTACGTAATTTAATATTCAGTTAGAAGATCAAAATCCCAGGCCACCATTTTGCAATCAGTAACATATACATTGTGTAGGACCTATAGCAGGAGCGGATCCAGAGGGGGGGGGGTCGACCCCCCCCCCCCCCTGCTCAGCTACATATTTTTTTTGGTAAATCAACACTTTTTAAAAGAAAAGTTTCTCGGCCGTGTGGTTTATCCTTTATCGTCAGATTTGGGGCAGGATGGGCACTCAAAGCAAGAGAAAATGATATAGACATTATGTGATATCACAATTAATGCTTTGCATCCATGAAATTGAATCACAATGTCATTGTATTAA